ACATGTTTTCATTGACTAAGTGTTAATCTACATATGGATATATCTGTTGGTTTGGATGTTTGTTTGTTGTTTAACACTCCACTCAGCAAATATTCTAGCTATATAACAGTGGCTTGTAAATAATTAAGTCTGGACCAGACAATCCAGTGACTGACATCATGAACATGACTCCACTCAAATGGGATACGATGAAATGCAATCATCCAAGTCACCAAGCCTGACCGACCAATCCATTTAGTTGTCTCTCACGTCATGGCACGCTTAGGTTGCTAGTGGCCTTTATTCATACCCGGAATACCGACGCTTTAAAAAGAAATTTAGACTTATTGCTGTGCTTTTGTACAATGTTCGGACTAGCATTAAGATGGTGTGATGGCTTGGAAAGGGTGATGTGTGCAATACCCTGCGGACAAGTTGATTCTTGTGCCTGGCGCCTTCCACTACACGTCAATCTAAGCATCATTATTAAAATGGATGTTGGAGTTCAATTATGACAGTTTTGGCGTTAAGATGCTTTAGTAGAATTGAACCCAAGGCACAATTGCTTGCACTGATGAGCAGAATAGTCAACATACGCACATCACAAATCGACGAGATAATAAGTGTGAAGGTGAAAAGGTCAAGGGTCATGGCCAGGGTAGCAACCAAAAGTGTACAGGACTGAGATAAGAAATTATTGGGGAACAGGCATTTATTGGGCGACAGCTATAGGCAATTATTGGTTGTTATTTGAGATTTTTCTGTTCACAGCTGATTGTACTGCTATTAAGGAAGACTGCCCTGGGGCTATATATCGACATATGTTCCATCAGCCTTTGGTGTGATGGTGTCGGTAGCTTGTCAATAGTGCTATTGACATAATCGTCATAATTTCTATTCCTCTGATTATGTATTGCTTGACCTGATCTGACTGTTTCCATTTCATTCTGATTGCTAATCAGTCGTTGGTATTGATTCGGCTTGATTGAGTCGTATTTCCATCCATTGCGGACCAGGTATGATCATTGTGGTCAGGAGATACCAACTGAATACTGACAGCCAGTGCTATATCTGTCTTTACATAATCAATAGCAATTTGGAGAATTCACCCAAATTTATGATCTTTAAAAAATCAATGTAAGTCATGTGTAGATTTTCAAATCTGTGTTCAATCGGGGTGTGAGGAATTAATTTTTAATACATCAGTGTCAGCTACTTATTTGACGTGTTAGAAAATATATCATATCTACAACGTTAAGTATCTGGATGTATTTTAAATTAATTAGCCTATTAGATTATTCATTTCAGGGAAACACGTGAAGATCTGGATTAGAATCATCTAAGGTCCTCAGCAACCCATGCTTGTCGTAAGAGGCAACTATGCTTGTCGTAAGAGGCAACTATGCTTGTCATGACAGGCAACTATGCTTGTCATAACAGGCAACTATGATTGTCGTAAGAGGCAACGCAACTATGCTTGTCGTAAGAGGCGACTAACAGGATCGGGTGGTCAGGCTCACTGACTTGGTAGATGCATGTCATCGTATCCCAATTGTGTAGGTCGATGCTCATGATATCAATCACTAAATTGTCTGGTCCAGATTCGATTATTTACAGACTGCCGTCATATAGCTGGAACATTGCTGAGTGTGGTGTTAAAAACAAACAAACAAACGAATCATTTCAGGAACTGTATCAAAATTAATGTAAAATAACATTTATCTAATTTCAGCTGATCAGTACAGCATCTTGCAGACACATACACAGAAATAATCACCAGCAATCTGTCACTTCTGCAAGTCAGTTATCAAGTAAATGGGAAAAGATAGGTAGAGTGTATCTAAGCTTGATCTCTACGCACTGGAGATTGAATGAGTTGTAGGGAAACAGTGTTAGTACATGCTGAAGAACACATCAATATACAGTTAAAAAAGTTATGGGGAAACTTGTGCCTCTTCAGACTGCGAGTATCTGTTTATAGAGCTTATAATTTCCTTTGGGACAAAGTTGAATGTTATGATACTTAAGTGTTGTCATGTTTGTTGGCAGTTCGTGTAAGAATAACCCCAAGGGTGTACGCAGTATTTAATGTTGTGAGTGAGTGAGTTGGGTTTTATGCCAAATTTAGCAATATTCTGGTAATATCAAGGCTAAAATGGGCTTCACACATTGCATCCATGTTGGGAATAGAAACAGGGCCTTCAGCGTGACAAGCAAATGCTTCACCACTGTGCTACCCTATCACCACTTTTTTGGTGAGTTGGCTAAAATGGGGTCAAAGGGTAATCACTGCGACCTTGACATCTATAGGCTGGTGACATTTGACCTTTAATAATTTTAATGAAGTCATGGCAAAGCATGTGATCTGAAGTCTATGCTAACTTTTCAGTAATTGGTTTCAAATGAAACTAAGTGATTGAGTGTGCTACTCATATATGATCACACTGAACTTTGATGTATCTTTAATCAGATCATTGTAATTTGAAATGCATGCTGCAATTGAATTAGTTTGAATGATTCATGTAGCTATAGTTTGTTTACATCCCATAGGACTTGCGATGCACATTATTTGCATCAATTCTCGATCATTGTGTAGGATGCAATATTTTGCATCCAGTAAAAGTCTTAGGACACTGTTGTCTACAGGTGTACTAGTTCCAAACTTTTGGTGGAGTCTTGTACGGTGTCTGTCTGTCTGTCTGTCTGTCTGTCTGTCTGTGTCTGTGTTAAAGTCTTAGGACACTGTTGTCCACAGGAATACTAGTTCCAAACTGTTGGTGGAGTCTTGTACGGTGTCTGTCTGTCTGTCTGTCTGTCTGTGTAAAAGCCTTAGGACACTGTTGTCCACAGGTATACTAGTTCCAAACTGTTGGTGGAGTCTTGTACGGTGTCTGTCTGTCTGTCTGTCTGTGTAAATGAGAGAGTGAGTATGAGAAAGAGAGAGAGAGGAAGAAAAGAGAGAGTATCAGTCAAGTGGTTCAGGAATTTGCCTCTCCTCCAAGGTTAGATTCCCAATATGGAGATGGAGTAGCCAAGTGGTTAAAGCATTGACTCATCCTGCAGAAGACCTGGGTTTGGTTCCCGACATGGGTATGACGTGTTAAGCCCTTTTCTGGTCCACACCATCAGGGCACGGCACGATGACACTCAATCAACCAAGTCACAAAGTCTGACCACCTGATCCATTTAGTCACCTCTTATGGCCAGCATAGGTTGCTGGGCACCAATTCTAATCAAGAGACCAACCACAGGGACTCACTACAGCATAAACAGTTTATGAAACCTCAGTTACAGAACTCTCTAGCCCAGAAGGTACAGAATACACTCGATTCCCCCCAAGTGTTCCACCAAGTGTCGGGGTGTGGGAGCAGCTATCTAGATTGGAATGTTCCAAGTAAACATTTACAAATTACACGGAATGAGGCAAGTGGGCCATGCATGGAAAGAAGGGAATTAGCGGAAGGCAGCTCAAAAATAACATTCAGAAGAGGAAGAAAAAACAGAGATTATTGGCGTGTTGTTCCTCCCTATGTGTTTATACGAGGTTGATGAGCATGATCACCTGCAGACAGCCTTGCTCGTGTATATGTTATGCTCTGGTCGAATCATTCCAGGGATTTTGAGGAAATTACTTTTCTATTATATGATAAGACAAATACACAAGTTCGGATTATTTGTTGTCGTAGAGAAAGCGGTTTTGCTAAATAACATATGAGGAGATACTTGTTTGCTTTGACGCGTGGTAAGCTTTGGAAGATGAATCTGTCTTACTTTATTGACGTGTAGATTGCTGAACTGTGGTAGGTGCAAATTATGTAGTCATGCATATTTTGGCGAGAAATTGATCATGTTTGTTTCGTTTGAAATAAATGTGATGGATGCGATGTGGAGTGAAAGTGCTTCGAGAAAGAAAACATGAACGTAAAAAGAACTATTTGATGTTTGGAACAGTTTCATACCATAATGACGCTCCATTAAAATATTTGTGTGTTGAATTAAAATGTCTTTGATGGTGACACAGAGTGGGCCACTGCCCACTTCACGACTTTGATCAATACAAACGCAATAAATTCTAATATTTCGCATTTGGCTGATTTGACTTTAAACAAATCAAACAACAAGATGAGAAAAAATATAAACTGCAACATTAAAAGGATTTGCATTCCTTTAAAATCACATTTAAAAGGAATACAGTTTTCCACATATTTGATGTTAAACGCTCAAGATTGAAATGAAGTTGATGAATTATTTGTGATGGGAAAATATTTATTTTGATGAAGTTGTGATCAGATATAATGACAAAGTCGGTCAGGCGTACGATCCGTTGAACGATTATCACTCAAGCATGGCGGCGTCTTTGATCAGTGTTTGGTTAAACACTGTTTGTGACATGTTTGCCTGTCACGTTTCTCTTGAAGATGGTGTAACTACTTAATCCATTAGATGAGTTTTTAGCCGCGGCACTGCACTTCAGCAGCAGTTCATTTACAGTACCAGTATCACATGTTTGAAAGTGTAAGAATCGATTGAAAATTTAACGGACTTATTTTTATTGGTGGAGAAAAAAGTCACTTTCTTTAGTTAGAAAGCTTTGAGGCAAATGCCAATTGCCTCTGGTCCTATCTTTTAATGTTAAAAGAGTTGCTTTGACAAATAGTCATTAGGAAAGTAATGTACGGAAATGTTGTATTTGGATACAATCACTCAATCAGATTTCCTTGTTTCTCGTGATGAATATGTTCTATTTTCAATTGTGTTTCATATGTCACTTACCACTTTCCTTCACAATGGAAAAAAATACCCAAAGTGTTTTGCTTCAAAGTAGTAATCATAATGTTGAAGCAAAACTGGATTTTTTGTTGTCATATTGAATAACATGACGAAAATCATTTCGAGGAAATTGTAGGTATTTCAACTCAGCAAATTCAATATTTTAATATCTCAGAGGGTTTGTTTTTCTTTTTAATAAAGTGATGAATTGTCAGCACAAAAATATTGAATTTCGTTTTCTTTAATTCCAGACTCAGTTGAGACATCATGACGCCAGAATCGTAGAAGCCAAAGCTCTCAAGATCAAAGAGTGGGTCACGAACAAACTGCATGAGGTGAGACACATACAGTGGTTTACAGACTATGTGTAATTCCTGCGAGTGCCCTACCTCTGTTACGTCACTGTCATAATGCTGTAGTTTGGCTGTCACCACACTGTCACCACGCTGTCATCACACTCTACCATCAGCTGACCCAAATGTGTCGTGTTGATAAACGTTTGCTTCCACATTGGTTGACAAACTACCAGTGCATGTACTACGTGAAAGAAGTTAAGGATTATTTCATGTTACGATAGTTAATCTGTCATCACATACAAGTACTCTTACCTATTTCGGGGCGGTCGGGTAGCCTAGTGGTTAAAGCGTTCGCTCGTCACACCGAAGACCCGACATGGGTACAATGTGTGAAGCCTATTTCTGGTGTCCCCCGCTGTGATATTGCTGGAATATTGCTAAAAGCGGCGTAAAACCATACTCACTCACTCTTACCTATTTCAGTGAATGTCTCTGTTGTAAGTTTCATGACCCCCTACCCCCACATACATCAAACATTTTTTCATGTTCCCCCCTTAAATATAAGGACCAGTCCTTAAACAATGTTCAAATTTATCATTTTTTTATTTGAAAAAGTAGAACTGTATCATACCCATTGTGAATAATTATGGCAGAAAATACTCTGTGGGCTGAAAATATTGTCTGGAGCCCCAGGTGTGCTTTGGTATCATTTTGTTTTTGTCTCTTGCCTTTTGACATATGGACCATTCCTGTGAAGATTCTGGGTTAGAATTGGTCTTCAGTAACCCAGGCTTGTCGTAAGACAACTAACAAGATCAGGTGGTCATACTTGGTGACCACCATCTTATAGTTATAACATTACTGAGTGCAGCATTAAACTACAAACAAACAAAGATATGGACAAAGAGAAACCTTGAAACAAGACATTAAACTAGTCTGGCTTAATATAGCTTCCAAAGTTTACATCTGACATTTGAAGATATAGCCAAACAGTATTTGCAACCAAAAAGGAATTTGTTACGTCAGAAAAAAAAAGAAAAGGATTTGTGCTGCCAGATACTGGTACATCAAAATAGAATAATTTAAAAAAAATGAACTTCAATAGCTGTTTTTCTGCTGTGCTGGTCATTCTATAAATAATATCAGTATAATGAAAGAAAACAGGAACTTGGCAATATAAACTTCACAGAAGAACTCAGAGAACAACAGCTTGTATAGCTGTATGAAAAAGTCTGGTGTTCTAACCTCTTTTGCGTGGTGCATTTTGTCCTTTCTACTAATAAATTGTCTCTGTTGGATATTGGTGCCACATTGCTAAGAGGTCTCCCCTTAATAATGATTGTATAATAGGACATAGGCATGAGATATAAGATTTATAACACATACATTACAGCTGGAGGACAGTGGGATGTAATAACAGGCATATTGTGAAACAGATTTATGACCTGTATATTGCTGTTGAGGAATGCACCCTGAGGCGGTCACTTCAGAGCATGTACCATGATATAGGAACAAAAGCATGTATATTTCATCCAGTAGGACAGGGAATTAAAACATGTGATGTGTAGCATGTATTGCAGTGATGTACGATAACATGTATATTTCAAACAGTTGGAAATACCCCTGAGACGTCTTTATTCCTATATAAAAGTTGAATAGAACATTTATAACCATAAGTAATTTCACAAAATATAAATCTGTCTGGGAATCAATATTAGTTTATACTGCAGTAAGATTTAATCTTGAAGATGTCTATCATTTCTATTCTTTGCTTAGGTTGCATGGTCATCACAAACCAACTGCCTATTTGTTACATGTTTTTGATGTAGATATTGTTTCCAAAGAACAATAGAAATTATGGAAATGTAATATCTTTTAAGTCCTGGCTTCATCTTGTGATAAATGATGAGATATAAGAAGTGTATATTTTTGGGGCCATGTGATATGCATTATTTAAGAAGTGAAGAAAACCTGTACAAATCAGTAGGAAAGTTGTATTCATATGTGTTCAGATGTGTTCATATGAATAGATTTTGTCCATTTCAACAATGGCATGTTTGGGTCTTGTAACTACACTATATGCACTGTAGATATCGCTGCAATGAAATTGCATCACAATGCTTTGCAGACCATTGTGATGTCATTGGTTACTATGACATCACAATCAAATGACATCACTAATGGCTTTGCAACTGAAGCTGTTAGCAGTACTTTTTACACTTAAGACACTGCTTATTACTGGGTACAAACTGAAAAGGTTGGAAGAATGATATTGGATGATAAATAAAATCTCACCCGAGTGTCTTTTGATTTCAAATATATCAACACTCTATTTTTTGGGGGGGTGGAAACATAATCGCAAAAGAATTGCTTGGTCAACCAATTAAAAGCTATGCAATTATTTGCAATTCAATTATTCATAAATAACACAAGTTGACAGTTTTGTTTCATCGAACTTCTAACACCATGCTTATTAATCTCTTCAAGTATGTTAATCTTCACTTTCAAAATTCCCATTCTCCTTTCAGTGTTGACGTCATTTAATACACACCTGTATAGACAAGGGGAAAGTGCCAAAGTCTTAATTAATTCTTGTCTTGTCATGACTTAATGACCTTGTTATGACCATTGTACAAAGCGATCTTAGCGCTAAGGTGATCATAAACCCCATACTCTAACACAGACTTAAGACAGTTGTAGCGCTAAGGTTATTATATAACCCCATACTCTAACATAGCCTTAAGACAGTTGTAGCGCTAAGGTTATCATAAACCCCATACTCTAACATAGACTTAAGACAGTTGTAGCGCTAAGGTTATCATAAACCCCATACTCTAACATAGACTTAAGACAGTCGTAGCGCTAAGGTTTTGTTTTTTTTTACAATGGTACTTTGGTGGGCAACCTGAAAAATAAACATCTAATGTTGATTGTCCTCAATGACTAGTAACATTTGAGGGCTATAATTCTGAATTAGTTCTCCATGTCTTGAGTTTACAACAAATCAGTCTATCAGGACAGCTCTGAGAACAGATGCACAGTTCTGCACTGTTCCTGTAGCCTGGTGTGTAACACGTGTATATCTGATACGTGGTGTGTACTCTGCAGCTGGAGGAGCAGAACCATGAGATCCAGCGTGAGAACGACATGCTGCAACAACAGGTGGAGCTGCTACGTGATCGCCTACAGTCTCTCCCTGCACAGGCCGTCAAGGAAATATACAGACTCAGCCTTGAGATGCAGGTTGGTTGATGTACTGAGGAACTGAGGCTCCAGCAGAACAACTGCAGTTGCACCTTTTAGTGTGTTAGCAGATCTGACATATATCGCAAAGAAATATGGTTTACTGACTTAGTATAGCTAAGATATTAAGATGTAGTCTACCGACTTAGTATAGCTAAGATATAAAGATATAGTCTACTGACTTAGTAAAACTAAGATATGATCTACTGACTTAGTATAGCTAAGATATTGCCTACTGACTTAGTATAGCTAAGATATCGTCTACAGACTTAGTATTGCTAAGATATTGTCTACTGACTTTGTACACCTTAAATATAGTCTACTGATTCAGTATAGCAGAAGTTTTATCCGCAGATGTTGCAGAGCTAAAAATAGTCTACTGACTACAGCTAAGATATGGTCTATTCATGTGGAGACCCGTGAAGATCCGGGGTAGAATAGGTCTTCAGCAACCCATGCTTGCCGTAAAAGGCAACTATGCTTGCCGTAAGAGGCGACTAACGGGATCAGGTAGTCAGGCTCGCTGACTTGGTTGATGCATGTCATCGTATCCCAATTGTGTGGATCGATGCTCATGATGTCAATCACTGGATTGTCTGGTCCAGACTCGATTATTTACAGACTGCCGTCATATAGCTGGAATATTGCTGAGTCCGGCTTTAACCTATTGATGTGGTGAACTGAGATTTGATCAACTAATGTAGCCTATTGCCTAACTATAGCCAAGATATGGTCTTTGGACTTAGTGCACTACAGGTAAGGTCTTTTCAACTCGCTTCTAAAGCTAACAATTTGTCTGTCTGTTCTAGGAGGGATCCATCTCCAGATCTACGTCCAGAGGATCAGAGCCACCTGAGATTCCACAGCGTCCTCGCAGCTCCGTGCTGGAAGCCATGCATCGAGAGATGTCCAGCAAACAAAGTAGCTTGGAGGATGCGGAGGAACACATTTCTGAAGGAGAGAGTGAGGAATCCATGGGGGACATGGACCATGAGCAGCTGTACCAGGAGGTGGATGCAAACCACGAAAGCATCTACGAACCAAAACGTTTAAATCCACCTCAGATCAAAATTGAACGGAAAATTCTGCAGAGTGCCCATTTACTTGATTCTCTCGTCAGTTCTTGCAATGGAAGTGAAGAAATGTTGGAGCGGGCTCGGGTGTCCATATCGCAGATTCAGAAGGAGTTCAACGGACATGAGGTTGATGAACAAGATCTCATCATTGCTGAGGAAATCACTCCGATCAGTCTCACCCCCAAAACTCCCATGACCCCCCTCACACCTTTCCTTCCTGATGCACCGCCAAGCACGCCAACAAATTTCTTCAGCGTCAACTTTGATGCTTCGAACATTTCAGCAATAGCGACGTTACCCAGAGTGAGAAAGGAGAAGTTGCCAGGGGCCTTCATTCACTCCGACAACACTGCCAGGGAGTTTATTCCACACAGGGAGCTGATCACGGGAGTGGATATTCAGGTGCACCATTTTGCCAATTCGGAGCCAACGGACATAGGGGCAGCAGGGAGGAGATCAGTGACAATAACCAACAATGTGCCTAAACAAACAGAACAGACCTCGGGACCTCACACCAAACCAGTTACCTCAGTGAGTTAGTTCCCTGTGTTTTATGATGTGCATTAGCGAAAACAGGTACAGCTTATAGGAAAATGGGGTGTGCACAGCTTATAGGATAAGGGAAGGGCCCTTAATATGTAGAAAAATGAACAGAAAGAATTTAGGAACAATTTGCGTTAATTGATTGTTACATTTGTTACAAAAATGATGGAGTTAAAGTTAGATGTTGTGTATGCATCAACATGATAACTACCATATTTTCTTGAGTATAGTGCGCACTTTTTTTCCAAAAAACACAGCTGTGTAGAAGGGGGTGCGCATTATACACGAATTAATGAGTTTTGATGTTTTTTACACAAGGTAAACTTAATCCCTGGATATCAAACAATAACTAGAAGAACAAAAAATACAATTTAAACAGTAAATCAACGTGTCTGGTGATTTTTTATCTAAAATTTCGAATTTGTACTGACCAAGTTTCTCAATCTCATCACCTGTTCGTTTGCCGGACTTCGCCAAAGGGGTACGGTGTAATTTTTTTTCTGCGCTTGGTATTCAAATTTTTTTTTCCAAAATATTGAATCCGCTAGAGGGGGGTGCGCACTATACTCAAGAAAATATGGTATGCTCTAAAAGTGTGTGTGTGTGTTTGTGTGTGTTTGTGGTGGGGGGTGGGGGAGCGGGGCGGGAGATCCGTGTATGGGTTGTGCCACTTTAGCCCCACTGACAGTGTATTGTGACAAGGATCCCTGAAGTGGTCCTTGTATTGAGATCTTCAACAAATCCTACATTATTTATTTTTAAAATGAATATTTCATACTTTTTATTTCTAATTCATCAGAGGAGTTATTGTGAGGTGCTGATACATTGTCATAACACCATCATCAGAGAAATAAAGTTATGTACAGTAAATTACGGTTATAACGAACACGCTAATAACGAACTGGCGGATATAACGAACTTACTTTTTAGTCCCGACTATTTGCTGTAGTTATGCTGTATATATACTTATAACGAACTATGGTTATAACGAACTAAAAATAGTAGTCTCTTTGAGTTCATTATAACCGTAGTTACTGTAGTTATGTATGTAGCATAAATTGCTCGTTGAACCTTCTGCATGGTGAATTTGAATGAGGTTTTGTGCGATACTTAACATGAAAGCATCTCCATTATGTAACTGTCCTGTGAACACAGCTCCACACCAACAAGCTGTAGTACATTGACACATAGCAAGTAGAGCTAGGATGAGTCCAAATTTACTATCCGGGTACCCGACCCCCTATTAGCGGACCCTACCCGGGTACCCACTGCAAGTCTCAAGAGTTGGGAACAAGATGTCCGATTCGGACTTGTTTCACCACAGCACTGGCAAAAATTATTAAGATACATGTATCATACGATCAGATCATGCATACAGTGAAGTTGACTGGCTTCGGTGTTATCTTTACTCAAACATATACAAGTAAAAGGAATGTGTGCATTGTCAGAAAGATTTGCGAACATTAGTGACTTGTAGTGTAACCACTGAGCTATCGTTAGTTTCCGTCATAAAACAATATATCACGTGACTTACCATGGGTCCAGGTAGTCCTGTGGGTACCTGAGTCCAATGCAGGAACCACCCAACCCGAGTACCCGAGTTACCCGTCCCAGCCCTAATAGCAAGGTACCAAGTTTTGACACATACTTCAACAGTCCCCAAAATTTAATTGTGAATTTATTTACATTCTCAAAGATGTTCTACGGCCGGCAAATCCTACTTGCAACAATTTAAAGAGCTAGCTAGTCAGAGGCGTATGTCAAGTGACTTCTGTAAAACCTGCCAAGAAGATAATGATTAGAGCTCACATTTTTTGACAGAACATGTTTATGGATGCCTAATAAAAATGTCACTTATGTCAGGTCACTTGATGAGGTAAATGATATTTACAGGACATAGGTTCTATTTATTATGTATATTGCTACTGATTGTCACGATCTTACACTCAAAGCTTAAGTGCCATTGAAGCAGACTGAAAGTTGTCCGGCATCAAGTGTTAATTATTTCACTCAAAGGACATATCAGTTTATATTTTTGAGATAAATACAGTATCACTAAATATGTAATAATTATTTTTCTCCAACATCAAACGTTGGGACTCTGTATACCAGGGCCCTCTTGCACAAAGCGATCTTAGTGCTACGATGTTCGTAACTCCCATACTTTAACATAGTCTTAGCGCTAAGATCGCTTTGTGCAAGTGGGCCCAGGTCATGACTTAGTTGGTCTCTCTATGCCCGTGGATATTCATCCAGGTACTGGGGCTATTCATGTGCAATTAGGAGCAATCAGCAAAACTCAATATTCAGTACTGGGGATCTAATCTGGCCACAAATCCCATGTGGTTAGAGTGCTGCTGATCACTGTGCTTGAGTAACCTGCATGCAGGGGTAAGGTAGACGGAGTTACCTCCCTTGACACATCAGGGGAGGTAATAAAGTGTGGCACCAGTGCAAACTAAACCAAACATGTCTTCCTTTGGCCCAGGTTTTCCCTTACCCTTACCACTGCTGTACTACTGGTGCCGTGCCATGAGATCATACAGGACCTGATGCCACGTACACTGTCAGACATGTGCTGATAAGATGATATGATGTTTACACTTATTGACTTTTTATTCTGATTTTGAATTTTGTTCTGTTTCTTTTTGTCTCAGTGTGTATGTAAGGTAAACTTGTTTGAACCCTTCCTACAGTAATAAGCACGATTGTGTTTGATGTTTTACAGGAGAAAAGAATCTATGCAGTAGCCAATAAGCGGACCAAAGGATGGAGAAAAGTGTCAGAGGTGAAAGGTCAGTATGACACTCAGAATTATAATACAAGGTTTCGTTCAAAGTGGAACTGAATATAAATATACTTACAGAAATCCTATTTATGTCATCCATTCCCTTTTGATTGTAGCCAAAGCGATGTTAGGGGCTGAATATGACCTCAGTAGCTTGTGATTATGGTAAATTGGGCAACCTTTAGGTTATCATAATGGCCATAGTGAATGTCTGCTGTGAATGTCTAGCTCTTGGTTTGGTGGCCTTGCAAAACTCTCAGCTCTGGTCAAGATAATTGTGTGTCAGAATGACTCAGCATGCCTCATGTGGTCAGACTCGGTGACTTGGTTGATTGTGTGTCATCGTACCCTAATGGCATGGATCGTTGCTCACAATATCAATCACTGGACTGTGGTCCACTGTCATATAGCTGGACTAAGTGATCACAGGTTCAAATCCTTGATATGACCTGATTATCACATTCAAGTCACTTTAATAAAGTCAGCTCTAAGACAAAGGGGCTGATTCTATTCCTGAACCCACATTGGGATGATGTGTAAGTTTAATGAACACAATTGTTCCTTGTTCTCATCCACCAGAACCTTCCCCAATAATGGAGAACCACGCGGCCAACAACTTGTACAGGGACTTCACCGTGCCGGTGTATGCAACTCTCAAAGGGGTAAGTTGGAAATGACAAGACAGTAGAACTCCAGGGGCAATTGTCTACATTGTGTCAACCTTAGAGACAAGCAGACTGCCGCCGGTTCAGATTCTAGCTATTTACATCTTTAACAATATATTGAATTTAAGTTTGAATCAACAAAATGTCACTGTCATGTGCTTCATGACTTAGTTACAGACCTTGTCATAGGTCGACCACTTCCTAGGTCTAGTGGTAGAGTGTCAGCCCGGAGAGCAGAAGGTCTGGGGTTCGATCCCAGGCTGCCTCATACCAAGAAACTTTAAAAGATGGTACTTGTTGTTACCCTGCCTGGCGTTTGACATTAAGAGGCTAAAACAAGGACTGGTTGGCTCGGATTCAGTATACTCTGTCTGAGTGGGGTATTCATGTTAAAATGTGGCATGGTATCTCAGTGTGAGATCAACATCAGTCTGGACTAGTACAAGCAGCCACACACACACACACACACACACACACACACACACACACCACACACACCACACCACACACACACACACACACACACACACACACACACACACACACACACACACACACACCACACACCACACACACACACACACACACACACACACACACCAAGCTGGCTATCCTTGATTATCCCGAGGGGCGGTCGGGTAGCCTAGTGGTTAAAGCGTTCGCTCGTCACGCCCAAGACCCAGGTTCAATTCCCGACATGGGTACAATGTGTGAAGCCCATTTCTGGTGTCCCCCGCCGTGATATTGCTGGAATATTGCTAAAAGGGGCGTAAAACCATACTCACTGACACTAATTATCCTGAATATTATGTCTCCATTCTATTTTAATAAATGCCCCGGACCCATCTGCCACCATAGCTTTGTTTCGGAAATTACATCACCATTTCCTTTGCTCCAATCTCTAACTTTGCACAACATATCTCATGCTCAGGAGAGTATTTTAATTTGACTGCTATTTTTAGCATCGTATCATTTGATTCAGGCTTAAACGGAGCTATGGTTGTGAATGGATCCAGGGAATAAATCACAATAGAATGATGATATGATACAATAGGTAACGGAGGATGCAAGTTGACACACTGTATAACTAAATGCTGTTCAAACTAAACTCACTAACTCACAAAGCATCAGTCGATCAAGGGTATCTTGCTGAGGAGAATGTCTTGCCAAACACCTCAGTGAAGAGTGTATGGGCTGACACAGATTTAGCATGTAAAGTAAAGAAAAATATTTTCTATATCACTTATTAACTTTAATTCCCCATTTTTACAGAAAGCTGCTCAGATCCGCAGCACACCTTTCATGGAAGAGACATCATCCGATTCTTCTGAGAATGAGGAGGAGATTCCTGTTGCCGTGGTAGCGCCGAGCCAGTCTGCTGCTGGTGTGAGCAGCATGGCCACCGACACAGTGCAAGTGAAGACCCCCAGTGCCCAGACCACACCCAAACCTGTCAGAAGTAAGTCACCCAACCAATGTTAGTTAGCTGCAGCTGAAATCGCTTGTGATAGGTGACCGAGGCAGCCTGGGTTGTATGGTCCCCAGGGAGCTGAGAATGACATTCGACAACACACTGATTCATTGTTGAATATTATTATGTACAAAATATCATGGACATAACATGTAATTATATGATTGTATGATTCATATATAACTGTACCAATTTGGGGACGAAGGCTTTGTCTTGGTAATTTGGAATTTGTATGGAATTTGTATGGAATTTGTATGGAATTTGTTGCCTGTCCAGGTGCATCCTGCCACTCTGCTGCGTCCGAGGTGTCATGTGACTACGCACTTCCCCCAGATGACTCCTCGGGCAAGAGTGACTCGGACACGTCAGAACCAGAACAGAAACTGCTCAAATTTGCTGCAGATAGTCAGAAACATGTGAGCACTTGTTACCTCCTTAAAGGGAACTGTCATCAGGACAGTTGTAGTGACGATTGAATTTCTCTACAATACTCAGTGAAATATTTGCTTTGTAAGACGGAAAGATGATGTTCAGACTCGATTATTTACAGACCTCTGTCATATAGCTGGAATATTGTTGAGTGGGCTTTAAACAACAAACAAACAAACATATGCATAAATGAAGCTGAATCATTTTAGAAATCTGATTGCCTCAAAAACCCACACATCCTTCATTTAAATTGTTTGATTGGTATTACTTAGAAGTTGACGGATGACAAGATAGACACAATTTTATGACTTGCATGACAACGGTATAAGGATCTTTACCGAAACGTCGCTTTTCACAGTATTAAAGAAGTTATTATACATAAAATTGTGTCTATCTTGTCATCCTTCATTTAGTTTGGGTGGTCCAATTCTGCTCAAGGTAAGCAACAGTATAGAGTAAAAGATAAAAACCTTTGCCCCCGGCTGATGCTGGCCTTTCTGTTTTCAGGATACATTGGAGAAGTGTGGCTACCTGTCAAAGCTGAGTGGCAAGGTGAAGACGTGGAAGCGGCGCTGGTTCACGCTAAGGAACGGGGAACTGTTCTACTACAAGTCACAGCATGACGTGCTAAGGAAACCACAGGGCTCCATCAAACTGGACGAACAGACGCGCATCTCTCGATCTTCTGCAGAGCTCACTTTCGAAGTGTGTAACATTTGGAGAATAATCTTTCAAAGGGCTAAAATGTTGTACATTGTTTTATATGTAGTCAGTGACAGACATGGCCAAGGAATAAGGAACCTACCATTTAATTTCAACCATAAGGGTAGAATGATTATGTGTAATAACTTCCTGATATTTGCACACATGCATTGTAGCAATTCTCAATGCTGATTGGTCAATTGAATCCATATGCGTCACCGTGCTTCATTGATGAGAAAGTTTGATATGACGTCATCCTTTGTTCATAACGTCACAAAATGATTACATAATGTCATCTAAACAATACGCTGCCTTCAGTGAAGTTCGTGTGTAGGGCTGATTTTTCAAACGTTGTTTTTTTTTCATTTTCTTCTTTTAAAATATCAAGGAGTAATAAATAGAATAATCTACTCTAAACTCGGAAATATGTATGATCTGTCCATTGTGAATGAATGCTGTTAGTTCGCCAAAGGCTGACGACTAACACCATTCATTCACTCGGAACAGATAATCTGTAATTCCTTATAGCTGTTGGTTACTCTCTAAATATTCTAAGGGGTTGCCAGAGATAGGATATTTGATCACTGTTTCAATTTTTTCTCCGAAAGAAGGAACTAAACAGTTTTATTTTTTCACAGCACATCATTTCAAGACACCCAGCATGTCTAGTGGATAATTTTGTTATTTTTTTAAAAACCTGAATCCAAATGTATTTCTTTCCAGATCATTGTTTTTCCTTGTTTTACATTTTGTTTTCTCTCTGCAGAGATGTTTGAAGGAAATATAAGAACAATTGTATTTATTTTGTTCCTAGCAGAGAATTTGCTCATATTTTTCAATTGGGAATTGATCTATTGTTCAATATTGAAGTTTCTGATTTCCAGATAACTAACCCAAAGAAGACCTACTACTTATCAGCCAACTCCATAGCAGAAATGGACAGATGGATGCGATGTAAGTTGACATTCCTCTTGTGAGGATACAGTGACAAGCCTGAAATTTTACTGAAATAATTGTAGTATACAGTTGTGTATGTGGGGATGCTTGGTTATAATTTCACAACAGCATCCTATGCTTGTTGTAAGAGGCGAGTTAATGTATCGGGTGGTAAGGCCTGGTGACTCTCTTCAAAGCCTGTTATCAAGTAACAACAGTGTGGATCGTTGCTCAACGTATCTCTGGTCCAGAGTTGACTCTCTCTCTCTCTCTCTCTCTTTCTCTCTCTCTCTCTCTCCCCCTCTCACTCTCTCTCTCTCTCTCTCTCTTTCTCTCTCTCTCTCTCTCCCCCTCTCACTCTCTCTCTCTCTCTCTCTCCCTCTCTCTCTCTCTCTCTCAGTTCTAGATGACAAATTTGATTGATTTATTTTATTTAATTTGGTTGTCAAATCTTCAAGTGTCTGTCTTCTGATCAATTTAAGAAAGTCAAAAAGCACCTGATCGTCCCCTGGAACTGTTTTACTGGGTTGCCCACTTCGCAGATTATATTCTAATGAATCACACTGTTCGTCTCTTTTAAAAAAGTTTGTAATCGTTCTCCTATTTTTACCTGGACTGCTGCAATTTTTGGTCCAGAATAATGATCTTTTTGCAGATAAATAATTATTTTCTTTTGGTCAGGTGTAATCTCTCTGTTATGCATTGCCATCGTGGAAGCAGATGACAAAATTGTAGACAAAGGGAGATAATCAGTCCAAACAGTGACAGGGCTTAAAACACACCTTGTAAAAATTTTGTTTGTATGTTGTTTAATGCCAGACTCAGCAATTTTGCAGCTATATGCTGGTGGTCTGTAAATAATCGATTCTGGACCAGATAATTCAGTGATTCATATCATGAGCATCGATCCACAAAATTACGATCACATGCATCCAGCAAGTCAGCAATCCTGACCACCCAATCCCGTTAGTTGCATCTTACAACAAGCATAGTCACCTTATAAGGCAAGCATAGATTGCTGAAGACCTATTCTACCCCAGATCTTCACAGGTACCTTGTAAAAAGGTTCTTGATATGTGATATATGTTGGTAACGTCAACCATTTTGGTATCTTACTTATGGTCAGAGAGTGTACAACAATGGCCACTCTGACCAAGGGGTGAATTTTTCTGAAGAGTTGTCTCCCTTTGTCATTTACTCTACATTCATTTTTATTGGACAGTTTTTGTAATATTTGATGTCAGGCTATGTTTTGTCAAAATGGAAGTTTGGTTTATGCGTATCATTGCTACTTGACACACTGCAGAGAACAATTCAACAGCTGAATTAACTCCTGATATTGACGGGATTCATGTTCATTTCATTTGTTTCTAATTCCAGTACTTAACCGAGTAATCAAGAGACAAGCAACAAGCTATCTACTGGACAATATGGATGGCAAGGCAGTTGTCAAGGGGTGGATTACCAAGGTCTGGCCTGTTGTTATCTTTACTGCCATATGATATATATATATATCTTGAAATAACACGAGCGTGCATAAAATGCGAAAAATGCGAGTGGTCTTTGTTCGCATTAAATGAAACTTCGCATTTATGTCTCCAAAATGACTATCAACAATAAGACGGACACTTAAGATAGCAGAAATACCATCTTCAATATAAACACAAACACGGTTTATTGAACAGCAGTTGTAACAAGTATATAACAATGTCATATAAAGAATAGGAATTAAACAATAGGCATCTGGTAAGTTATCACAGCTGTGGTCAAAAGTTCTACCCACTCGTGTCAAACTAGGCATCATTGACCACTCCAATCAGTGAACTGTTTTTTTTATTACCTTTGAACTTCCTTCATACCAATCAACAGAATAAACATATATACTGTGTGTTGTTGTTAGGAAATCACTGTTTCTTGTTGTTACGGAAATGCTTTACTCAGTGCTAATAGCGACATTGTCGCATTGATTTGAGTCGCATTTTTGGCTTGGGGCCAGCAGTCGTATTAATTTGGAGATGCATTAGTTTCAAGATTTACAGTATATGGAAAAAAATGTAGCACCTGTTTCCCTTTGGTGTGGTCAGTTTAGGTCACCTGAACTAAAGTACTAGTGTCTTTAGATATTGTGAAACACAAATCCAATCTGATTTCATAAGCATCCTTATTGTAAATGTCACTTGCCTGTTTCTCCACCACTTGTGCATGAAACAGTGGTTGATGATATCACCCATTTCTAGCGCCCCTCTCCATGATATTGCTGGAATATTGCTTACAGCGTGTCAAACCTCACTCACTCACTCACTCACTCACTCACTCACTCACTCTTCTCAGTACTGGAGGTATCAGAATGTACAGATTCCAATCAACACCTTTACACCATCCTGTTTATGTCATTTTTTTGCCATTAGAATTGGAATCTAAGGACCCGCTATATCTATGAGACCGCCTCCGTTGTCTTGTGGTAGAGCGTCCGCCTGGAGAGTGGAAGGTCTGGGGTTCGATCCCCAGCCGTGTCATACCAAAAGACGTTAAAAGATGGTACTTGTTGTTACCCTGTCTGGCGCTCGGCATTAAGGGGATAAAACAAGGACTGGTCGGCTCGTAGTCAGTATACTGTGTCTGAGTGGGGTATTCATGTTAAACTGCGGCATGGTATCTCAGTGAGCTAGCACTATAAATCGGCATCAGTCCGGACTAGTACAAGCAACCACACGAACACACACACGTACATGCATGTCGCTATATAAGTGCAATAATCTTGGACGCGACGTTAAACCCCATTTCACCTCACCTCACCTCACCTCACCTCACCTCAGAATACAGAACTGTTGACTATTTGTATGGTGTTGGCAAATCAACAGATATATTAATTAGACTTTATCCTTTATTTCCTCCACTGGTGATTGTATGGAGACTGTGGTGTGATGGTGTATGTTGTGTCTGCAGGTGAAGAACGGAACAACTCGCAGATGTTGGTGTGTGCTGCTCAGTCGCCACTTTCTCTACTACAAGACGCCATCAGACAAAGTAAGGCAGGGATCTAGTAGCTTGTGTCCTCTCCATCACATCTGTCATGTGTTTTATAGTTTATGTATCCTGAGTATGAAGGATTTATCTCATTCTCTGAACATTTTATTTGATGAGTTTCTCGGCAGTATTTCCATGGATGAATGGTACAGTGAAACCTTGTTAATCTGGACCCAATTAGTCTGGAGAACACAGTCACTGGTAGGAACGTTGACATATACACATAGGAAAGTTCTCTGAAGTTTGTTATCTGGACGTTTTCACCAAGATCTGTACTGTCCAGTTTAATGAGGTTTCACTGTAAGTGTTACTGAACATGTCGGTCAAACTACTTGATTCAAAGTTTAGTAAGAAGCTTACGATAGTCATTGCTATGCACATGAGAGAGTGAGAGATGAATAAGTCTTGTAGGCCATTACTGTATGACACTGTGTGTCACTGGAGCTGTGTGACACTGTGCTGTGTTGTTGCCAGACCCCGATTGGTCAGATCCAGCTACGAGACGTGAGGTTGGAGGAAATTGACGGGACATGTGACTCGGACGATGAGTCGGATGTTGCTACCCCGTCGCGTCACGTCATCGCCATCTGGCCACCATGTCAGGGACCAACATATCTCGTGATTCCCACCAAACAGGAAAAGGTAGGTTGACGAGGCAGGACATGTTTTTGATGTTGTAACCACTGTCACATTATCCCTGTTGTCATCCATTACCCTATCATCCTTACACTCCTGCCACTTTCCCCAAGAGGCCATGAGTGCCCCTGTTGTCTAAGTAGCAGCTGTTCCCTATGCAGAGTTGTCTCCCTTTGCCATACAGGATCCACTTACACACTTGGATATAAATGGCATATTGAGAGTCAACCTATCTCACTCCAATGTTTTAACCCATAAAAGGAATTAAGACTGAACTCAAAATGTTATGACCAATACCGTATTTATTCACGTATAATACACACTTTTTTCACAATTTCTAGACTCCCAAATTAGGCATGTGTATGATACATGAGAACTAAATGTTAACCCCTTTTCTCCAGCCAAGTGTTAGGCCATACAACAGAAGACGACCTACGGGATGGTATGGCCGGAAATATTACCGATAGTTATATCCACTGATGTATCAGCATAAATCACAACACTTACCTTCCTTTTAATAATAAGATAATAAGAATTAATAAAACTGCAAACCATTCTGACATCTCATGTTATATGCTAACTTCATATTTTTTTTATTGTGAGGGAGTATGGTTTTACGCCGCTTTTAGCAATATTCCAACAATATCACGGCGGGGGACACCAGAAATGGGCTTCACACATTGTACCCATGTCGGGATTCGAACCTGGGTCTTCAGCATGACGAGCGAACGCTTTAACCACTAGGCTACCCGACCGCCCCTTTTTTTTTTAATTGTATTGATGATCATCATTGAAAACAACATGACCTATAAATTACCAATGTGAGTTTGCTGTGATGTATATATGTGTGTTTGTTTCCCCCCCAGGATTCCTGGCTGTACCATCTCACAGTAGCCACAGGGGGAGGGGCCGGCACTGTCGGCACTGATTTCGAGCAGCTGGTGTCTAAACTCATGGAGGCAAATGGAGATCCAAGTAGGTGTTGTTTCAGCTCACCTGACTGAAAGTCAAATAAGCTTATGGTCTGGCATTTTGTCTGTCCTATCTGATGTAAACTTTTGCAGTTAACTACATGGCTTATGAAGGTGAAACATTGCATGGATGATTTTAGTTCTGGTGCCAAAAATTACCAGTGCTCAAACAACTCCAATCTAACTTTAAAATGTCATATGTAGTCCTTACACACACATATTTGCTTGTATAATTATGAAATTTGATATTCAGCAGGTATATGGTTTTCAGAGTAACATGTAATACAATGTTGGCATATATTTTTTTTTTATTTTATTCAGCTACTACCTTTGATGTTAAGGTGTTCAAGTCAATATGATTCTATTGTAAATATTTGTTAATGTTTAAATATATCTGTACAGACTCCGTGATGTGGAAACATCCGATCCTGCTCCACACGAAGGAGCCAATCAGTCGGCCCATGACCACGCTGCCTTCCGAGGACTTGCAGGAGAAGGCTGTTGAACTGTTCAAGGTAGTCTGTCTCACAGTTCCTGATCCATAGTATTTTCCCTTCCGCCCAGCCCTATACTGTAATGCTCTAACCCTAAATGGATCGAGTAGTTTCATCTCACTTGGGCCCCTGTTGGTATTTGTAATTTTGCTGTAAAAACTTTTCAGCCAAAACACAGTTGAAGGCTGTCAGCAGGTGATATTTGTAGCATTATAACAAGGGGATTGGCAAGATAATGAACAAAATATGTTCAAAATATGTTCAAAATATGTTCAGAATATGTTCAAAACCAATCAACACTTTTGTTTTACATTCCAATTATGGAAGATGGAAGGACTTGTCTCAGTAAGATGAGACAATTAGATAGGATAAGATATATGGATGAACAACTTCTTTACTACAACTAGGGGCGACATTTTGGTGTAGGTTCTAACAACGTAAACGTTATCAAGCAAGTGATCTACAGAGTATGGTTGACAACCATATATCCATGTATGAGGCAGTGTTTAAATACTGCAAATAATCACTACCGGTAGTTGTTTATCAGTGTTTACCCTGTTGGGACCCAGACCAGAAGAGATCCTTGGTAGGCCATCTTGTTGTACGAGCCAAATAAGGAGGGCCACATGGTTACATATAGTTTGTACAGACTTGAAAAAAACTTGAGTTTGTACAAAATGAAATATAGTTGTTAATCAAAGTTTTGAAGCACACACAAATATGTACTAAAGATGTTGAAGTGAGATTTATCATAGTGGTAGATTTGAGTGTCAAAGAATCCATGACAGACAATTTATTTTTTTGTTGGGTGATAAATAAAACTAAAAAAAGTGAGATGGTAATACTGCTTTTTAGGTCTTACGACTAATATATGGTATGCTGGATTTAATAAAATATTGACAGACTAAGGCTACGTCAACTAAAACAGCCTTGAAAATGACAGTTGGCAGCCTTGAAAGCCTTGAAAAGGCCTTGAATGTTACTGTTTTATATCTGTGTGAACCTTGTTACAATGGTTGACCTAGCTGATTGCATATCCTTGTGGGGGCGGTCGGGTAGCCTAGTGGTTAAAGCGTTCGCTCGTCATGCCGAAGACCCGGGTTCGATTCCCGACATGGGTACAATGTGTGAAGCCCATTTCTGGTGTCCCCCGTCGTGATATTGCTGGAGTATTGCTAAAAGCGGCGTAAAACCATACTCACTCACTCACTCACTCATATCCTTGTGGGCTGATAGCTGGGAATTTTTGCTCATGCAGTCAACCCCTGGGTAACCTGAACCAGATTATTTATTTGCATTATTATAGCTGGAATAATGCTGAATGGCATTAAACAGCATTTACTCCCTTACTCTGTGACAGTTTTAGCTAGGGATGTCATTGAATATCGCAAAACACGTGAAGATCTTGGGTATCATTGGTCTTCAGCAACCCATGCTTGCCATAACAGATGACTATACTTGTCGCAAAAGGCGACTAATGGGATCAGGTGGTCAGGCACACTGACTTGGTTGATGCATGTCGTCGTATCCCAATTGCGTGGATCAATGCTCAATGATGTCTGGTCCAGACTCGATTATTTACAGACCGCCGTCATTTAGCCGGAATATTGCTGAGTGCAGCATTAAACAACAAAGAAATATAGAAAGAAAGTATATCGAGATATTGATGTATCAGTACATTTTAATATTGCTACTATGTTGATACACATTTGTAAATATCCATACTAAATTAATAATTCACATTTACCTTTTTTAAGATTACAATGGTTAAGATGGACAATAAGAAGGCAGAAACTTCAATTTTAAACATTCAATGGATCCGACTTGTTCATATTTAGCATTAATCTTATTATTTATCAATATATCGTTAAATTTCTGAGTCGATATATCGATACTAAAATGTCCAACCAATAAGACCCCTTGTTTTCGCCATCATATTATTACTGGTGTGTTTCCCTGCAGTCTATGTACCAGTTCATCAACACTGTGATTGAGTCTCCGTCCCTGGAGTTCCACGTCACTCTGGCACAGTCCATTCTTCACTCCTGCCTAGAACACCCCGAGCTGCAAAATGAACTCTACTGTCAGCTGATCAAGCAGACGTCTCGTCACCCCGGACACCACAAAACAGCCATGCAGGTAGGAGACAATATACAGCTTGCTGGCCATATAGCAGTCATGTGTAAATATCATCAACATTTAATTTCTTCCAGTATTATTATCCCCCACGAAGTTGAATGGGGATATAGGAATGAGTGCTGTCTGTCTGTCACATTTCGTTTCCGGAGCAGAACTCAAAAACAATGAGAGATATCTTAACCAAACTTTGCACATAGATAGGTCAAGTGATGAACTGGTGCCCTTTGATGGTTTGGGATTTTTAAAAAAATATATTTTTTGAGTTTCCACAGCAACGACTTTGACTTAAGACTGAAAATGGCAGTAGTGCTTGTTTCCGGAGCAGATCTTGAAAACTGTACAATATTTTTTGCTTTGCACACAACCGGGCATGTCATACTGGTTGGAGATATGAGTGTTTCATGCTTGTCTTCATTCATTTTCTGTAATATTTATAAATACATTACACTGATTTACAACTATGAGCACCCTTGTTTCAGAATCTCCTCCTGTGTGGCAAACATTCCTGGTTCCTGTGTGACGGGTCTCCCACCTCCCCCACCTCGTCTGTAATGGACTTGTCCGACTCCAAGATGAACCCACAGGCCCATGTTATTATGCAGGGGTGGCAGCTTATGTCTCTGTGTGTGTCCCTCTTCCTTCCCAAACAAAGCGTCATGTGGCTGCTCAAAGTACATCTCCAGAGACATGCAGATCCCAGGTTTGTGTGACAGTAACCATTTGATTCAATTTCAAGTCTTTTGTATAATAAAATGACTGATTCTGCTGTAACATATATCCCATAGCCCATACTGTGGTTATGTTTGTTTGTTGTTTAAATCCCCACTTAGCAATATTCCAGCTATGTGATGACAGCCTGTAATTAATTGATTGTGGACCAGACAATCCAGTGATTGAAATTCTGAGTGAGTGAGTGAGTGAGTGAGTGAGTGAGTGAGTGAGTGAGTGAGTTGGGTTTAACACCTCTTTTAACAGTATTCCAGTTATATCACGGCGTGTCAGTTTAATGTGGGAGGAAAGCCCGAAGTTATGCAGGTCCCAGACGTTTACCACTTCGGTGAAACCCACGAGCACAGGTATGGTGCTGGCAAACCTAGAAACATAATCGGGGTGAACCGGGATTCTAACCCATGATCATAGGTTTCTGGCATGCCCAAGGGACGCAACTCTGCACAGCGAATCGCAGCGCCTTAGACGACGGGGCCACCCGTGCCCCCTGATATTCTGAACAATGATCCTTCAGGGTACTATGACACATTGTCAACCTTGCAGCAGTCACCAAGTCTGACCACCCGATCCATTAGGTTGCCTATAACAACCAGCATAGGTAGCTTGGGACCTATTCTAACCCGAAATCCCCATAGGGTTGCCTCTAACAACCAGCATAGGTAGCTTGGGACCTATTCTAACCTGAAATCCCCACAGGGTCGCCTCTTTCAGCCAGCATAGGTAGCTTGGGACCTATTGTAACCTGAAATCCCCATAGGGTTGCCTCTAACAACCAGCATAGGTAGCTTGGGACCTATTCTAACCCGAAATCCCCACAGGGTCGCCTCTTTCAGCCAGCATAGGTAGCTTGGGACCTATTCTAACCTGAAATCCCCATAGGGTTGCCTCTAACAACCAGCATAGGTAGCTTGGGACCTATTCTAACACGGAATTCCCACGGGGTCACCTCTTTCAACCCAACTCACTCACTCACTCACTCACTCACCCATTCCACTATGAACAGATTTGACCTATTCAGGAGGCTCACTGTGCCAACTCAGTATTTATTAAATGATTTGTCAATTCTTTAGTATGTTTTTCTTTTGTTGATGGAAGAGTAGGGTTCAAATACAGACATTGTTTACACTCTTCTATTCTGGGATTGGAAACATTGAAATGTATGTAATTTTTAATGGATTGTGTTATTTTGACAGAACGGAACCGGGCAAGTATGCAATATTCTGCCAGAGGGCACTGGAGAGAATTATTCTGAAGGGTGTGCGTGAGTCGAAGCCGTCGCGGATGGAGGTGATGTCCATGCTGCTGCGGCACCCGTATCACCATTCTCAACCAATCAGTATTCCAGTTCATTTTCTCAACGACACATACCAGGTAAATATTGACAAATGCCACATGGCAGATAAATATTGACCAATGACACATACCAGGTAAATATTGACCAATGACAAATACCAGGTAAATATTGACCAATGACACATGGCAGATAAATATGGACCAATGACACATACCAGATAAATATTGACCAATGACACATACCAGGTAAATATTCACCAATGACACATACCAAATAAATATTGACTAATGACACATACCAGGTATATGTTGACAATAACATAGACCGGGTAAATATTGACAAATGACACATGGCAGATAAATATTGACCAATGACACATACCAGGTAAATATTGACCAATGACAAATACCAGGTGAATATTGACCAATGACACATACCAGGTAAATATTGACAAATGACACATACTAGGTAAATATTGACCAATGACTCGTACCAGGTATATATTGACCAATGACAAATACCAGGTAAATATTGACCAATGACACATAGCAGATAAATATGGACCAATGACACATACCAGGTAAATATTCACCAATGACACATACCAAATAAATATTGACCAATGACACATACCACGTAAATATTGACCAATGTCACATACCAGGTAATAATTGATCAATGACTTTGGACCGGGAAAATACTACCCAATGATTGATACAAAATAAACATTGACCTTTGACACATACCAGGTAAATATTGACCATTAACACTTTCCTGGTAAATATTGACCAATAACTCATATCAAATATATATTGACCATTGACTCATACCAGCTAAATATTGACTAGAATGTCCTGAAGTTGTTTGAAGATGTTACTTTCTGGTACTCTGCCTTGCATTAAGGCGACAGAACAAGGACTGGTTGGCTCGGAGTCAGTATACTGTGTCCGAATTGGGTATCTATGTTAAACTGTGCCATGGTATCCCGGTGGGCTAGCACTAAAAAAACAGCATCAGTCCTTAGTTAAACCCCAAATCACCTTCCCCAATATTTTGACATATATCTGGACACATTCACTAAATACAAGATCTCTGACTGATACGTCAGCAGAAAAGCCAATTTTGTTTGCCTCTCCCTGTTTTCATTGTTATCATTATCATACAAATGTCCTATTTGAAGATCAACAATGATATTATTAGTTATGGTGTCTTTAATGCCTCGCACAATATTTTTCTTCCAACCTAATATAACACCGTATATGGCAACTATACACACCATGACAAATTTATTATGCCGAAAAGTTTACTCATTGTGTTATCCATAATGCACTACTCATCTGAGCTGAGCACGCTGACGTTAATGGTCAAAGGAAGACTACTCTTCAAACCTTAAAGGCCAAACTTTGTTGACAATTTTAATTATAATCTTTATCAATAAAGTCACAAATGTGATTTAAAAAAGATTAATGTCCTTGCACATAACAATTAATGATATAAAAACACAAAACAGTGTCGAATAACAAATTTTTTGTAGCAGAATTTTCATGTGAAATATGTGAAGTGGGTGTTTGAAAATCCAAGATGGCTGTTACTGACATTATACAGTCTCATATTAGGTCAATAACAACCATCATGGATTTTTTCTGACGGTATACGTGCTCATGTGGGGTTAGTAGTTCTGCTCTCTGATGGTCAGTCTCACTTTGAAGCATAATAATGCTGATTATTGCGACTGCAGCACTGAATCATTCACTCACACAACCCCACTTCCAGGTTGTCAGTTTCGATGGGTCCACTACAGTACAGGAGTTCCTGGGATCACTGCACAAGATGATCTCCGTGCGAGACTGTAGCCAGTCAGGGTTTGCCCTCTACACGGACGACCCTGCCGGGACCCAGACAGAACACTGCTTACAAACTCATCTCAAGGTCAGTTTCTGGCAACCCTCTCCACAATTGCAGTTTGACTCACGAAACACTCAAAAAGTAAACTATGTTTATAACAAACACACTTATTACAAACTGACCGATATAACAAACTTATTTTAGTCCTGGCCATTTGATGGATATATGCTGTATATATGCTCATAACGAGTTATAGTTATTACGAACTAAAATTAGTGGTCCCTTTGTGTTTGTTATATCTGTAGTTTACTGTACTTCAATAATGACACTGTGGCAAGACCACAAAGTGGACTAGGATCAAGTAACTAGTAAAATTCATATTTATTTTCACTTAAGATCAATTCTGTTATCTGATTCTGTCTTATCTGATTCCTTATGATGTGGGGGTACGGGTGGCCCAGTTGTCTAAGGCACCACATGTCCTATCAACCACTTGTTTTACTTTATCAAGACCGCCATGATTTAGCAGAATATTGCTGACGCATGTGAAGTTGTATCCACTCATTCAAGAGACTATTGGTCCATGTCATTGCATGGTTTTAGTTTCAAGCCTGCTTCATGTGCTCAGTGACTCATGTCTGGTACATTTGATTCTTGTTGGCAGGTCTGTGATATAATCTCCAAGTGGGAACAAGCCTTTCGTGATCATCACTCAGGGAACCTTGACCAGAGCAAGGCCATCAGAATACTCTACAAGAATAGGTGAGTCAAGGAACCTTGACCAGAGGAAGGCCATCAGAATACTCTACAAGAATAGGTGAGTCGGTGCTTGACCAGAGCAAGGCCATCAGAATACTCTACAAGAATAGGTGAGTTGGTGCTTGACCAGAGCAAGGCCATCAGAATACTCTACAAGAATAGGTAAGTCAGGGAACCTTGACCAGAGCAAGGCCATCAGAATACTCTACAAGAATAGGTGAGTTGGTGCTTGACCAGAGCAAGGCCATCAGAATACTCTACAAGAATAGGTAAGTCAGGGAACCTTGACCAGAGCAAGGCCATCAGAATACTCTACAAGAATAGGTGAGTCAGGGAACCATGACCAGAGCAAGGCCATCAGAATACTCTACAAGAATAGGTGAGTCGGTGCTTGACCAGAGCAAGGCCATCAGAATACTCTACAAGAATAGGTGAGTCAGGGAACCTTGACCAGAGGAAGGCCATCAGAATACTCTACAAGAATAGGTAAGTCAGGGAACCTTGACCAGAGCAAGGCCATCAGAATACTCTACAAGAATAGGTAAGTCAGGGAACCTTGACCAGAGCAAGGCAATCAGAATACTCTACAAGAATAGGTGAGTCAGGGAACCTTGACCAGAGGAAGGCCATCAGAATGACCTGCAAGAATAGGTGAGTCGGTGCTTGACCAGAGCAAGGCCATCAGAATACTCTACAAGAATAGGTAAGTCAGGGAACCTTGACCAGAGCAAGGCAATCAGAATACTCTACAAGAATAGGTGAGTCAGGGAACCTTGACCAGAGGAAGGCCATCAGAATGACCTGCAAGAATAGGTGAGTCGGTGCTTGACCAGAGCAAGGCCATCAGAATACTCTACAAGAATAGGTGAGTCAGGGAACCTTGACCAGAGGAAGGCCATCAGAATACTCTACAAAAATAGGTGAGTCAGGGAACCTTGACCAGAGTAAGGCCATCAGAATGACCTACAAGAATAGGTGAGTCAGGGAACCTTGACCAGAGCAAGGCCATCAGAATACTCTAAAGAGAATTCAGTTTTAAGATTCGTTAAGACTGTATCAAACACACAAGTATCCTGCAGTCTGTTGGATTATTCTGACATGGTTGCATCCCTTGGTCATGGAAGGATTCACTGGTTGTGGGTTTGAATACCAGATTAACCCTGATTATGATCCTTGGTTTGTCAGCACCATACTTTTCCATGTAGGTTCACCAACATAGTTAAAGTCTGCATCACTTCAGGCCGTCCTCTCACATTGAGCTGACTCGCCAGTATTTGACTGAAATACTGTTCAAAGTTGCATTAAAGTGATTAAACCATTCTCACTCTGCTAGTCTTGGGTAGGATCTGTGTTGCAGGGTATGGTATATCAGACTGTTGACCAGTTGTTGATCTATTTGGCAGGTTATATTTTAGCCGCAATAGTCGTAGTGAGATGGAGAAGGAAAAACTCCTGCTGGCTTACCAAGTGAACGATGAGATTGTCCATGGACGCTTCCCCCTCAACCGAGACCTTGCTCTAGAGCTGACCTCACTCATGGCTCAGGTAAGATGTGATCCACAGGTAGCACCTACCATCCTCATTCTGCCAGGGCATTAGCATTAGCATTAGCATTATTAGCATTATGGTTTCCATGTACCCTGATAGGTTCATACCGGGTAGCCATTTGATGCTGAAATTTGTCACATGCCTTTTGCCAACCACCATTTGGATGTAAGATGACTGAAGGAAAGTTTTTATCTCTTCATATACATATGGGTCAACTGTGGCCGTGTGCTCTGAGACATCAATAATTTGCTGTGAATAGTTGCCTCCCTTAAACATGCCATGATCTGCAGATTGTGGGTTCAAATCCCAGACTCACCCTGATTAAGATCCCTGATTGCTTGTGTGTACATCTAAACATCTTCTACCTGTGTCACATCGGGTTTTCCTTCCTTTGTATGCTGACACAGTTTGATATAAATATCCAAATTTCTATAGAACATAGAAGCAGCCATATTGAAAAATGCTTTGCCATGGAGGTTTGACTGACATTTGTTGCTGCAGGTGGAGTTTGGGGACATGAGGATGGAGGCATCATCAAGCGGCAGCGCAGCATCATCAACATCATCCACAGCACATCAGCACCTCATCACCGCCGTCACCAAGTTCTACCCAAAGAAATACCATGTCACACAACCAGAAGAACAAGCGTGAGTAATATACTCTTGTTCCTGCAGTGTACTTGTTAAAATTATGCAGTCAAAATTGACATGCCATGTTACAGCTGAAATACTGCTCCCACACAAAGCTGACATGCCATGTTACAGCTGAAATACTGCTCCCACACAAAGCTGACATGCAATGTCATAACTGAAATACTGCTCCCACACAAAGCTGACATGCCATGGTATAACTGAAATACTGTTTAAAGCGGCATTGTTACCAAATTTTTTTATAATACTAGTACCATTTTGCAGGTAGGTTATGATGTTGCAGTTTGTTGTTATTACAAGCTTTTTTAGTGAAATGTTTTTCCTGAAAACCAAAACAGTAACACTGTAACCCCAGTATCCAAGTACATGTATTGGACTGCATATCATTCTAACAATTCCAGTTCGCTCCTGGAGAGGCTCGCTGAACGCTGGTTGTCACTTCAAGGTCGGACGTCTGCAGACTGTATCCGTGTGTATCTCGCTGTGGCCAGGAAGTGGCAGTACTACGGAGCAAAGCTGTTCAGAGCCAAGGTACCACAGTTACAGGCTGTTTAATATTACTATGTCTAAGTTAACTCAATTGTTTCAACCTACTTTTATCCAGCAATACTTGATTTAAGTTTCACACGGTATGAAGCAATTAGAGCCAAGTTACCATGAATGAAGAAAATGACCTTAAACAGACAGATACTGATTGGTCAGTCAGAGGTATCAAATCCCAATAATATCCCACTGTCTAAATAGCCAATCAGCTACATCATTACATATGAATGTTCACACTTCCAATTGATTTTGATGTTATTTCAGTATTTCGTAAGAGGTGACTAACGGGATCGTGTGGTCAGGCTCGCTGACTTGGTTGAGCATGTCATCGATCCCAATTGCGTGGATCGATGCTCATAATATCAATCACTGGATTGTCTGGTCCATACTCAATGATTTACAGACCGCCATCATATAGCTGGAATATTGCTGAATGCGGCGTAAAACATAAACCAACCAATCAACCAGTATTGCAAAACTATTGTTTCCCAAATGTATTGTATTGATGTGCATCCACCATACAAAATTTGAATGCTTTATCAAACTAAACAGAGGATTAACAAATTGAAATTATGAACAGCCTCGTTTGATAATCAGATGCACAAATATGAAGCACATACAATTGGAAATGTGAAAAGGTAACATTTAAAACCCCATACTCAATGTTTAGTTCAAAATTCAAAATAACTCTATCAAATCTACAGGCAACAAAGCTCTACACTGAAAACACTGCAGCTGTGGGTGTGTTTCACTGAATATTGCCATAGTCACCATCTAGAAACAGGCAATAATGTTTTTTGTGTGGAGAACTGTGTTCTTGCAATCTCATTAAAATCAGACCTAAGTTCTCGCTACTGCTAAACAAAGATCTGAGGACATCCCATTAGGGGTCATGTCAGAACAACCTTTCATCCGACCAATCAGAGCATCGCTTACCAGATTATGAAAGTGACAGTCGGAATATGATTTCTAATCATGCAACCTCGAAAACTTTAACTCCAAACGATAGTTACGGGTTTAACGACTGAATCCATACAATCTAGACTATCTATCTATTAGCCATTCCAGAATGTTCTTTTGTTTAGGTTTCAAATTTGTAATCGAGAATTTGTCAAAATATGTTGCGAAACGTAGTCGCCAATTTGAAATTAGTGCCGTAAAGCAAGGTCGGTCTGACGTGACCCGTAATGGGATGTCCTCAGATCTTTGTTTAGCGGTAGCGAGAACTGAGATCTGATTTTAATGAGATTGTGTGTTCTTGGAAAGCCCCTGGGAATTACCCAACTGTCATTGTTTTATGAGGTAACAGAAGCCATCTGTTTAGCAGACGCCAACAATGACAGGTTCGTGATGTATTGGGGCATATGTAAGTATGTTATTTATACAGGTACGCAACTTGTTTTGAGCACTGTCTGATCAGAAATAATATTGTCATGTCTGTCATTCAGATAAAGTGTCCGCCAAGTTCAGATGAAGACATCTGGCTAGCTGTGCAGGAGGATGGTGTCTCAGTTCTCGAACTTGTATCTATGGTATGTAGTAATTAGTGTCTGTGGTGTGTAATGAATGGTGTGTTCTCAAAGGTGTTTTACAATCATGATTAATTTGCAATGTAGCTATATGGAATGTACGACTTCAAATCAATCATCACTTTTGTTGACAGCAACCAGTAGCCCTGTATGACTTCAAATCAATCATGACTTTTGTTTAACAGCAACCAGTAGCCCTGTATACATTAAATCAATCATGACTTTTGTTTAAACAGCAAAACATTGCCCTGTACCTCTTCAAATCAATCATGACTTTTGTTTAACAGCAACCAGTAGCCCCGTACGACTTCAAATCAATCATGACTTTTGTTTAACAGCAACCAGTAGCCCTGTACGACTTCAAATCAATCATCACTTTTGGCGGGTGGAAGAACGACTTCATGGTGGTGGTGAACCAGCTCGTGGAGTCCGCTCCGCACCACTATGAACACCACACGGAGAAACTCATCTTTGCCATGTCACAACCCAAGGTAAGTCACGTTATACCAAGTACAAAAACATGGTGCGTGTGTGAGTCAAGTTTGAATCTTGGCGAGAAACTTTCAACGTTAATGCATGAGGGATGATGATCCATAATTCCCAGTTGCACGTTGCTTATTCTATATATTACCAACAGTCTTTCTTCTAATAAAATGTACAAAACTGTGGGTTTCTTAATCTCAACATCAGCTCATTTTGTCTTTTGTTAGAACTATGTCACATAACATGAAAGGATTGTCGTGAACAAATGGAGATGATGTCATGTGACGTCACTTTGATATGTGCCTCTTTGCAAACAATGAAAACAATAGAAGAAATGTTATGTTCAGTGAGAATTAGTGGAAATCACCGACATTCATACCCTTATGGGTAATATGTGTGTTAATGTCAGGGTATACCAGGTATATATTGTTGTGATCATGCATTTCATAAATAAGCATCCACCCGGAGAGCAGAAGGTCCGGGGTTCGACCTCCGGCCACGTCATACCAAAAGACGTTTAAAGATGGTACTTGTTGTTACCCTGTCTGGCGCTCGGCATTAAGGGGCTAAAACAAGGACTGGTCGGCTCGGAGTCAGTGTACTGTGCCTCTGAAAGGGGTATCCATGTTAAACTGCGGCATGGTATCTCAGCGGGATAGCACTATAAATTGGCATCAGTCCGGACTAGTACAAGCAGACACACACACACATGTGCACGCTGCTATATAAGTGCAATAATCTTGGATGCGACGTTAAACACATTTTACCTTACCTCACCATTTTATAAATATTTTTATAACAACTTTTAATCAAATTTACCTAATTTCAGATCCTGGAAATCACTTTGTTGATTGCGGACTACATCAATATTAAACTTCAGCAGCCTTCACCAGAAGCCATGAATGGGGACACATAGCAGCAGTTATCTCCCCTTGGACTTAGAGTTACTTCCCCTAGTCATGTTACCTTTCAAAAGCAATCTATTACACTGACACTGCTGAACATTTGACAGCTTGATATTTCATTGCAGGGATGTGATCATTGAATGTTACTCATTTGTTTGACTTGTATTGTTGAGTTTGGTTCTGTTCTTGACCTAGATGTGAGTGTACATTTTCACCCATGATACCTCATGTGATCTATTGAATTGTGTGCGTTATGTGTTGATGTGTGTTTCACTGTTAATCGTGCACGCAACATCCTTGACCTGTAATAATTATGACATCACTCTTTAGAAACTGCAACTGACATGGCTTTCATATTGAATTTTTTTTCACAATTTTCATGGATAGTACCATATTTTCTTGAGTATAGTGCATACTTTTTTTAAAAAAACACAGCTGTGTAGAAGGGGGTGCGCATTATACACGCCATAATGAGTTTTAATGTTTTTTCCCCCAACCCAAAGAAAGAACCCGGAAATACCATGTCAACAAATCCGTACTGAAGTACGCAAATTAATCTTGTTATAACACTGTCTGGTTATAAAAAGTGTTCATTGTATATCTGGACTTATGTTAGTAACTTATTTCTTTATTTTATTCAAAATAAATTCCTTTTAATATTGTTTAAATTAATTTCGGGGTTTCTTATCACCCGTTGGTTTACCGGAGTTTGCTGAAGGGGTATAATTTTTTTCTGCTCATAATATTCGAGCTTTTTTTTCCAAAATACAGATTTCACTAGAGGGTGGTGCACATTATACTTGGGTGCACACAATACTCAAGAAAATACGGTAATGTTACTCAAAAGAAGTTAAGGACCACCCGATTCCTTCTTATTACTATATTGAATCTTGTCATGCCATGACAGATTGACCATAGTAATATGAAAGAATTGGGTGACTATGACAGATTGACTTTTGTAATGTGAAAGAATCGGATGGGTCATGTTTCCTTTTGAGTAAAGTAAAACTGTGTTGTTAACATTTAAGTGGCATTCACACGGGAAGTTAAAAGTGGGCTTGTATCCTATAAACGTCTTGAAACGCCCCAAACTGACTTAATTTATCTCATCAATCTATTTTATACAATGGTGTGATCCAGCTCAACTGGACTATATGTGGTTACATCATTAGGTAGCATGTTATGCATAAACAGTCAGGACAGATAACCTATGGATTTCAACTTCTTTCATTCTTCAATGTGACATTTGGGTACAGATGCTAGTACCTTACAAGTCATTGATAAAGTTACCTGCATCCCTACTCAAACACTGCATTGAAAGAATGAAAGAAGTTGAAATCTATGAGTAAACTCAGTCCTCATTACCAAGTGGTTACCGCTCTTGGAAGAAGAGATCGCAATCTGGCAGCAATAGTGCTGAAGCGATGTTAAATGTTTACTTACTTCCTCACATTACTGGCAGCTTGTGATTCTATGTCACTTTTGACTACAGGATCTCGATGTGGATTAACATTAATGGCTGTTGCCTCATACCCCTGATGCCAAGTCCCAGCCATGGAAGCAGCCTAACTTTAACATCCTGTGTTTTCACGAGTCACAGAACAAAGACAACTGAACTATTAATCAGTTTAAATTGACTTTTTCCTGAATAATTTTCAGTTATCAACTTTATTTTTCTAGTCAAAATAACCAAATCAGTGATTGAAACCAAACAGACTTGAACATTTCCAATAGATTAAATTTGCACCATAATTATGGACATTATGAATGATTCGGTCCTGAGGTGTAAAATGATTTTGTTGCACAATTGATATTTGTTAACAACTATGCAAGTTACATGTCGTGTACACCAACCTTTATGCACATAAGTTTTTTCATGATGAGCAATATTGAAACAAAGTTAGATTTCATGTGTTTGTTTGTTCTCTGCCGTTTTGAGCCAATCCTGACGTAGAGCTTTGGTCCTCCAATGCTTGTATTGTATTTATATATTACTCTTTACAGTGCAGTATGCAATATATTTATATCTAGTCATTGTGATAATACTCCAACTGCATAATAGTCAGTAGAAACTCATCGTCCCAAGGCAAGGAGTTAACTAACTATAAAAGTCCAGTTTCCACCCTTGCCATACTAGGTTGGAAGTTCATGGCTCGATCATGGTGTTAACCAGTGGCTGTTAAGAGTTATGTCCCTTCTATGTCCCTCCACTGACCAGATGCCACCTCTCATATCACTTGCATTTGCTTGAAACAAAATAATCAATCCAGTCAAGACAATCTGTTCGATAATCAAGATCTACATTGTGATTATACAGGTCCTATCTTGCCCAGTGCATCCAATCACTTGAGCAAGTTGATTTAAACATGAACAGATTGGGGAAATATGTCTTGACGCCCAGTTGGTGGTACACATGCTTTGCAAATTCTGAAATTGATCGAAATCTGCTTGGCAGTTGCCATGTTGTTTATGTACTGGATGTCGATTCTGCTACACAATTCTATTTTGATTTATTTTGGCAAGGGTGGAAACTGGATTTTTATAATCATTCAGCTCCATTGTCTCTGGAAGATGGTAGAAACTTTGAGGTGAATTCTTGTTGAGTAAGGTTGAAATGGTACTAATTTCAGATTTAAAGTACATTTATTGCTACAGACCGACTGGTTTTGCAATGGGTCTTCATTTTGTAGACTTCTTAAAATATGTTTGTAATTGTTATGATATATATCATATGAGAAGACATGCTTTATAATTTCAGAATATTCCATTGGTAATGCCAAACTTTATCTGTTGTTACATCTTGACAAGCCCAGAGTTTTGTTTTCCTCTGGGTCAGTACATGCTACTAACATGAGAACCTACAGATTGCTGACAAAAGCGATTAACAGTTTGGGCATACAAGCAAACCTAATGGCTTTTCTTCCTATACAAGCTTCCAATGACAACTTGAAATAAGGAACCCTTCTTCATACATGTGGACACAACACACATGAGATATAGTAATGAGATAATATGCTTTATGGTTAACCAGAGACTTTCCTGTCACATTATATATTTCTTTTGAATGTTTTCCAATGGATTTCAGGGATAAATACAACGAGAATGGGGCTTTATGAACAATTGATGTTTAAGGTTTGATTAATTTTTTTGTCAAGTTTGAATACTTGCTTTGTGATATAGAAAATAGAAAATCTGACAAATTGATTGAGTGTGTTTGTCAGACCCTATGCTCTAGCTGTCATATTCCGTGAACAAAAGTCAATATTCAATAACATTGGAACTTTTGGCAGCAACTCTTAAAACATATTGTAATTCTTTTAGTTAAATCAGTGAAATCTGGTTTAATGCCTCAATCACTGTAGCATGTCATATGTATTGAAATTTAAATGGAGTAGAACATAAAACCAAACACCTTTGACCTCTGTGGAGACTCGGGTTAGAATTGGTCCCAAGCAACCTATGCTTGTAGTAAGAGGCAACTTAATGGACTTGATGAACAATAAGGTGACTTGGTTGATACTGTTCTGTTCCATTGTGCTTTGACAGCATGGATCGCTGCTCATAATATCAATCACTGGATTGTCGGGTCCAGACTCTACCATTAACAGGCCACTGTCATATTGATGGAATATGGCCGAGTGCAGCGTAAAAGAACAAACACAAACCCCCAAAACCACTGTGATACTCCAGATTCCACTCCATTGAGATTTGTAAATCAGTGCAGAGAGTGAGTTACTGAGTTGGGTTTAATGCCACTTTGCCCAGAGCACTGATAGGGGCTGTATGACACGCAGCTCATTCTTGTAGAGACAAATGAAAGTGTTGAGTCTGTGTGTCAGATAAACATTAATCTTGAACAATGACAGGTCTCCCTTACATTTAACCTTATTTATTCAAGGATTGCTTGTCTGTAAAGGGTTATTAGTACATATTGCTTATCCAATCCTCCTTGCTTTGTTGCTTTAGGAATCACACATTCCCAACTGAATCTCTATTTACAAATGAATTGAAAAAGTTGTTTCAATGTTGAAAACATCATGGTTTCGAACTTGAGATACTTTCATCATCCACTCAGACTTATCAACACATGAGCGTTTTGGGGAAGAGTCTTCTAAAACATTAAGTGTCTAAATGACCCAATCCTTTCAAATTTGTTTTTTAGTCGGTTGAAAAATATCTAAATCAATTAACAGATAAGCACAAAGACATTCAACTGACATCTCTCCTTCAGTGAATCTCAAGATGAAGATCTCAAAATCCTTTATTTGAAATTCCCTATGCACACTGGTACCCCTTCGATCTCACAACTCACTTTATCCCAATGTGCTCCAGGATTCATATAGTAAAAAGGGGTCCACCTTAAATGTCATGAATTACTTGGCGCTACTTTTGTTTTGTGGAATTGACGCTGGGCCCATTCCACAAAGCGCCCTTAGCACTCCAACTACCATAAGCCTATGTTGAATTACGATCACCTAAGAGCTAAGGTGAGGTGAGGTGAAATGGGGTTTAATGGCGTGTGTAGAGCTGAGACCGCTTTGTGGAACAGGGCCCAGGAAAGCCTGAACGATGATGGTTGGTGAGTCTGATTTTACATATATATGAATATATTCAGTCATCGATGTTGTTCTCCATATCCTTCATTGTAAACAGTTTTTCATAGTTCACATGTACTCAATGGATTGTACTTGATGGGAACATATAACCTTTTTAGTCATACTGTCACAAACATAAAAAACATTGTTGAGTGGATGGTTGTGATGAGATTTATAGGGCAATGTTGATATCATCATCTGGTTGAACTCAGGTTTATCATTAATCATTTTCCATTCATTCATTAATAAAGGATATCAGACACATACTTAAGGTGTCAGTATTTGCAGACCTAACAAAAGAATATCAGTTGTCATAGATAGTCATATTCATCTTGACATATACATCACCCACGCAAGATATTTAGTGGAAAGATCTGTCGTTGAAGATTAATGCTAGCATTCAAGATGGATGTCAGGTACTTATTCAATATCCATTATTGCAGAAATAATTGGGCCAGACTATATAAACCCTGGGCCAGTACTGCTCCAGGGTGGGATGTATACCCTGTTGTGTACGTGCAGAAGTAAGTTACCAGCCAAAGAGATTCAGTAAGCGACTTCTGTCTCTAGGCCCAACTGAGTGCTATCCCTGCTTGCTTGCTTTGAAGATTTTTCGAGTGCTTCCAATCAGTACAGGTTTTGCACTTAGGGAGGTTTTTTTTAGGAAATCTGGCTTTTAAGAAATGGAGAGACATCTTCTTACAGGAATTCATTAATGTTTGTCATTTTACACATTGATCATTTATATTCTGCATCAAGGGAAAGGTTGATTTTAAAAATACCTTTAACTTAAATTGTAAATTGATGAAGAAATCATTGAATTAGTTTTTAGACGTCAAATCAGTCTGGTGTCTTGACTAAGTTTATTCAGATATTTTGGTAACTGCGATTGTTCAAATTGTGTGGATGAATATGATTAAGCATTTCTGTGATAATTATGTGGGATATACTAGGTCAATACTAGGCATGGAGAGAAGTGTGATTTGGAGAGGAGTGTGTTGGTAGTACGAAACAAGGGATGAGAGAAGAATGCCTTTTGATGGGTTTATTAGCTAACTGTGAAGTTAAAATTGTCTTCATTTATCTATGTCATCAATATAAGCTTTTTTTTAACAAAATTGTGATATATTTTATAGTAAATGAAAATTAATTATGCATGAAATGTTCATTATCTTGAGAACAATTGCACACACATTGTCAGATATAAATGAAGAATGATAATGGATTGAAGATTTTTTTACTTCATAATGCCAAAGCATTTTTTAACAAATAGTAGGGTGGCTTAGTTGAAATTTGCGTTAATTCAAATATGAAATGTAGGCTGCAATTTCCCCTGTCCCAGAAATATGCAATGAGTGTTGTCAAACAAGCTCAGGGAGAAAAACAAGTCATGCAATCAATCATCTCTGGACAGTGTAGGTTGTGATCAAGTAACTCAGGTAGATTCACATGCAGTTACGTGATGCAAGCTGTTGAATGGAAGCTAGAGAGATGTGTGTGACCATGTTACAGTTGCTGGATGCATGAATTAGTAAGAAACTGGCGACCTTTATATCTGGACCATCAGCATTAGTATGACAACTGTATGTGAAATATGATTGTGTATGGTAGTAGTGAAAAAGTGAGCATGAGTATTATTTCGATTTCCAAAAATATTTTGTTGAAGTTAGTCAAGATACCTGCAAAAACCTGCTTACGAAAAATGTTTGACTTTAAAGTTTCAATATTCAGTTACCTTTGTTGAAGGTGTAAGTTTACTTTCAACTTATTTCTCTGCAAAAAAAATCTTTGTAGAAAGCTTTCTTGTTACATTTACATAATTCTCTTTCAGTTGTTCTGGAAATGCTTTCTTTCACAAGGAGACCTTGAGTGTATGTACAAATTGTACTAATGTGATGAGTTTGTTGGATGAAGATATCATCCAGAAATCTGTCAAAAGGAATGACATGATTTTCTCTGCCAGAAACAATAAACATGATTTGATACTAAAACATTGTCTGTTTTTACATTTGCTGAAATTAGACTCAAGTTTCACCTGAATAACCATTACTTTTCTCCGATATTTTCAGATATTCTAATGCCACGTTTGAGATATAAGCATGTACATTTAGCTAATTCATTAACCTATAATTGGATAGACTGAAATTTAGTTATAAATAAAGTTATCTTATTTGAAAATATTATATCTACAAACTATAAAATTAAGATCCAAATGGAGCCCAGAACAATCCTTAATTTCAGGTCTAGAGTTAAGGCAAACCTGACTGGTCAAATCATTCTAGACTTGAGTTGGACTCCTCTTTTAATTTATTCCCCATTAGAAAACATTCAACTACATTTACATTGTAGAAAATATTTTCAATTGGCATGTGATAAAATGTAAGTAGATCTTTCAGATATGTTTTATTATATAAAAATATAGGGTATTATATGAATGGTTATCGGAAGCTAGCTTGTTTCATAGGTAAACCATCAAGATTTGTGGTATATTATAGCTGTGGACATGTGTTAAACATCTAAACCTGCATTACTTCCGGCTTTCCTCCCTCATCAACCTTACACACATGATGTAACTGCAATACTGTTCAAAGCAGGGTTAAACTAGGCTCACTTCGAAAATAACAAAGACATGCCTGGAAAACAATTTGCTTGATACATGGTTTAAAGATAAATGAGAAGACTTATTGATTGTTGACTTTTTATAACAGCAGTGATAAATAAACTGTATCGATACTGCATCAATACAGGTTTGTGATATATACAACTCAACATACATACTGCACATGATACATACACAGACTGACAACTCCAGCACATGGACATGTAAGCATACAGACATTTCTCAATAAAATGGACAAATGAATGGGTCTTGTTCAAATACTGGTAATGAAAGTAAAGGATCCTTGTCATAAATGTAATGTTAAAATCATTAGGTTAAAATACTAAAAACCTCCAAACCCTCCCTCCCTCCTTAATTTGTAATGATGAAAGGACAAATTCCTGCTTCGTCAGAACCAAATATATCGAGACGAAGGATACAATTCAACTCTAAACTTGGTCATGTTGGTCAGAGTAGTTGACCAAAATGAGATTGGACAATCTGCGAATTTGGTCACTATAGTAATGCTTGCCTGAATCAAAACTATTATGGCTTAAACGATTCACCAGTGTTTTTGTCCACAACATTGAAAAGTAAGATATTGTATTATGAACACAATATCACTTACATGACCTTTACAGCGGAGTCTGAAGTGTCCTTTGTGGGCTATGAAGTCTTGGCACAGACCATCATAAGAGGTACCTAGACCTACTGGGAAGTCTGAAGGGTCCTCTATAGTATAAGGTCTTGGCACAGAGCATAATAAGAGGTACCTCGACCTACAGGGAAGTCTGAAGTGTCCTCTTATAAGGTCTTGGCACAGACCATCATAAGAGGTACCTAGGCCTACAGAGAAGCCTGAAGTGTCCTCTTTAAGGTCTTGGCACATACCATCATAAGGGATACCTAGGCCCACAGAGAAGCCTGAAGTGTCCTCTTTGAGGTCTTGGCACAGACCATCATAAGGGATACCTAGGCCTACAGAGAAGCCTGAAGTGTCCTCTTTAAGGTCTTGGCACATACCATCATAAGGGATACCTAAGCCCACAGAGAAGCCTGAAGTGTCCTCTTTGAGGTCTTGGCACAGACCATCATAAGGGATACCTAAGCCCACAGAGAAGCCTGAAGTGTCCTCTTTGAGGTCTTGGCACAGACCATCATAAGGGATACCTAGGCCTACAGAGAAGCCTGAAGTGTTCTCTTTGAGGTCTTGGCACAGACCATCATAAGGGATACCTAGGCCCACAGAGAAGCCTGAAGTGTTCTCTTTGAGGTCTTGGCACAGACCATCATAAGGGATACCTAGGCCCACAGAGAAGCCTGAAGTGTCCTCTTTAAGGTCTTGGCACAGACCATCATAAGGGATACCTAGGCCTACAGAGAAGCCTGAAGTGTCCTCTTTGAGGTCTTGGCACAGACCATCATAAGGGATACCTAGGCCTACAGAGAAGCCTGAAGTGTCCTCTTTGAGGTCTTGGCACAGACCATCATAAGGGATACCTAGGCCTACAGAGAAGCCTGAAGTGTCCTCTTTGAGGTCTTGGCACAGACCATCATAAGGGATACCTAGGCCTACAGAGAAGCCTGAAGTGTCCTCTTTGAGGTCTTGGCACAGACCACCATAAGGGATACCTAGGCCTACAGGGAAGCCTGAAGTGTCCTCTATAAGGTCTTGGCACAGACCATCATAAGAGATACCTAGGCCTACAGAGAAGCTTGATGTGTCCTCTATAAAGTCTTGGCACAGACCATCATAAGAGATACCTAGGCCTACAGAGAAGCTTGATGTGTCCTCTATAAAGTCTTGGCACAGACCATCATAAGAGATACCTAGGCCTACAGAGAAGCCTGAAGTGTCCTCTATAAGGTCTTGGCACAGACCATCATAAGAGATACCTAGGCCTACAGAGAAGCTTGAAGTGTCCTCTATAAGGTCTTGACACAGACCATCATAAGAGATACCTAGGCCTACAGGGAAGTCTGAAGTGTCCTCTATAAGGTCTTGGCACAGACCATATAGGAGGTAGCCCAACCTACAGGGAAGTCTGAAGGGTCTTGACACAGAGGTATCTAGCTAGACCTACAGAGAATTTTAAAGTATCCTATATGGGCTCTGGTGTTTAGCCTCTGGCCAGATTATTACTTTAACTGTCAAGCACTATAAGTTACATTACAGTTAAATATAACAGTTCCATACACACAGATATACATAGAACAATTACTTCATATCACATCCAAATGTCACTCTCTGGGCAACCTGCGACGAGCAGCTCTTATCTGTCTCCTGGGCTGCTGTGGTGCCTCTGGTTGTTGAGGACTGGAAACTGCTGTGTCACTGACAGACTTCCGTGGTCTCTTGCTGGCATGATCACCATCGCCCATCAGCTCATCATAGTATTTCCTCTTCCTGTCACACAACATAGACTCGCTGGGGGTCCTGTGGGGGATAGCTGGTACTTGTCTCTCACACTCAGGTTGAAGAGGAGGATACTGCATGTTAAACTCGAGAGTGTCATCAATATCAATGACGACCTCCGCTGATCCAACTGCCCATCCATCATCACCAAGAGGTCCAACCAGCTCATAATCCTCATTCCCATTCCAATGGTTGTAGTCGGTGTGCAATGACAAAACACTTGACACAGCTGATAGGACAGATTCCTTACTGGACACAGCAGACACTGAGTGATCATCATCATCATCATCAAAGTCAGCCCAGTTGTGTGCATGGATATCATGCATATTGACCATGTATTCATCAAAGAAAACATTCACTTCACTTTCTGTGCTGTACAGAGAGGACATGCTGGAACATGCAGAACAGTTAGGATCAGACTGTGGCTTCAAGTTCTTAAATCTTCCTGCCTCAGCCACATAACCACTTGGTCCGGGCTGTGGCTCAAAGTCCTCCTGTTCTTGTACTCTGTTCACACACACACTTGAGCTTGACTGGAGGCTGATGCTGCTCTCTGCTGAAATCACTTGACAAACATCAGAGTCGGAGAAAGATTTCTTAGGGTTTTGTGAAGATTTCCCCACACTTTCAGCACTCAGAAAAGGAAACTTCCTCCTCCTGATTTCATCCAGTTGTCTTGCAGCAGATATGTACATGTCAACACTCTCATGAACTCCCAGACCATTAGTGATGAGGGCAGAGTCAGACACAGATGGCCTCACAGAGGAAGAGTTCAGCATCCTGTAGTGGTTGTAGAAGTCCAGTTCCTTTGACTGTCCAATCTGTTCCTCAAGAAACATCTCAACTCTGTGATCTAGAGCAGGATCCAACAAAAAGGGAGGAACCTGTATGTACTCTGTTGGCATCTTCATATCAATAATGTAGATAACTGGGGGATAGATCTGAAACAAATATGATGAATAAGATTTCACCTTTACACTTTATTTGATGACAGAGATAGTAAGATGCACATCGTAGCACCATTACTAAATCGTCTTTATACATTTTAGTTAAATAGAATATGAGTTGTTAGATAACTAGAAGCAGCCGAAACAGCAGATAAGACTAAGAATGATTAGAATTATTGTTGGCGGTGTCTAGCCTACCATTTTCTTATCATGTCGTTTGACTTGGTTGATAAAGGGATAAAGTATCAAAGATACTTTAATATTTAATAACCATACCTTACTGAAGATCTGTTGGAAAATGTTGTTGTCAGAAACCGCAAAATATAGCACCTGAATGTCCTCGAAAACGAAGAGTATCAAAGACTATGATCAAACGCATGAAGATGGCTTCCGATCGGTCTCCTAGCAACGAGGTAATATTTACAACCGTGCATGTCCGCTGAAAAACATAGTGCAGCGGGGATTTAATTACATTTACATAACATGTTATGTTTTTTACAACATCAATTAGTCAGTCCAGCCGAGAAATATCCAAAATCGCGCATGTGTGTGTTTTACCGAGTTCATGTTCACAAACGCGTAGATATATTTTGCGTAGATCTGAAAGGGGGATAACTCTCAACTACATTCAGATGGTGTCCCGCTAAGGCGAGCACGGTCACGTCTCTAATATCACCAAATGTTCAACAATGTATTAGTTTTTCTATGCATAACTCTTAATTCTATATAGTATCCACTAATCCGAGTAAATTAATGGACCGACCTTAGTCTTTCTGTTTGAAAGGTTTGTTTTCAGCATATTTTCCAGAGATGCAATGAAGTAGCATGATAAGGTGTGAAAAATGTTTCTACATACTAGATACAATATAACATTCCCTGGCTCAGATCTTTTACCAAACTAAGACTGAATTCAGTACGTCAGTGAGTGTTGGTGGCAAATAAAATTTACATGTATAACTACATGAATCTCAAAAGCAGAACTGAAGGCACTTGGGTACAGGACAAGGTATTTTAATTTAATATCCTACAAATATTTAACAATCAAAATCAATCAATAGTTTTCACTTGTAGGTCAATGCACATCAATACACGTCTTGAAAAAAAACCACACTCGCTCAAACATGCTATTAGAGCAGTTTCTGATTGTTTCTGATTGTTTCTAAACCGTCTGTGGTGCAGTGGATAGAACATCTGCGAGGAGGGCGGAACGTGGGTTGCTCGATGGTTTGGCCACTTGTTACCTTGCGCTGTTGATAAAACGTCTCGGAATCTGTATAAGAATGTGTGTGAGTAGGGTATTCATGTTAAACAGCGGCACGGTACATCGGTGGGCCAGCACAATATAGAACCGGCCTTACACCAGTACATCTCACCTCTGATTTGTTTCTAAACCACAGCCCGACATTGATATAGAATCTATGTTGACCTTTTATTTCAGGAGTCTTTCTCGTTTCATTAACTGTTAATCCATCCCTGCTGTCAGTTTTGTGTATCTGCCAAAGGTGAGCCACTCGAGAAAAGGTTCATTTAACCTCGGGCCAAATTAATGACATGTCTGCCCTATTTGAGATTGGGTGAGTATGGGTTCAGCAATAGTGCAGCAATACCACAGCGGGGGTCACCAGGAATGGTCTTCAGACATTGTACCCTTACGAGGAATAGAACCCGGACGGCATGAAAAGCGGCCACTTTTTTCCACTAGGTTACCCATTGGCTGGGGATGAACGTGAAGCACATAGATGCACCTTGATAGTAATAGTTAAAAATATATATGGTTTGCTTGGAATCTGTCCTTCAACAACCAACCGGAATCAACTGACGTGTCACTGCCCACTTAATAGAGCAGTGGTGATATCGATTTCACTTATAAATATGTCTTTATGTTTATTTTACATTTTCAAAAAGTAATTAAAACACTTCCACAAAATCGTTTCTTGTTGAACGTTGTCTACCGGGAGAGTAGGTCGTGGTTGGATCCTCTGACCAAGTCATACAAAAAGACGTCAAAAGATTATATACTTGTTGTTACCCTGCCTGGTGCTCTGTATTAAGGTGATGAAACAAGGACTGGTCGGCTCGGAGTCCGCACTGTCCATGCGCACACATACAGACGCGCTAACAAACACGCACACACGTCGCTACAGAAATGTAATAACCTTATAGGCAACGTTAGCCCATTTCATCCTACTTGGTCTGTTATGTTTAGGGTGTGTTTCTGTAGTGTACATGTTTTCAAGGTTTCTCCTCGATATGTGATAATTACGTTCCAACAAATGTCGTATACTTTATAATTATGTTAATGTGGTTATATTTGTACCTGTACTGCGAAAGAAAACACGAATTAAGATCCACATTGAGTCGCCAATGCTGGTTATTTCTGCTTATACGGCCGTTTCATGAACAAGGGCGAACAGGTGATCTAGGTTGTGCAGAGTTGCGTCCCTTAGCCGTGCTTGGATTATGATCCTTGTTTAAAAGCAGCATATCCGTGCTGGATAATTTCACAAAAGGGTAAACGTCTAGAACTTGCGTAGGTTTTCACCCGACATGCGAAAATACTCTTCCAAGCGGTGTTAAACCAACCTCACTGCTTCAGAAAGTTACATAAACACGTGCGATTGGGGCATTGTTTACTTTCTCATAAAATTTCCTACATGAAAGCAGCCTGGCAAGGAATAATATGGTTTTTTTCAAATATCGCTTGGCAAGCGGCAAGCTGCACCAGACATAAATAACCACTGAGTTATGTCAACGATTTCCGACAAACCGCCATTAACCTTTTCACATAACGTACACAAAGGATTCAACTCGGAGCGATTAATGTCAAGTCTACGGTATTTACTTTTTTTCCGTACAAATTGCAGATATGCTGTCTCATTCTTATCTAGGTAGTTAAGATAGTTCCCGAGATGTCTAGGGCCACTAAAATCGTCAGCGTTGATGAAAGTTCCACCAGGAAACAGTTTGGCATAGTCCGCGCCTCCTCGGACGACTGGTATGGCAGTGGTGTCAAATGTCTTGAAAAACTTTTCAGTTACGTAGTCTACACAAAGGGAATTTTCAAAAGCAAGATAGAACTTGTACGTGGTATTCAACAAACTTAAACATGACCCCTCGCCCTCACTGGAGCAATTCATTGTACCACACTTCCCATACACGTCAACAGCGATGTGCTTCTGCAACTGCCTGACGTATTCTCCACGTCTGCTTAGCGTGAGGCAGCTACTAACAAACCATGCAACAGCTCGGGACTTCTGCTCCACCGTCTCCTTGAAGTCAACACCTTCTTGAAACACATCCCTAACGACCAGTCTTCCATAGGGTGATGGAACGTCAGAGTCTAACCGATACGTCATCGTGAGACTGAACCGATGGCGCCATGTTGGATTCTTGTAGGTATCCCAAAAGTGGAGCGGCGGTTCCAACCCAAAGAAGACCCATATTTTGTCGTCAGTGTTGTTGGGGATAGTGCTTGTCCTTAAGGTCGGAGCATGTACAATAATAGCATCCGCTTCTGCCATAAATGACTTGTTGGCCGACAGCAAACAGTTGTTGACTGGACAGTGAGCTATACTCGAGGAGCAAGACCTGTCCCACCAATGTGGAATGTTGTACCAAACTATCAGCCTCCGGGTACTGTTCGATCGCTCCAATCGCCCTTTTAGATTGTTTTCCGAAAGTGGAGTATCTCCATTATCGGTGATAATCGAAGACATGTTTCCTGCAACAAGGAGTTTGATTTTTTCAGTCCGTGGCAAAGATGTACGCGGCTGTTCTGTTTTGGTTGCAGGAGCTGTGTGTAGAATTGCAAATATTTCATTGGCAGCATTTTTCCCTTTAGAAAATAAACCCCACAGAACTGATACAGTTATTACCGAATTGATTATTATAAGCAGGAGCATGCAACGTAGAGGCCACCGCCTGTGGAGTGAAACTTGTACCATGTTGGAGTAGAAACGTGGGTCATTGTTTAACATAGGGTCTCCAGAGGCTGGAAACGTGCGACGCCTGATGGCAACAATGACACAAATACCGAACCTTTGTTTCATACGTTCGCTTCTTCATCCGAAACTTAATAACATGACTGATACAATCCTGCCAGAAATGAGATAATTCCACCGATATGCAGACCTGAAGTAATTAATGGGGAACAGGTGGTACATCTGGACGCGCGAGAGGAAAACGTGTCTGTAATACGGAACACCTGTTGCACTGTGTTGAAACTGAATACATGGAACAATTACAGTTATTGGGTTAACCTATTCAAGCTTTATACTGTATTTCGTTATATCAAACTACTGGAACATGGAAAATATCAAAGAAATTACAACTGTCTATACATTCATTTCTTGCAAAGACAATATATTTTCAGAATATAATTTTGCAAATTTAATCACAGGTCATCCAATGGTAAACAAGACTACTTCACATTTCGCGTCGTGGGTAACCGGAGTAGGGCCAAACTTATAGTATCAATGTCATCACCATCACAGTCTGATTCTGTGAAAGCTGAATGAATGCCAGGTACAAGTGCACAAGACACACCCTTACCATATTTTTCCTTGACAAATCGATTTATCATTTATCCAACAGGACATGGACGTGTAGAAATTGGATTCGAATTCGATAAATAATTTAAGAGACAATTGATGTTCCACACAAAATATCAATGCGTTCAGAGTTGTCAAATGTGCAGTGCAGTTAGATGAAACGGGAATGTGACAGCGAAAGATCACAGAAGATACCAAAACACTTCCAAAGTAACTGTTATAAAAAAGCCCAGTTATCGACCCAAATAACAAACTAATGAAGATTGAGGCGTGTTATCCGATTTGAATTGGTATTACACTTTACATGTTTTTCCCTTAACTATCCTCAGCAGTCAGGCAACAGAGGAACCCAACACACAGCTACCTATTTGTGTCCAGTGAAATTTGACCGAATACATACACGAACTATTCATAATTTGAATTTGGTAACAAAATGCATCCATATTAATCTTAAAAGACTTTCCCCTGAAGCCAATGCCAGACCAGTTATGACAGAAGATAAAGAGGCATTATCAAGGAGTGTATTATGCTGCCATGTCATCAATACGCTAGAGGCTAAATCTCAGCCAGCATGCGCTGGAAATCGATATAAATAGAGGCAGAAGAAATATATTAAAAATACTGCATGTCTGGTCAGGTTGAGCCCACTTAGTTATCTGCTCCTATCATCTCCAAACTTACATCTCTAATGCTTATAAAAAGGTAGTCCTACCCTCCTCCCTTAATACATTATTATTTATTTCCTGCTGTACGTTACTTCAATACATTCTATGTTACATCATGTTTAGTTTGCCGGAGGTGAGTGGTATAAACCCTAATGGCCCTGTCCAACGACGTATGGCAGTAACGTATGGCGACGTATGAGAATTTTTGCCCAAACGCCGGCAACACTGAAACACGCTACGGAAAGGTTAGGTGTAAGCTGTAAACGTTAAAAGCACGCTGGTAAACGTTGTAGTACGCTTGGGCTCGGTTACGTATGAATTATACGTTAAGCATACGTTAGAGGTACGCTCTACATACGTTTACATACGCTAGATATACGTTACCCATACGCTGATATACGTCGACATAAGTTGGCTGAAGGTGTACTGTACATTTATCTTATTGATAACGTATGAGTAACTTACTTCTAACGTATGTCTAACGTATACATACACAAAGTATATGGCGTATTAGGCGTATGTCTGACGACAAATAACTTATTAAACGTGTTTCTAACGTTTAGCTAGCGTATTTGTACCGTTGTACCAGCGTTTTGGGGGCTTCTGTATATATTGGGTCCCTGTCAGTACCTCATCACTTCTGATGGAGACATTATGGAAGATGGTGGTGGAAGATGGTGGTGAAGGATGCGGAGAGGCTGCACCAAGAAGAAATAGCCATTCTCCAACATCAGCATTACATCCTCCAATTGACACTTTACCAGATCTTGCTCGGCCCCTGGTTGGTTTCTTTGGAGACATCTTGATGATGTTGACTGAGCGAAGACTACTGCTTGAATGAAGTAATTTGATGAATGGATGTACACTACAAGTTATACTACCGCGGGGCCCGTTTTAGGCACCTTTCGCCTATACTCTGCGCGCTAGTCGTACATTACTCATACGCTGGCCGTACGTTGAACACGCTGGCAATACGCTTTTATACGCTGTCATAAGTTATGTTTAAGTCAGTGGTACGCTACTAATACGTTAGACATGCGTTACTTTTCGGTGAACTCGTAATGTATATGCTATGGATACGCCAAAATCATGGTTTTTCGATGAAAGCTCGACGTATGACAGCGTACTAACTGTCTTTTACACGCTAGGTGCAAGTAACTCTAAAACGTTGTGTGTGACAGGTCCATAACGCCGGGTGCAAATAAAAAAAAACCGGTTGATCCTGGTACACCGAATTTATCTTACGGACATGATTTAATGTGACATTGCAAAAGAATTAACACAAATTCAAAATATTTAAAGAAAACAGCTGTTCGATTGAGCCGAGGTTAACTTGGGCAGTCGCGTGACTTCCATCGGCTCGGAAAAAGCGTGCTGCTTTTTGCTTTGAAGTGGGGTAAGAGATTTATTCCCTGCTGAGAAATTTATTACCCTCGAAGGTGGGGTTACACAGAATTTTGGGCACGTGGACCAATCAGATCTCACCATTCCGACATTGAGGTATGATAAAGTAGTTTGTAGAGACGTTGTACACTGCCCCGTGAGGGTGTTCGTACAAAAGAAATTCTTCTAAGGCCTGTAAATTGACAGAATCAGGGGTTCGGTGAAGTGGGATCAATTACAAGATGGGCCTTTTGAAAGACTCACAATCCAACCTATTACAAAGGAAACCTCAAGCAGATTGGAAAGTCCATGAGCACTTTCCTTGCATATCCATACCAATGTTACATCACTTAACAGCTACTTCTTAACACCCTACTATACATGGCTCGACAAGCTTCAGTGGGATGAGAACTCGGAAGCAATGATCACCCACATTCAGAAACATTATGCCAGTTCTGAAACGAACATGTACTTCTTACCACAAAGCTCCAATAGTGTATCAGTAAATGTTTTATAACAGTGCAGTTAACAAAACTTAGGGTGGCCTATATTGTGAAAAAGAGAAAAATAATCCTCAGTTGGCCCACATGCTAATCAATAACATTGTAGATACAGGGATCTGCAAGTGCCAGTTTCCATTTCAAGATGGCAGACATTACAAAGTGACATGTCCTCAATTTAAGATGCTTTTAAAGTGCCCAAAATTGCATTACATATACTGTATTCGACGTAATAAGCGCCCTGCTCTAATAAGCGCCCGCAGCGATATTTGTTAATATAATGGCTAGTGAACAATCTCAATTAGCACCCGTTCCAATTGATTAATGTATACAAGACTTATTTATTTGTGTATAATACGCACTCGTATGATTATATTCACCCTTAATTATGGGCGATTAAACTCTGGAAAAATATATCTGTCGTATATAAACATTTCAGGCTGTCAGCATAAACCGCGAAATTTACGATCTTTCAACTCAAAATAATATTCTAATAAGAGCCCCCTATTTCTAATTTTGAGAGCGCCCTGGGCGCTTATTACGTCGAATACGGTATTTATTTTACCGTTTCAAAAGTCAAGTTGCCAAAATAGCCAAAAATTATTTCACTTCATAATGGATGATAATTATCCAGATACCAGATGATTATATATTTCTGTTTGTGTTGTACTATTTACCCAAAAGGCCAATTTTAAAATTGGTGTTACCATAAAAATGATGCAACTGTGTTTCTGTCTAACCATGACATGCTTCAAAGTGAGCTCAGTGTGTAAAGAACTGGAGTTGGCATATGCCAGAGTTTGAAATGAAAGCTTTGAAAACATCTATATTTCTGAAGGTAACCATCAACAGAAATATCTAGAAAAGATGCAAGCAAACGATTTGGTCACTACTTCAATCTTCATGAAAATAATTTAAAAACACAAATCATATTTCCAAGATCATAGTTTAATATCTACACATAAAATAAGTCAACAAAATGGATGACATAAAAGTGAAATGATGAAATGCATGACCAAATGAGACATATGTTAAAACACTTCACAATAATTACACAATTTTCTCAAATAATAAACTGATGACTTGGACAATTTTAATGTGAACACAATCATATCATCTGTAGCACTGCCCTTCACCTTCCTGTGCTTCAAAAACTTTGGGAAGATGTTTTCCATCCCACATCTCAAAAACCATTGAACCGTAGCATGCAGACATTCACAAGTTGGAAATGGCAGGATTGTTTATAATCAGGAAACACAATGTGTCTGCATTAGGTCAAATATGAAATGTGATTCTGTATTAGGGTGACAAATAAGATGATAGTTCCAAAAATGACCAGCTAAGCTGTCCCATGTGAATTGCAGAAAAGTGAAAAATGCATTCGCAAAATTCGCAAGTTTCATTTGGTATTCATGTACAGTTTGGGAAGGACAACACATTATTTACATGATAACAGTTCATTTTCACATGTACACGACAAATTAAAACTGCTGATTATGAATGCAAGTCAAACAAGTGATGTCACCTGGATCTGTCTGGTAAAAAAGGTTAGATGTTGAAATATATGCACAGCCATCAGCACAATTGTCAAATACAATTCTCTGATTATTTACAATCCATGCACGCTATCGTGATCACAGTTCATACTAGCAGATTTAAGTTCTCAGTGTAGATCAGTCATCCTTGTCATCATCCTTTCGGTCATCCCCATTGCTGGTTGGTGATGCATCCCTCTTGTCAGGGGACTTGGACCTGGAACGGGACCTGGACCTAGACCTGACCTTGCTCGGGCTGGCAGAATCACGATTATCTTTGTCAACCTTCTTGGAACGGGATTCACTCCTACTCCTTGATCTGCTACGACTGGGACTCCTGCTTCGACTGCGGCTTCTGCTTCTGGAGCGACTCCTTGATCGGCTTCTTCGGGATCTGGAACGGGAACGGCTTCGGCTCCTGCTACGACTTTTGGAGTATGAACTGGAGAGGAAAAGGAAAAATGCAGAGTACATGACATTGAAGTTTAAAATCTATGTTTACTAACCAAAAGTCAGGATCATGCATTTCACAAAAGAAGATTTTCTCATGACACTTTTTAAGCAAACATGTTTATTATGTATAATTAGTGCACAAATGGTGTAATTATCTGAAAATTTAGAAGCCTCAATGACAATGGTTCTTGGGTAAACACTAAGTACAACATGTACAAACACCTGTCTTTTCTTTTCATTTCATTTTTACACTCTAGGACGAATCACTTGTTAAAATATTAACTTCATCAGGTGATTAAAAATATACATGTTACTTTACAAGAAATTACAAATATCTGATTTAGCTGAATTTGATAAAAGTAACTCTTCCAAAAAAATATTTCATGTTATGGGATAACTTAAAAAATATATTCAATGCTATTATATTTTGGAGAAATGGTTCAAAGGCAATAATCAATTTGAATTGAAGTAGAAGAAAAGTCAGCATACCGGCCACGTCTCTTGGGTTTGTCTTCCACTACACGGATCTTCCTTCCATTGATTTCAGTGTTGTCTAGCTTCTCCATAGCATTCTTCATGTCTGAGTATGTAGCAAACTCCACTATTCTGAATTACAAATAAACTGTCATCATGTAAGGTAGAAAACAAATTTCATTTTATTGTCCTGAAATGACAAAGATGTTAAGCACAAAGAGGGTCAGTAGATTTAAGTTGCAACTCCCAATTATCTTTAGATCTGGTTTCCATAACTATCTCAAACTTACCCTTCATTCTTGTGCTTCTTGTGTGCATCAGCAAACGTAACTTCACCCGCCTGACGCATGTAGTCCTTAAGGTCCTTGAACACACAAAGAATAATCATAAAACAATGGAACATACATTATGAAGAAAGATTTATCTTACCACAACAGCATACAGCTTCTCCATACCTGTTCCTAAAGAGAAATTACCAACCCTACTAAACAAAGGAATATTGAACCAGTTTCTGGATTTCTCATTGTTTTTATATGCCAATGAAAAAAAACAAGCTTGTAAACTTCCTTCACAACAAGTGCATCAAAGGCTTTTTAGTTCCACAAACCAGTGAACATAAGAAAATGTCATTTAAAAACCATTAAAAATGTAGATGATTGTACAAGAAATATCCATTTCCATAGAACCTCATTCACTGCATATCCATTATGTACTTCCGCTCCACTGCCTTCAGCTACATTTCCCCATAACAGTTTGCATGATAGAAACAACTTGAGTATTCACTTCATTCACATTAGTCAACATATATAAATTTCACTACATGCTAAACAGATACACCATGAGAGAATGTTAGATGTTCACTCCCAGTATATTCAAAATTTGTACTCACAAGACTTGCTGTTCTTAATCAACTGATCCCAATTGTAATCAACTGATGTTAGTTAATATCAAAAATTTTAAATGTTAATACATATCAGTAAAGTATCCCCATGTAACTTAAAATTTGGAAAAAAGGTAAAATGTTTCATCTTTAAAAAGGACTCAAAGTTTATGCCAAATTTACAATTTCTGACATTGCACATAATTAAATTGAAATCATAAATGAAGATACTCATCACTCATTTCCCCTACACCTACTTTCAGCATAAGAGCATTCAAAACAATTACCTCTGTACTTTCCCTTAATCAAGAGCTCATTTCTCAAAGGCCAAAGCAGGTATGGACCCTATATACGCTCTGCAAGAACGGACCTCGGGTTGACGGCTGGAGTCAGTGCCCAACAAGTAGGGCCAGTATCTGATCTCTTGCTCATAAGACGGATGAGAATAGACCCCAAGGGATGGACCTGTTCTGTATGGTGCCCCAGTCGTTCGCCAAGGCAACCGACTGAGCACCCTGACTGGAAGGAGGAACCTGTCTGAGAGGAAGCTAGTGCTTGGAAGACCGTGTCCCCAATGAGTGACTGCATTTTCTTTAATTCAATAGGGTTTCTTTGAGCCAGATCTCCGAAAGTTTTCTGAAAACTAAAATTTGTTTTTTCGTCCAACCCGAAACCAGACTCTGGAAGGACACCCCTTGTAGCAGAAAGGACCAGCGTAGAATGGCATGCTGCTAGATTAAGACCTGCAGAGAGACCAAGTGCAGTTTGGCTGTGTCGTTCAGTAAGACCCTGTGATACAGTCCGACAGCGCTTGCCTGCCTGCCTGTATGCCTGCCTGACCTAGGCCGATAGCTAGTGGCAATCCTCAGACCTAAGGACCTTGGTTCAAGTTCGAGACCCAGTGACCCCATCAGGCTTCAGCGAGTCTCCCGAGCTTGGGGGAAGATAGATAACATCTTTAAAATTAGTAACTGCCAAAAACAATGGAACACAAATAATTAAGATTCTTCTCTTTCCAAAATATTAACAATTCAGTTCCATATTACTACACATTATCTAAAAGGGGTTTTCTATAATTTCCTTGCTTTAGAAAAAAATTCTAAATGCTGCAACTGAAATAGATAGGAGGCAATGGATACAACATGCAAGGCATAAGACAGTAAATAACTCACCTGCCAGCTAACCCTTGATGAGAGATTCTCAATGATCAACCTGTACTCTGTATGTGTAGGTGGTCCATAGCGACTGCAAAACACAACAGGACATTTTATACCAATCAACTGCAACCAATCAATTTCTTTCATAATGCTCAAGCTCTTAAATAACAGAAAAAACATTTGTTGTTGATTTCACTACCATACAAAAGAAAACAATACCTGTCTCTGCCACCACCGCCACCACCCCTACGACGTGGGGGATATCCACGATCCCGATCTCTGAAGGAATCCCCTCTTGGTCCTCGAGCGTGCTCTACAATACACCTGAAAACAAACACTCAAAATGATAATCACTCCAGTTGAGTAAATAAAGTAACATGGTACTGGGAGTATATGTAATTTAACATTTTCAGCAATATTCAAACACAGCAATCAGTCCATAAGAATCTGGACTAGACAAAGCATTTATAAGAAACAAGCATCAATCCACTCAAATTATAATCAAATACATACAAAAAATCATGCAAAAGATGTCAGGGGACACTAACCACAACTTCTTGTTAATACACCACTGTATTTCATTACGTAGGATAAAATTGTTAACTTCTTTTTATTACCTAGGAATTAGGGAAAGACTAATGTGCTAGTGTAACATTAATTACATAATAGTAATAAGTGTACAAAAGAATGTTACATTCAAATACAGGTCTAACCAGAGTTCTGCGATTTTTTGTAGTACCTCTTTAACACCAACATTAATATATAGATTTCCTGCTTGTGAAACAATTGGGATTGGTTTGCAGCACGAAGCAACATTTATTGAGACCACCCTTTGTTCCCAAATCCAAGACATGGAACAAGGTACAAATTTGCTCAGGGAGGTAATTTCTCCGATCAGTTGCAGCCAAAGTATCTACCTCACCTTTCGCCACACAATTCTTTGCCATTTAATTCGTATACAGCATCATCAGCATCTCTGTAATCTTCAAATTCCTGAAATGAAATTAAACATTCTCTGAAGCTCATAGATTCGGACCAACAAGCATAGGAAAGACTTCCACTTGTATTCCCCCCTACAAAAGTTATATATGTATGCATTACTGCTCAATCCTTTTAATTATATATAATTTTTAGGGGGCATACGTGCGGATATCTTACCGAAGGATTTATCTTAAAAACGAACCACACTTATGTTTACTAAGGCTATTTGGGTTTCATTCACAATATGGAAAGTAATATCTACTGTGCGTTGCCTCTCAATCCTTTTTATTATATTAATATTATATAATTTCTACACAGGAGACTTACCACGAAGCCATAGCCATTTTTCAACATAACATCTCGGATTCTGCCATAGTTTCTGAAGAAACGCTCAACGTCCTTTTCTCGTGCGTGGTTAGATAGTCTGCCAATATATAATCTGGTGCCCATTTTGATCTGGAAAATAAACAAAGAGTATGTAGTGTTGAGTCCGGACACGTGTCGACACACCAGGCTACGTGCAGACAGGGCCTGCATACACAATGACGCCAACAAAATAATGATCTTCATGTTAGAAATCAATCATAAGAAAATAATATTTCATTAGTTGTTTCCCTACATACAACAGATGTAAATCACGACGAATCCAATGCGATTACATAACAATGAAGTAGCCGATATCTGTACGATGAAAATATCCGAAATGGGCTATTCTATCCTGTCTCACACAAAACCAAAATGGAGGACCAGACAGCCAAATCCCGATTATTTGGAAAAAAGTATCGAGAGAAATGTTCACAGTTAGCGGAAATTTCCGTCCTGTTGACGAGCCTCCTTGGTAGAAACATGCTCAATTAATTACTTCAGTTAATTAGAAAGACAGATATATGTTGTCTTACTCTTCTGCAAAATCGAGAATATAACCCACCAATTCAACACGCACTGGTCGCCTTTCTTCTACCCAGAGTGCCTTGCTCGCTATCCTGCGTGGAGTTTGTGCGTAGAAATCGAGGTTCAACTCCGTTGAGAAAAACACCGTGCGCACAAGTGACGGCGGACCAACTTCCGATCGTCTGCTAGCACAAAGAAAGAAAGCAGACGACGAACAAAGACATTAATCTGAGCTGGTTAGACTTGCTTTTTCATAATCTAAATTGGTTCAGGTTTCATAAATACACATATTCCACATTCATGGTGCAGGACAATATTTTGGTCAAACGTCCCTCCTTGCAAACAAGTCAACAAAGAGAATGTACGAAGATCACGAAATAGGCACCTTGCATGTTCTTTGGGAAGTGATTAGTACCTAATCTACCAATTCAAGGGCTTGACTGCTAAGCTAGAGCATACAGTAAACTAACGATTAAACTGCTTTTGGGGACAACGACACAATAAGTTGTCTACAACGGGATAACATAACAAATTAAATGAAGTCTGTGAAATCAGAGATCACATACACGGTAATAGATTATTATATCTATTAAATATGGTCTCTGGTGAAATCAACAATACTAGGCCTATCTTTCAGCCTAATGAGATAGGATCCAGGCCTAGATACATAGGGAGAGTGTCAGTATACCCTAAGTTTTTAATGCGTTTTAGGTCCTTGTGAAAATGTAAATGTAAGAATATATTTTACCCGAAAACTTACTCCATTTTTGGTAAGGGATGTCCACAAGCTCCTTCCACAGTAGGTAAGGTGAAATGGGATTACCGTCATGTTTGACATTATTTCACATATATAGTGACGTAATGCACCTGTGTCTCTTTGTAGCTGCTTGTGCTTATGCTGTTTCAATAAGTCTAGCCCACTGAGATACCATGCCGGTGATAACATTGGTACCCCGCTCAAACAGATTATACACACTCCAGCTTTTTTTTATGCCCTTAATGCTGAGTGCCACAAGGGTAACAACATGTACCACCTATATTAATGTCTGTCATGACCAGGGAATCGAACCACCAACTTTTCACTCTTCAGGAAGACCATCCATCCATGACACCATGGTACCTTTCGATCTTAGTCATTTTGGCAGCTGTGCAAAAATAATAGGTTTTTGATGTACTAATATACTGAAAATAATTACCCTCCCCTAATGCTTGTACATTGTTTTCATGACCCTGCCTGAAAAAACAAAATGCAAAAGCACTTTATATTTTATTATAAATTCAATTGTCCATTTTGTTCATGAGCTGCCCCAAATAGATCTAGAATCTATGTGTATTAATTTCTATGACCCTCCCCTAGAGACTGTCATATTATTTGATAACCCTCCGCTAATTCTGTGTACCATTAGAATATATACCGTAATTATTACGGTAAAAGGTTGAAAGCCAGGCTTCAATAGCATTCAGTCCTGGCCAAAGAAGACTCAGAATGCAAGTTGTGTGGTTACAACAATCTTATCATATGGTCATCCTTGTAATCAAGTCTGAAAAGAAAATGCAACAAAATAACATTGTGTCACAAATATATTTTATTGAGCATGAACTGAAAAACATATATATTGCAGTTATACTCAGGCTGCTTATAGCTCACATATTTATGACCTGATATAACAAGATCACACTCCACAGTAAGCCACTTAAATTGGCAACTTCTGAGATTGAAAAAAACCTGAATCTGAGCAGAGAAAACATCCATACTTGAAAACAGATTCCTTCAGTAAGTGTCAGAAATTGTACCAGTGATTTTCGGCCATGATTTTACTTTCACAGGATGAATAGGAAAAAAACTGGCCATTTGGTCCTTATAAGAATGCAAATTTGTCAAAATTTCAGAACACAAGCTCTGCATGAAAAAAAGATAGAGACATATCATAATCTTTGTCCACATATAAAAAAATTTCAGATATCCTACATTACTGAAATAAATGTTAGGAGAGAACTAGGGCTGGGACGGGTAACTCTGGTACCCGGGTCGGGTGGGTACTGAGTAGGACCCGGGTACCCACAGGACTACCCGGACCCGTAGTTAGTCACGTGATATATTGTTTGATGTAAAAAATTATCTAGAACTCTATGGTGACACTACAAGTCACTAATATAATGTTCGCATTTCTTTCTGACTATGCACCCATTCCTTCTGACTTTTCATATGGTTGAATAAAGATATAACTAAATTCAACTTCAGTGTATGAATGACCAGATTGTATACTAATAATAATACATGGACATCTCCTGAGACCTACAGTGGGTACCCGGGTAGGGTCGGGTAAAAGGGGGGGTGGGTATCTGGGTAGTAAATTTGGACTCGTCTCACCCCTAGAGAGAACCTTCACTTTTGGTATAGTAAATACTTTCTCAACAATTTACGATAAAATAAAACAAGAGTCATCAGAAAGATGACATTTCCCCCCCACAACTGTCTGTAAAGTAACCACAAGTAAATGTGCAATTCTGTATGTAATGAGTCAAGAGTTGAATGTTCTTGAAGAAGCATACATTGTTTACCCACAAAAGATAAACCATGGTCGCATCCATATGAAATGGAAAGTAAAACAAGTGTGTTTCTGTGGGTTTTTTTATGCAAACAAATGACAAATTACAAGAAACAATAACTAAACAAGCATATAGTCAACGAAGTCATCTATATCCCCCGCCCATTTTAACCCGTTATGGTCCCAAACCAGGTAACTGACCAAACATTTCTCTTAGCCCATGTCAAAATAGCTGCAATGGAAATTCTAAAATAAACATTTCTAAAACTCCTTAATATCAAATGGCACCAGTTCAGTATGTGCTTTATATATAGACATGCAATGTTTGGCAAGAAAATATTTAACAGTTTATTTGTTATACTCCATAAGTGAACCCATCCTATATTTAAACCTAAATCCAACTTGTTGCCATGGGAATGTAAAAAATAAAAATTTATAAAATTCCTAAATAGCAAAAGGCACCAGTTCAGTGTGTGCCTTGTAGACATGCAAAGTTTTGTAAGAACGTATTTAAGAATTGTTTTTTGAGTTACGCTCTGGAAACGAACACCACCCTTACAGAACCAACCATAAGTATAAGTCCAACCAATCTCATTAAAATCAGATCTTAGTTTTCGCTACCGCTAAACAAAGATCTGAGGATATCCCATTACAAGTCACGTCAGAACGACCTTTCGCGAAAATTGACTGACCAATGAAATGACTGACATAATATTGACATTAGCCAATCAGAAGGCAGGTATCTCGAGCTTTACGTCACTAGTTTCAAACTGGCGACTACACTTCGGAACATATTTTGACATATTCTCGATTAAAAAATTTGAAACTGACCAAAACAACATTCTGGAATGGCTCACAGATGGCCTAGAATGTATGGATATAATCATAAAACTCGTAACTGTCTTTCGAATACCCTGTGTTAAATATTTCGAGGTTGCATGATTAGAAAACACATTCCGACTGTCACTTTCAGGATCTGGTAAGCGACGCTCTGATTGGTTGGATGAAAGGCCGTGCTGACGTGACCTGTAATAGGATGTCCTCAGATCTTTGTTTAGCGGTAGCGAGAACTAAGATCTGATTTAAATGAGATTGAAGTCCAACTTGTTGCCATGTAAACATAAAAAATAAAAACCTCTAAAATTCCTAAATAGCAAAAGGCACCAGTTCAGCATGAGTCTGATAGACATGCAAAGTTTTGTTAGAAGGTTTTGAATGGGTTTTGAGTTACGCTCCGGAAACGAACTCTACCCTAAAGAACGTAAGTCCAACTTGATGCCATGGAAACGTAAAAAAATGTAAAAAATTAAAAATTCCTAAATAGCAAAAGGCACCAGTTCACTATGTGCCTGGTAGACATGCAGAGTTTTGTAAGAAAGTATTTAACGTTTTTTTAGTTACGCTCCAGAAACGAACACCCCCCTTTTAGAACCTCAAAAAATATAAAAAAGTAAAAAGAATATAGTTCATGCTGTCCCTCAAAACAATATACTTAATCAATCAAAATAAAAGCCCAGGTGAGCTGTGATCAAACATGTTACACCTATGAGCAGCAATAGAAATTGGCACCAGTCCTATAGTCTTGCCAAACTGCCCAATAGTTGAGGTATTTAAAGGACCAGTAGAAATTTGCCAATTTTATGGGTTTTGCTATTATGTTATCATTATAAGGACTAGTGGACTAAAAATGTTAGATTCTATCGCTGGTGAGTGTCCAGGTTAGAATTGGTCTTGTTGTAAGAGGCGATTAACTTGTTTGATTCATGTCATCGTATCCCATTTGCATAGGGAGATGCTTATGATGTCAACCACTGGATTGTCTGGTCCAGTCTAGATTATTTACAGACCGCCCTCATTTTCTTAAAAGGCTTATTTAGAAATTCAAAGATGGGTGTCTCACAGCCTTAATAGAAATAAGAAATCAATGTAAAGGTTTTTGTGTCAATAATGGGTGGAAATGTCTGTGCCATGTGTCATCTCTATCGCTCCAGGGAATTCGGAAATGAAAATTATGCTTTTTCAAAAGCATAGATTTTGAATTATCTCCCCTGAGACAATAACAAAAATAATCTTATTTTCAAATGTTCTCTGACAATTCGACTGAGAGCCAAATACTTAATATTTCTTATGCATTTTATGGAATAGCAGACATCAGAGCTTGCATACTTCTTACCCAATGTAGACAAGTAGCTTCTTAGCAGCCGCATTTTAAGGATGGGTTTAAACAGCCCTTCAGATCATCTTCCTCATCTTATAACAGACTGATTGTTTCAGAGAAAGGTAATACCTGTATGTACCTGCCCCATAAGCAAAGTATGCTAGAGAGATGGAATGTGAAAATTGACACTGTGATGCACAGCAGATTTCCTTCACATTCCTTTTCAAATACTAAAGGATCAATGGCAGGCATATGCTGACTAGTATTTCAGTACAGAAGGATAAATACACTTTGTCCCTTGACCTGTATGCTTTGAATATTTCCAAAAATCAACTCACAGGAAGTTTGTCGACTGATTATTAAAACATCAGCTATTTGATATTCAGTACCGCTGTTTGATGGAGTTTGTGTATTTGAAGAATCAAAGTCACACCTGGAAACAGCTGCTTTCACGTCATGAGTATATGTGTTGATTGAAAGAAGATGATGTACCTGCAACTCACCACCAAAAATATCTCCTGAACTGTATACACATGTATGTAGCTTGCACCAGCTGATGTTTCTCAGCATGAATTTAAGCTAAACTTTCATAATTGTGCAGTTCTTGAAGCACAGTTTGCGAAGAATGTTTACTCTCAAATCTTAGTTCAAAGATAACGATTTTGGAGAAATAATTCTGGATAGTGTATCAAATACTGGAGTTTTGGATGTTACCATGTGTTTGGCATCAACGTTTTGCATTCATACAAATAGGCTTCTGTTACAAAATTTAAAAGTGTTACTTGTGATTCATGTAACTTCAGACTACACACTATTTCCTCAATTTTTAAATTTAAAAAGAAAAAGAAAAATCAGACTGTCATCAACATTAGTAACATACTTTTCAACAAGTAATTAAAAAAGCCTCACAAACATCCAATTTTGCACGGACTGTCCTGATATTTTCAGCAGTAGAAACTAACGTTTTTAGTCCACTAGTCCTTGGAATGATAACATATAGCAAAACCCTTAAAAGTGATAAATGTCTACAAGTTCTTATGATACCTGAACCTTTTGGGCAGTTGGCAAGCACTACAGGACTAGTGACAATTGCTAATGCTGATTTTACTTCACATTGTCGTATAATATTTAGTTTGTCACAGGCATCAGTTCCAACATAAGGAAATGAATTATTATTTACGTGAAGCTGACCAACAGTGAGTGATTTGGGTTTAAAGCCGCATTGAACAGTATTCCAGTAGGGCTGAGACGGGTAAATCAGGTACACGGGTTGGGTGGGTCCTGAGTAGGATCCAGGTACCCACCGGACTACCTTGACCCGTGGTTAGTCACGTGATATATTGTTTAATGACAATAACTCACTATAGCTCAGTGGTTTCACTAAAAGTCACTAAAGTTCTGACGTAAAAGTAAAGTAAAGATAATGCTTCATTTAACTTAAGTGTATGCATGTGTTTGATATATGTATCTAGTAGTTTTGGCCAGGGCTGTGGTAAAACAATTCCCAATCAGACATTTTGTTCCCAACTCTTGATACCTTCAGTTGGTACCCCGGTAGGGTTGGGTAATGGAGGGGTCAAGTACCCGGGGAGTAGATATGGTCTTGTCCCAGCCCTATATTCCAGTTACATCATGGCATGTCAACTTGATGTGGGTGGAAAGGCTGAAGTTTTAGTTGGTTACCAGTTTGCACACATATGGTGCTGACAACTAGGAAACATAATCAGGGCAAACTGTGAATCAAACCCACACAGTGAATTGCAGCGCTTTAAGACTGAGGAACCTGTTCCCCCAATGATCAGTTAACCACTGCCTATGTGTTACAAAGATATATATGAGCTTAAAATCACATAGCAAAATGCCTAAAAAAAGATGACGGCACCACTGGTTATATGATAATGCAAAAAGCTCATTGAAGATAAAGAGTCACACTTTATACCTTTGTGATTGTTCACATTTTCAGAAACTACCAGTACACTGTGCTCATAACATTCCCTTGATCTTCTGACACTGACAATGTCCCTCAAGAAAATATGCTTAAGGAATCAAGCAGCATCTACAAAAGTATTGACTTGGGTAACATCAAGAAAATCCTCATCATTTGAGACAACAGGTTGTTCCCAAGAATACAAAACTTTTTGTAAAGTGTAAATCTGTCACATTTTAGTGTACCTAGTTGATTATTTCAGGCTGACATTGTCCAACAAGCAGTGTTTGCTCATGTACGAGACCAAACTGACTACCAACAGATTTCCCTCGGCACAAACACATTACTGCAGCTTATGATTATTGTAAGTGCGATTTAATATTCACACTAGAAAGTTATCTGCACTACATGACCCTTCCATGAAATACACCTGCTGATGACTAAGATTTTCTTTGAATTTTCAACTGAGCATTGTATTTCCATTCACCCTTTGAATACTGGACAGACACTGCATTGTACTACATGTATCATAACTTTACACAGTTACCATATTTTTTAAGGTAAAGGCTTACAGTGTAATAAAGCAAGATGAAGAGTTGGAATTTGTGCACCAAGACTTCTATGTGAAATTCACGAGCTTGTCCATGGTGCTGACAAACTTGGAAACTATCAGGTCAAACCAGGATTCAATTGTCCCACGATCATTATGCCATGGAATACCAATATATCATATCTGTAAGTGATGTTTTAGTATTTGTTGTCTTGAAGACAGTAATGAAATTGAAATCAATAAGTAAACTGTCTTCAGAATTATATCATGCGGCTATATCAATAAAGAACAGTACAAATATATTTCAGCTCAGCCTTTCATGTGTTGAATTATTTATAACTTGACCTTGCTATGTGATATGTATGGTATTGCACCAAAGTGTATGGTTGGTCCAAGTTCCACATGTTTGCAAGCCCTCCTGCCTTGATCAAATAAATGTCCCAGCAATGCAGCTCATTATATCTTTATAAAAATAGTGACATGGCACTGTAGCTCACCTGGATATGTTGTAGTCAACAATTTTAAATGTTTACAGACAGCCAACTTTAAAACCAAATTTGCCATCAGAATTTCTATTCAAATATTTTCTGCTTTAAATGAAGAGGCTAAAATTATTAACAAATATGAAACAAGTAACAAATTTCCAAAAAGTTTCAACCCAGATCCTTATTTGCATGCTAAGGAGAAAGTGGCATCTATTAATACCATACAATTGTTTCACTAAAAAAAAGAGGAAAGAGTAAGACCCAATGATTTGAACTAAATTAAATAGGATGTCACCATAAGGAGGAAACAAACAGGTTCAGGATCCTCAGGAAATTTTAGAGAGTTGAATTCATTTTGGGAGATTTTAAGACCATTACCAATACCTGCAACTTGAAGCCAAAAAAAAGCCATAAATAGGTTTATTTAAAGTTCAATTTGACAAATTATGTGATGTTTCAGCTTCATTTGTTTCTGAGCAGTCTCCTAAACAGAGTTCCAAGTGTCCAGCATAGTATCTCTGTCACAGGCCATTTTTCACATCTTACAGTCCATTCACATTCAAGATATTGCTTACCCGATATGTTTTGGACAAGTCTACAAATCTAGATAAACATGTCATAGAATGGTTAACTTTCATTGATGAAATACCCTAAAATATTAAAAACTATTTCCATTTGCGCAGTTATTCTTTGTTTACATTGGTTGTATGGCTCCATGTGCTGTCATTGAAGCTCTAGGAAGAGCTAGCAATAGGGTCACTGATGTATAAAGAATTTAAGATGTCATGCACCTCACTGTTGCAGTTGTAGTAGCATATCTATATAATTATACAAAATATGTAAAAAGCGCCCTTATACTTGCATTCGGCTAATCTGTTCTGATTTCAGAATAAGTAGTTTGTTTACAAACAAAAGAAACGTCTGGTGATATGCAAATTAACCTGTCGCAGTGGTGTGATGCCAAGTCAACACTGCACAGGAGTGTGGTTTCTGAGATGCTTACACAGATGCTGGAAAAGCATGCCATGACAGGTCCCTTGACCTTCAGTCAGGTGAGCTAATAATGTGATACAAATCATGTGAGAAACAAATTTCCACATTCATACTTTAATATCTATACATAAAATACATAAAACAAAACACATGAAGTAAAAGTGAAATGACACATGAATAAATGATACAGATGTTAAAACACTTTGCGATAATTACATAATTGTACAAAATAATAAGGTGATGATTTGGACAATGTTAACACAAACAATCATATGATAAGCAGCACTGTCCTAACACTCCAGTGCTATTAACAGGGAAGATTGTTCATTTGAAATGGCATGATTTTGTATATCAGAATACAAAGTTAAAGAGTCTGTATGGTTTCACGCCACTTTCAGCAATATTACAGCAATATCATGGTAAGACACCAGAAATTGGCTTCATACATTGTACCCATGTGATGAATTGAATCGGAGTCTGGCGTGAATAGCAAACAATTAAACACCAGGCTACCCCACTGCCCCTATCAAAGTTGAAGATAAAACATGAGATGTAGTCATTGATTAACATGATAACAGTTCACTTTCACAATCATGTACACAACAGATTAAAAATGCTGATCATGAATGCAAATCAAACAACTGATGTCACCTGTCTGGTTAGAAAGGTTAGATGTTGAAATATATGCACAGCCATCAGCACAATTGTCAAATACAATTCTCTGATTATTTACAATCCATGCACGCTATCGTGATCACAGTTCATACTAGCAGATTTAAGTTCTCAGTGTAGATCAGTCATCCTTGTCATCATCATCCTTCCGGTCATCCCCATTGCTGGCTGGTGATGCATCCCTCTTGTCAGGGGACTTGGACCTGGAACGGGACCTTGACCTAGACCTGACCTTACTCGGGCTGGCAGAATCACGATTATCTTTGTCAACCTTCTTGGAACGGGATTCACTCCTACTCCTTGATCTGCTACGACTGGGACTCCTGCTGCGACTGCGGCTTCTGGAGCGACTCCTTGATCGGCTTCTTCGGGATCTGGAACGGGAACGGCTTCGGCTCCTGCTACGACTTCTGGAGTATGAGCTGGAAAGGGGAAGGAGAAATGAAGAGTTCATGACAGTTGTAAAATCAATCTCCACATATAGTAGTTTTTCAAGATCCAAGAAAAGCTTTTTGTCCAGGCACCTATTATGACATAACAGTCAAATGAGGACATGTGTACAATAGCATTTATGGAGAGATGACCCTTTCACCCTCATAAGACAAATCTGTTAAAGCAGAAATTGTCGTAAAAATTAATTGAAGCTAAAACAAAAACTTACCGGCCACGCCTCTTGGGTTTGTCTTCCACTACACGGATCCTCCTTCCATTGATTTCAGTTCTGTCTAACTTATCAATAGCGTTCTTCATGTCTGAGTATGTAGCAAACTCCACAACTCTGAAATATAGGGAGTTGTATTTAAAAAGATATATCAAAGCCATTTACTATATAACTACAAAATACATTTCAATCAATTAACCCACTGAAGTTGGTTTACTGGTTGGTTGTTTCAAGTGACTCTGCAATATTCCAGCTATATGACTGCGGTCTGTAAATAATCCCGCCTGGACCAAACAATCCAGTGATTGATATGAGCAGCGATCCACGCAGTTGACATGCATCAACCAAGTCAGCAAGTCTGACCACCTGATCCTGTTAGTCGCCTCTTACGACAAGCATAGTCGCCTCTTACGACAAGCATAGTCGCCTCTTACGACAAGCATAGTCTCCTTTTACAGCAAGTATGGGTTGCTGATGGGTTGTTACATTTGATGATTTCATAGAGTTGTGGGTTTGTAGCCATGGAAGGAAAGGTCATATTTTTCTGTTGCACCCATGCCACCGTATCTCCCCCAAGGCTAGTCGACATCTGGGCCTTGCTGTCTGGATCCTGCATACTGTGACATGCTGCATTGTCCATAATAAGGGACTTGGCAGGCAAAGCAGGGATCTATTTATTTTCACCAACTCCAGAAATAACTGTGGTAGTCCCTGTTGTCCTTGGCTCAAAAAACGAGGTCACAGTCTGGGACAAAACCCTGACCAGCCCAGCCAGCATAGAGAATAAGTCTTTCACTTATTCCCATTGGTAAGTTTCTCCCCACAGACTCACCATTTTTCCTGAATGCAGATTAACAATTACACGTCTGACTTGATTTTTCTGAAAACATGTCTAATTGATCAACCCTACACGGTTTTGATATGTTCCCAACCTGCTTTGCCCGATTGCTAGAGTCTCGTCGACGGACAACATCTTTCACTCTTTCAGAAGACATACCACAAGCTTTAAAAGATTTTTCAAGTAATGGGAATAAATATAACTAGAAGCAGATAATGTTGGGTACAGTGTTTTCATTGCCATGTACCATATTGACAACTAATAGACTTTTCCCGATTTTGAGCTATTTTGCAATTCATCGTTCTCATTTGGAGTCAAACAGACTGTAATATGGAATGGAATTAAACTTTTCTTAGCTAGATTACAGTATACTGTGCATGAATAACTTACATTTTACAATTTACAAGTTTTTCTTCAGCTGACATTTTCCCCCCAAACTTGTTATTATTCCAGAGGGTTTGCCCCCTACAGATGCCACTTTTATTAAATTCATACATAAGTGACACAAGACACCAGAACACCAAAATTGTACATTTGGGCTTAACTTAAAAGATCCTTTCATTGATGTGGGAACAATTTTCAATTTGGCTGCTAGGTGTGATTCTATATTAGAAGCATCAAACAATATGGCCAACCGCTATTTGACAATGCTGAACATACCCCTTTTTTGTACTCATGAAACTGACATTTTGGGGTGGGTGGTCAGACTCGCTGACTTGGATGATGCATGTCATCATTCCCCAATTGTGTAGATTAAGGCACATGATTGTTGATGACTGGATTGTTTGGTCCAGACATGGTTATTTACAGAACTATGCCATATAGCTGGAATATTGCGTAGTGTGGTGTAAAACAACAAACAAACAAAACTGATGCAATGCCCCAATCAGTTGCAACTCACCCTTCATTCTTGCGCTCCTTGTGTGCGTCTGCATATGTAACTTCACCTGCTTGACGCATGTAGTCCTTAAGGTCCTTGAACACACAAAGATTAATCATAAAACAATGGAACATACATTATGCAGAAACATGTTAATCTTACCACAACAGCATACAGCTTCTCCATACCTGTTCCCAAAGAGAAAAAAATTATACCATCTAAACCTGAATACAAGAATACCTAAGATGTGTAAGAATTTTTTGGTCAACTAAAGAAATAGCCCTTTCCTGAATTCATATCAATCAAACATGTTATTCTCACTGAAGCTGTATTGACATGACCATACTGCCCACTGCATACTCCCATTTCTGAAATTTGTAAAAATCCTCAACAGAAGTGGGTATAAAGCTGCTGAATTCCTCAAACAAATGAACATAGGAGCAGTAATGTATACTCACATAACTTAAACATATTATTCACACAGAAGCTGTATTGACATATGACCATATTACACTGCATACTCATTTTATACTTCATCAGCTGACAAAGTCTCTGATCCTGGATCCAGTTCCCCGTCTTCAAACACATATACCACTTAGAATATTCATAGCTAAATAGAAATGAACTCTTCACTGAATTTGAACATCAAAGAATTTGTAACAAAACATATCTCTTTTTTCAGTGCATGACTGCATTAGATAAAGCCTTCTGAGTACTAATGTAATTGTTTTCACCCTATATTGAACAAGATCTTTCTCAGGCACCCAACGCCTTCTATTTTCTTTTGAGTAGTAGATCAATGATAAACTTTCAGGTAAGTTTCTTCAAAACATTTTTGGGAAAAATCATACGTGATTAAATTAGGCCAAGTGTAAACTTTAGAAAGGTTCACAGAAACAATAGCAAGTGACTTTACAACTGATCATTTCTGTCATTGCAGTTGATTAAATAAAAATCACAAGTGAAGATACTTATCCCTGTTTCCCCTACACCTACTTTCAGCATAAGAGGAGCATTCAAAACAATTACCTCTGTACTTTCCCTTAATCAAGAGCTCATTTCTCAAAGGCCAAAGCAGGTATGGACCCTATATACGCTCTGCAAGAATGGACCTCGGGTTGACGGCTGGAGTCAGTGCCCAACAAGTAGGGCCAGTATCTGATCTCTTGCTCATAAGACGGATGAGAATAGACCCCAAGGGATGGACCTGTTCTGTATGGTGCCCCAGTCGATCGCCAAGGCAACCGACTGAGCACCCTGACTGGAAGGAGGAACCTGTCTGAGAGGAAGCTAGTGCTTGGAAGACTGTGTCCCCAATGTGTGACTGCATTTTCTTTAATTCAATAGGGTTTCTTTGAGCCAGATCTCCGAAAGTTTTCTGAAAACTAAAATTTGTTTTTTCGTCCAACCCGAAACCAGACTCTGGAAGGACACCCCTTGTAGCAGAAAGGACCAGCGTAGAATGGCATGCTGCTAGACTAAGACCTTCAGAGAGACCAAGTGCAGTTTGGCTGTGTCGTTCAGCAAGACCCTGTGATACAGTCCGACAGCGCTTGCCTGCCTGACCTAGGCCGATAGCTAGTGGCAATCCTCAGACCTAAGGAACTTGGTTCAAGTTCGAGACCCAGTGACCCCATCAGGCTTCAGCGAGTCTCCCGAGCTTGGGGGAAGATAGATAACATCCTTAAAATTAGTAACTGCCAAATACAATGGAACACAAATAATTAAGATTCTTTTCTTTCCAAAATATTAACAATTCAGTTCCATATTACTACACATTATCTAAAAGGGGTTTTCTATATTTTCCTTGTCTTAGAAATAAATTCTAATTGCTGCAACTGAAATAGGAGGCAACGTGCAAGGCCAAAGACAGTAAGTAACTCACCTGCCAGCTAACCCTTGATGAGAGATTCTCAATGATCAACCTGTACTCTGTATGTGTAGGTGGTCCATAGCGACTGCAAAGCAAAACAGGAGATATTATATCAATCCACTGCAACCAATCAATTTCTTTCATAAACTATAATCTCTTAAATAACATTAGAAAAAGAATCCTTTGTTGCTCTCACTAACAAGACATATTAAAGAAAACAATACCTGTCTCTGCCACCACCCCTACGACGTGGGGCGTACCCACGATCCCGATCTCTGAAGGAATCCCCTCTTGGTCCCCGAGCATGTTCTACAATACACCTGAAAACAAACACTCAAAATGATAATCACCCCAGTTGATTAAATAAAGTAACATGGGACTGGGAGTACATGTAATTTAACCTGTTCAGCCATTCTCAAACCACATCACAGCAATTAGTAAATACAAATCTGGACTAGACAAACCATCAATAAAAAAACTCGAGCAACAATCCATGAGGTCAGATGTTATCTAGAAGAGTCTGACCTATTCTCCCCCGCAATCCCCATGAAGACTATAAACACGGCGATAGGTACAAGTAGTAGTTTAAAGGGGGGGGGGGGGAAGAGTTTAAATACATAAAAATCATGCCTAAGGTATCAGGGGCAACTTAATTCCTATAAGTGTGCAACCATACTTGTTAGTTGATATATATTACTCTGACATTATGCATGTTATGAGTCACATACCTGCACTTCACTATGTAATTATCTTGTTACCTCCGAATTTAGGTCATGTATTTACTAACTGTAGCACATCTTAATGTTGATGCCAGTTTATGAAAGCAATTTTATTTTCAAAATATTATAATCAATTCAAGGGGCAAAAGGGGTTATAGATGGGAAATAATGTACATATATTATTTTCGCGATTTGGTAGTTTTCCTTATTATGCATCGAGTGCAGTATATTAAGTATATATTTATAGATGCTGCACATATCAAACACTATCTACCGTGGGACATCTTTTGGAATAAATTAATTAGGGTTGTAGGCTCTGGTTTGTAATGACAATGACAGCTATTCAGGGGATCTGAAGGGGTTGTACCACCTTCTCATGTGCAAACAAATGCATTTCAGTACCGATAACTATTTACTGTTATGAAACTTCCATGGAAGCCACTCTTACAACAAGCATAGTTGCTTTCACAGCAAGCATTGGTTGCTGAAGACGTAACCCCAGATCTTCACAGGTAAATATGTGTGTGCACAATTGACAGGATCTTCAAATATACATATCCAATAGTTGCAAAAGTATATCCTTTTTTTCACTGCACAAGCACTTCACGATACTTAACTCTTAGTTCATCCATTCACATATAGATTTCCTGTTTGAGAAAGATATGAGGTCTATTTACACTCACATGACTCGATGCAAAACTTTTCTAGCCCTTTTTCAAAGGGGCAACATTGATTAGACACCACCTCACCATCCCCTGTTCCTAAAAATGCATGATATTAATGGTACAAATTAGTTAACAGACTTTTTCTTTACTTTCCCATTAGCTGTTGACAAAATATCAGTCTCACCTTTCGCCACACAATTCTTTGCCATTTAATTCATAAACAGCATCATCGGCATCTCTGTAGTCTTCAAATTCCTGAAAGACAAAACATTCTCTGAAATAGCTCATAGAGTCGCACCAACCGGCAGTTAACGTAAAAACGAATTCCAATAAAGTTTACTAGGGCTATTTGGGTTTCATTGATAATGTGCACACATGAGACTTACCACGAAGCCATAGCCATTTTTCAACATAACATCTCTGATTCTGCCATTGTTTCTGAAGAAACGCTCAACGTCCTTCTCTCGTGCGTAGTTAGATAGTCTGCCAATATATAATCTGGTGCCCATTTTGATCTGGAAAATAAACAGTAAGGATGTAGTGGTGAGTCCGGACACATTAACTTGATTAAGTGCAGACGAACATAACGCTGCCTATGCATCCACAATGACAAAAAAAAAAAAATGTCTTCCGCAATCAACGTGTCAAATTTAGATTATCATTTTCATTCCTAAAATATGACCTTATTATCACGACACTTTCAAGGCGAACATGTGGCCATGAAGTGGTCCATACTGTATGAATGAAATTTCCAAATAATCGGGCACAAACCTTTCTCACATCAAACCAAAATGGAGGAAGGACAAACTACTATATCGAAACTCCCAATATACTTTGAGAAAATGTCGAAATTCTCACAGTTAGCGGGATATTTTCGTCTGTCCACGAGTCCTCTTTGCAGAATATGCACAATAATTTACTTTAGTTAACTAGAAAACGAGAAATTGGTCTCTCACTCTTCGACAAACTGTAAAGAAATCCACAAAATCAACACGCACTGATCGGTTTTCTACCCAGAGTTCTTTGCGGTCCAACCTGCGTGGAGTTTGTGCGTAGAAGAATGAGGCCACGTTCCAGCCGCTTAGCACCATTCAGAAAGAGACGTGCGCACAAGCGACGGACAAACTTTCGATCGTCTGCTAGCCCCAATTTTTATAAAAAGCAAACCACTGACAAAGACCATAATATTTGAGGGCTGTCTAGTTGTTGTTTTTTTATCATCTAGATTTGTCCCGGTTTGAGAAAATATACATTCCAGTGTTGTTGTTCAGGATATACACGTGCTGAAATATTTTGACAATGGCACTGTCGAAATAGGTCGACTCTATATACATATTGTGGTATGAACAATACGATCTTATAAATAAGATAAAATCTGCCAAATCTAGATAACCTACTTATGAACAATTTCAGAAGATAAAAAAACCTAAAAACATTTATCTTGATGGAAATATATAACCTATACAAGCTGTTTGTGTGTTGTTGTTTTTGTTAACGCCGCACTCAGCAATATTCCAGCCAGATTCAAATCTGTGAATAATCAAGTCTGGACCAAAGAATCTAGTTATTGATATGATGAGCATCGATCCAAGCACTTTGGATACGATGATATGCATCAACCAGGTCAGCGAGCCTGACCACCCGATCCAGTTAGTCGATCGCCTTATACGACGCATGGGTTGCTGAAGACGTATTCTAACCCCAATCTCACCGGGATACATGCTGAGATTTGCTCCTTGCTGTATGGTTAAGGAGGCTGCCAACCCCCAACCAACCTCCTGTACGCGGGATTTGGGGTATTTTTTCACTAGTTTAACTGCAAATCGTACCCTTTTATGAGCTAGGAACCTGTTCTATGGTTTTCGTCTGTGATCGATATTCTGCCTCTGTAGACTGAACTTCTGACATGTGCTTTTGAAGTATTCAGGATTCAGGGGCGAACAAATGAAATTCAGAGTGAACAATTTTAGACGGTATTCAGCGTTTAGGGGGAGGAGGGGGTTTGCTCCCTAGTTAAGGGTATTGGGACTTTGGTAAAGTGTGTGTATTTTACCGGACACCTTCCATTTTGGTAAGGGATGTCCATGACTCCTTCCATATGGTAGGTGAGGTGAAATGGGGCTTTATGTCACGTTTAAGATTATTTCACTTTTATAGTTACGTGCATGCATGCGAGCGTGTGCGTGCGTGTGATTGCGTTTGGCAGCTTGTTATATTCTGGGCTGATGCCGGCTTTTAATATCAAGCCAACTAATATACCATGCAGTGGTAACATTGGTACCCCACTCAAACAGATTATACTCATCCCAGGTCAGTCCTTGTTTTATGCTCTGATGACAAGTAACAGGCAACGAAACAACCGGTTTCATCTATTAACACCTTTTGGTATATGATGCGGACAGGGATCGGACCATCGACCTTCGCTCAGATCAAACACTCTATCCGCTACACCTTGGAGACGGCCTCCTTACTTAGTATTTTTTTTATGAAACGTACCGTTTATTTAAATGTGACCCCAATGGATATCACTGATGAGGTTCTCGCTTGTCATGGAATTTGAGTTGTTTTATGTGGAACTCCAATTTACTGTTTATGAATTGCTATGATATTCATTTTCGAGGTTCAATCATTTGTATGAACCGTACCAATGTAAAGGGAGCCCTTTTTCTGCTTATTTTGAGCTTTATCGCCGTTTCAAATTGTAACAGTGTTGCATGCATCTATTATATTAGCAGCATCTGACAGACAAGCATGGTGGACCCAGGTGTCCGGTAAACTGCATGCATGTGTAGTTCAGGGCACCATGGCGTTGCAAGGTTATTGAAAGTTTTTACACCACAGTATTCAATAAACGTTAAAGCAAACCACCATATTTTGTTACATAGACGCATTAAAAGCAATTGAGTTGGCACACACGATTAGATTATTTTATGGCTGTCAATATTTTAGCAAATGAAGCTAATATTTGTCAAGAAAGGTCTTTGGTGGCTATGCTTTTACAGAACTGAAAAGGTTTTGTCATATATGGTTAGAAGTCGACAAATATAGGAAAATCCTACACTGAAACGATATTTACAAACTTACCTCTCGCAAAGGAAAGAATGTCTGCGCGCCCTACTAAATATTTGGAGATATATGTATTGTGTTGCACTCGAGTGTATGGTTGGTCCAAGTTCCACATGTGTCTGCAAGGTTGCCAGCCCTCCCTTGGAAAATCTAGCTGCCTTGATCCAATAAATGTCGCAACAATGCAGCTCATTACATCTTTACAAAAATAGTGCCTAGGCACTGTAGCTCACCTGGATATGTAGTCAAAAAATAAAAATACTTAAAAGGACAGCCACTTAATAACAAAATTGCTGTCAGCATTGCTATTGAAATATGTCCTGCTTAAATACTGAGGCCAAACGTTTTAACCTGAAAAATCCCAATGATTTTGAACAAAATATGTTGTCATAAGGAGAAGCATACATGCCAAAGTTCTGTTTCCTCAGTCTGCCTATTTCAGAGATGTTTACAGAGCCTAAAACCATTCCTTTTGAGAGACTTGAAGAGTACTACAGTATTTTTGTGCTGAGCAGCAGCCATAAAAAGGTTTTGCAGTATTGTCGCCATGGTGGACATTTTGAAAATTAATGTAGTAATTGGTTAGAGCAAGAATCTGAAATTCTATGCAAAGTTCAAATCAAGGTAAAAATCACAAAAACAGTTGAGCCTCACTCACTATTAACTACATATGTACCAAAATTCATCACATTGGCATAATGGCCATAAATAGCTTTTTTTTAAAGCTTCCATGACAGAAATTCAGGTGTCGTCATTGGTGGAAACAAGATTGTGAAGTTTCAGCTTTATTGTCCAGCGGTTTCTGTGATATTTACAGATGTGGAAGGATGCTGGACAAGCATGCCATGACATAAGTCAGGTGAGCTAACAATGGAATAAATCATGCAAGAAACAAATTTCCACATTCATACTTTAATACCTATTCATAAAATACATAAAGGAAAACACATGAAGTAAAAGTGAACGACACCTGAACAAATGATACAGATATTAAAACATTTTGCCATTATTACATGATTGTAGAAAATAATAAAGTGATGATTTGGACAATAGTTTTGGTTTGTTGTTTAACACCGCAATCAGCAATATTCCATCTACATGACGGCGGTCTGGAAATAATCAAGTCTGGATCAGACAATCCTATGGTTGACATCAAGAGCATCGATCCACGCAATTGGGATCGATGACATGCATCAACCAAGTCAGCGAGCCTGAGCACCTGATCCTGTTAGTCGCCTCTTAACACTAATGCAAGCATCAGCGAAGGCTCATGTTATACAGAACCTAATAAGGAATGCATAAAACTACATATACCCCTCATGATACTGCTACAATGAATTTATCTTACTGACATTTTTTAATCTGGCACTGTACATGAATTAATACAAATTGAAAATTGATAGAAAACAGCTGCTCACTTGAGCTGAGGTTAGCTTGTTCCATGCAAAGTGACTTTCACTGACACATTAACAAGTGCAGTTATTTGTTTCGTAGTGTGGTGCAAAAGATTTATTCTCCTGCTCAAAAATCCATGTGTAGTCAGTTTTCCTCGTGGTTGGGTATAAGAGATTTATTTCCCTGACAGGTGGGATACATAGTAACTTATCAAAATCACATGAATCAAGCAGATCTCAACATTCTGACAGAGAGGTAAGATAATGTTCTTTAAACTCCAGTGCTACGAATAAGGGCAGATTGTTCAAGTATGAAATGGCATTATTGATTTCAGAATACAAAGTATCAAAGTTCATAAACAAAACATGAAATGTATTCACTGATAACACATGTAATATATTAGGGTGGTGATCATTTCTCCCAAAACTCAAACTGGGCTGGAGTTTGATGTGCAACATAAGATAACGATTTCCATTTGGAATTCAAGTACAGCACTGGGGAAGGACAACACATTATTTACATGATAACAGTTTACTTTCACAATCATGTACACAACAGATTAAAAATGCTGATCATGAATGCAAATCAAACAACTGATGTCACCTGCCTGGTTAGAAAGGTTAGATGTTGAAATTTATGCACAGCCATCAGCACAATTGTCAAATACAATTCTCTGATTATTTACAATCCATGCACGCTATCGTGATCACAGTTCATACTAGCAGATTTAAGTTCTCAGTGTAGATCAGTCATCCTTGTCATCATCCTTTTGGTCATCCCCATTGCTGGCTGGTGATGCATCCCTCTTGTCAGGGGACTTGGACCTGGAACGGGATCTGGACCTAGACCTGACCTTGCTCGGGCTGGCAGAATCACGATTATCTTTGTCAACCTTCTTGGAACGGGATTCACTCCTACTCCTTGATCTGCTACGACTGGGACTCCTGCTGCGACTCCTGCTTCTGGAGCGACTCCTTGATCGGCTTCTTCGGGATCTGGAACGGCTTCGGCTCCTGCTACGACTTCTGGAGTATGAACTGGAAAGGTGTAGCAAAATGTTTTCTTCATTTTATCTACATGTATATTGTTCTATTTTTTCAAGATTAATTAAATGACTTTTGTCCAGACATCTTTCACAACAATACTATTCAAATGAGAAAATTTATTCCTATACACATGCATTTATGGAGAGTGTTAACCCTTTTGCCCTCAATAAAACCAATGTGATTGTTCAAGAAGAAATCTATGTGATTACATTTAATAGAACCAAAATACTTACCGGCCACGCCTCTTTGGTTTGTCTTCCACAACTCGGATCTTCCTTCCATTGATTTCAGTGCTGTCTAGCTTATCAATAGCATTCTTCATGTCTGAATATGTAGCAAACTCCACAATTCTGAAAAATAGGCAGTGGTATAAAAACAAATGAACAACTTAAAGCATTTACTATAAAATTGCAAAACAAACTTCAATCAATACCCCCAACTCTATAACCAGTTGAAACTTACCCTTCATTCTTGTGCTTCTTGTGTGCGTCTGCATATGTAACTTCACCCGCCTGACGCATGTAGTCCTTAAGGTCCTTGAACACACAAAGAATAATCATAAAACATTGGAACCTATTTTCATCAAGAAACATGTTTAATCTTACCACAACAGGATGATACAGCTTCTCCATACCTGTTTCCAAAGAGAAATATCTATACCTAGATACCAAACCTGAATACAAGAATACCTAAAAGTATCAGAATTTCTTTGTCAATGAAAATCCATTTTCTGAAATTTGTAAAAATCCTCACCAATAGTGGGTATAAAGCTGCTGAATTCCTCAAACCAATGAACATAGGAGCAGTAATGTATACTCACATAACTTAAACATATTATTCACACAGAAGCTGTATTGACATATGACCATATTACACTGCATACTCATTTTATACTTCATCAGCTGACAAAGTCTCTGATCCTGGATCCAGTTCCCCGTCTTCAAACACATATACCACTTAGAATATTCATAGCTAAATAGAAATGAACCTTTCACTGAATTTGAACATCAAAGAATTTGTGTCAAAACATATCACTTTTTTCAGTGCATGACTGCATTAGATAAAGCCTTCTGAATACTAATGTGAATGTTTCCCCCCTATATTGAACAAGATCTTTCTCAGGCACCCAACGCCTTCTGTTTTCTTTTGAGTAGAGTAGTAGATCAATGATAAACTTTCAGGTAAGTTTCTTCAAAACATTTTTGGGAAAAATCATACGTGATTAAATTAGGCCAAATGTAAACTTTAGAAAGGTTCACAGAAACAATAGCAAGTGACGTTACAACTGATCATTTCTGTCATTGCAGTTGATTAAATTAAAATCACAAGTGAAGATACTTATCCCTGTTTCCCCTACACCTACTTTCAGCATAAGAGGAGCATTCAAAACAATTACCTCTGTACTTTCCCTTAATCAAGAGCTCATTTCTCAAAGGCCAAAGCAGGTATGGACCCTATATACGCTCTGCAAGAATGGACCTCGGGTTGACGGCTGGAGTCAGTGCCCAACAAGTAGGGCCAGTATCTGATCTCTTGCTCATAAGACGGATGAGAATAGACCCCAAGGGATGGACCTGTTCTGTATGGTGCCCCAGACGGCAAACAACTGAGCACCCTGACTGGAAGGAGGACCCTGTCTGAGAGGAAGCTAGTGCTTGGAAGATCATCTCCCCAATGAGTGACTGCATTTTCTGTTATTCACTAGGGATTCTTTCAGCCAGACTTCCAAAAGTTTTCTGAAAACTAAATTCTTTTTTCATCCAACCCCAATCAGACTTGGGAAGGACACCACTGGTGGCAGAGGACCAGCGTAGAGGATGATGTTTTATGGCATGCTGCTAGATCAAGACCTGCAGAAAGACCAAGTGCAGTTTGGCTGTGTCGTTCAGTAGGACCCTGTGATAGTCCGACAGCGCTTGCCTGCCTGTATGCCTGCCTGACCTAGGCCGATAGATAGTGGCAACCCTCAGACCTAAGGACCTTGGTTCAAGTTCAAGACCCAGTGACCCCATCAGGCTTCAGCGAGTCTCTCGAGCTTTGGGGGAAGATAGATAACATCCTTAAAATTAGTAACTGCCAAAAACAATGGAATATAATCATTAAACTGTTTTTGGTATCTTTCCAAATTTTATCAATACAATTCCATATTACTACACATATGATCTAAATGGGGTTTTATCATTTCTTTTCTTGATAAATTTTCTCTGAATGCTGCAACTGAAACAGGAGGAAATATATACAACATGCAAGGCCTAAGACAGTAAGTAACTCACCTGCCAGCTAACCCTTGATGAGAGATTCTCAATGATCAACCTGTATTCTGTGCGTGTAGGTGGCCCATAGCGACTGCAAATAACATTTTATATTGCAAATACTATTTCATGTCAAGGATATCTCATTGTCTTGTATTACGTCATAATCTTTAAGATGATGAACCAAAACGAGTAATAATGACATCATTCCAAGTTGTTCTTTAAGCATGTTAAGTAGTCACTCTCAAAGTTATCACTTTCATACCCTTTCAATGTGAAGGACAAAATCAAAAAGTCAGAATTATCTTATTTAATACCTGTCTCTGCCACTACCACCCCTACGACGTGGGGGGTACCCACGATCACGCTCTCGTTCTCTGAAGAAGTCTCCCCTTGCCCCTCTTGCATGCTCAACAATACACCTGTAAATACAACATCCAAAATCATAATCACTTGAGTAAAGGAAATACTGTAATCTCCAAACGAATCATATATCATTTCCATTTGAGCATCATTTTGGAGTAATATATAAATTACCGTATTCGATGTAATAAGCGGCCCGCTCTAATAAGCGCCCACGGCAATATTTTCTAATATATTGGCAAGTGAACAATCCCCATTAGCACCCCTTCCGATTGATCAATGTACACAAGACTTATCTATTCGTGTATAATACTCACTCGTGTGTTATATGCACCCTTAATTATGGGCAATTAAATTCTGGAAAATATATCTGTCGTATATAAACAGTTCAGGCTGTCAGTATAATCCACGAAATTTATCTTTCAACTCTGTTTTTTTTGCACCAAATAATATTCTAATAAGAGACCCCTATTTCTAATTTTGAGAGCGCCCTGGGCGCTTATTACGTCGAATATGGTATACTAAATGAAATACATAAACCTCAGTGCATCCCTTAGATAGCTTTTAATATTATGTACATTGTCAAGGAGTTCTTGTCATGAGCATAATGTTAAAAGTAAACATTTTTTGGATTCTACAATTCTTTAAGAATATTTCAAAGAGAGGTACATATTTATCCTGTCTATGTGTAGATGCAAAAAAAAAAGAATACAGGTTGTTTTTCCAAGCATAGTTTATTGCTTAATGTCCAATGGTATATACATGCTATATATGGAAACATGAAAATAATTATAGCCACTCCCCAATGACAAACCCAGTGTTTTGGAGAAAAGACATTTTCTGATTTCAATTCCACATCATGTATGAAGGCAGCCCGTAAATAATCAGGTCTGGACCAGACAATCCAGTGATTAATATCATGAGCATCGATCCACGCAATTGGGATCGATGACATGCATCAACCAAGTCAGTGAGCCTGACCACTCGATCCTGTTAGTCGCCTTTTATGGCAAGCATGGGTTGCTGAAGACCTATTCTAGCCCGGTTCTTCACAGTTTACTTTCAACAGTTTACTTTCAAGGTTGTTCAACTCTGAACTAGTGCCTTACCTTTCACCACACAATTCTTTGCCATTTAATTCATACACTGCATCATCAGCATCTCTGTAGTCTTCAAATTCCTGAAATGAAATGACACGATTGTGTGAGTCAGTGAATGTCAATACCGGTATGCAATAATGACACCCGAGAATGTCGCAGTGGCCTGCACCAGACAAACCAGTGACTGTAAGCATGATCAACAATTCACGGAGAGTTGAGGTAAAATAGGGTTAACGTCACGTTCACTTCATTTATACAGTAATGTGCGTGAATGTGGCTGCTTGCACTATCTCAGCTTTATGGTGCTGAGATACCATGCCACAAATAAACATGGATACCCCACTCAGACAGTATACAGCCTTACAAATTGGCCCGAGTCCTATAGTCCTTGCCAAACTGCCCAACAGTTAAGGTATCATAAGGACTAGTAGACATTTGCCATTTTAAGGGCTTTGCTATATGTTATCATTATAAAGGCTAGTGGACTAAAAATGTTCTTTCTACAACTGGTATACAGACTCCCACCCAACCAGTCATTGTTTTATACCCTAAATGCTGAACACCAGGCAGTGTAGCAAGCACCATCTTGATGGTATATGCTAAAGGCAGGCTACCAAACAGAAGTTGCCTGGGTTTATATTTGTTTGTTTGTTTGCATGTTGTTTAATGCCACACTCAGCAATATTCCAGCTATATGACGGCCATCTGTAAATAATCGAGTCTGAACAAGACAATCCAGCGATTGACATCATGAGCATCGATCCACGCAATTGGGATACCATGACATGAATCAACCAAGTCAGCGAGCCTGACCACCCAATCCCATTAGTCGCCTCTTACGACAAGCATAGTCGCCTTTTACGGCAAGCATGGGCTAGAATTGCCAAGCAAATGTGGCAACTACTGCTGGTGGCCAAAATGACAACCACTGCTTCTGGGCCACAATGTGATAATTGTGGTTGCCAAACATAAGCTATACATATGACAAAAGTGTCTTTTGAAATATATTGACAACTTTACTTACTACAAAGCCATAACCATTTTTCAACATAACATCTCTGAGTCTGCCAAAGTTCCTAAAGAAACGTTCAACGTCCTTCTCTCTGGCATGGTAAGACAATCGTCCAACGTACACCCTGGTACCCATTTTGTCCTGAAGAAAAAATCAACACTTTAATTGACAAGGTGATAATAATGATCCTTAACACCACCACTCAGAGCACCTTTAAGAATACAGCACCACAACTTTTCACTTCTCTTTCGTAGGTCACGTCACTAAAACACGCAACCAGTTTGAGAGAATCTGTCAGACACGAACTCCCAACCTTCGGAATGTGAGCCTGACAGCTTAACCAACAGAGCTGCGTCCACAGTGTTAAACTTAGTGCGAATGTACCCAGTCCTGACTATGACGTTACGGAACTGAACAGAAAGGGTGACGGACACTTATGAAGGTTTACGGGTAGGCTTTAGTCTACTAACACTTACGTGGGATCCCGATGACATCTGGCACACCTATCCCATTCTGTAGTGTAATCTAAAAGCTACGGAGTGGTGAGGAATGAACCGATATGGTGCTGACTGATAACAGTTCCAGGCGTCAAATATACAGGTACAAATGATCTCGAATGACATGGTATTTAATATATTTTGAGGGAACACTGTCAGGATAATGTAGAGCATAGTAAGGATCAAAGAAGGCATAAGCATCTCAGCATTGCTAGTGAGTGAGTTGGGTTTAACGCCGCTTTTAACAGTATTCCAGTTATGTCGCGGCGTGTCAGCTTAATGTTGGAGGAAAGCCCCAAGTGATGCAGGTCTCAGACGTTTACCACTTTGGTGAAACCCACGAGCACGGGTATGGTGCTGACAAACCTAGAAACATAATCGGGGCGAACCAGGATTCGAACCCACAATCATAGGTTTCTGGCATGCCTTAGGTGACTAAATCATGGGAACAATCATTTGCGGAATTGGAGGTTTCACAATCAGCGACTGAAAGTATTTCATACTCGTTTGTTATGATTTTATTCGCCATTTACATCACCATTAGCAAAAGGACTCGCTCTACATCTGACGACGTTTCGACATCGAAGCAGTTTAGACTTCCGGTATCTAGTTTCAATGGTGGAATGTACCACGTAAATGTTTCCAAATGCACAGGTACACTTTCAATTAACAGCACAGATATGTGTAACATCTGCTTACCTCCGGCGACAGGCCTATTCACCTATAAACCAAATCTTTCGTTTCTGGAAGTACTTCCAAACCAATCAAATGCCGACAAATTTCTGACCGACGCCTCGCCTGGACTGGTTCCCGTTCTGCGAAGGCAGAGAAACAATAGCGACACCAAGCGGAGGATCAGGGAAGCCTCGTAAGCTGGTTCCCGGGTCTCTATGCGCGTCGTTGCTATATTGTGATATTAGAGACGGGGCCCAGTTTAGCCTCACCGTACCCGGATGGTAAGCTGGGCCCCGTCTCCAATATCACAATATAGCAAGTTGACGACGAGCATAGGGACCCGGGAACCAGCTTAACCCGGATGGTACCTCGGAGTTTGTTCTTGACTGGGCTCCTGTACACGCAATGCAATAGTAGAACCAATTTAAGCTTGTTAACCAATGTCATCGTCTGTGGATATAATAATGACTTGGATATCCTCTATTCGATTGCAAATATTGTGTTCTAATACCTGTTCAAAATATCTTTCGTGTCTTTGTCAGTTTCGTACATATCCGTTCTGCGATCCGTAAACTTCATTAGCCCGTTGCTGCTACATGGCTCAGGCAAAATAACAACCCAAGCACATTTGATTGAAGTCCTACACACTTCGAAACTTTACTGACTCTAATATCAATTTAGAAATTTGAATATTACCCTCCTTACACTTGCCAGTTGCCAGTAATTTAAAATAAATCCAGACCCAGATTAGAATAGAGCGCCTCCCTTTTTTATTACAGAGAAAAAACAATGATGACTTCAGGATATAAATCAGGATATGTATCAAGTTCGCAGTATGTGTACACTATGCCATCATGTTGATAGACTGCCATTCATATGAACTCTTGCACAAAAGATTTCTGTTAATTTTATATAGAGAGTGAGTGAGTTGGGTTTAACGCCGCTTTTAACAGTATTCCAGTTATATCGCGGCGTTTCAGCTTAATGTGGGAGGAAAGCCCCAAGTGATGCAGGTCTCAGACGTTTACCACTTTGGTGAAACCCACGAGCACGGGTATGGTGCTGACAAACCTAGAAACATAATCGGGGCGAACCGGGATTCGAAGATGGTTTGACACAGTTGGGACAACGCAAAGACGTATATAGAATATGTATATACGTCCGTGGACAACGCAACGTTGGAAGTAACGTTGTAAAGAAAAAGTCTTCATCCAGTTGCAATGAAGCGTTGGGGCAACGTTGGTTGGAAGTTTTGATACAGTGTTAACAAGTAACCGCAAGGTTAATTTACAGTTGTGAAGCAGTTGCGCTTTATCAATTTCGTTTGTTTCTATGTATAAAATGTCCAAGACGCTAAATGTTTGTTTATTTTGTACCTTGTTTTCATGCGTCAATATATCACAGCCTCAGCATTTTACTGCAACTATACTTTAACTAATAATTAGTATTTTGTCTTCGACTTACTTACTTACTTACTTATATTGGAGATTGGTAGTTTACTGGGGTTTTAAATGCGATTTATTAGTCCTGTTTTGATTAAGTATACGCCTAAGGCTTTGAATTTTTCTATTTTATTTTGTGTATTTAGGATTGCTTCTAGAGTAAGAGCCTTATTTAGATTTAGGGTGGTTTGTAGTGTAGTTCGGTGTGTTAGGTAGTGGGTGCAGTGTATGAGTGCGTGTTCTGGGGTTTCTTGTTGTTTGCAATGTGGGCAGGTTCCTGTTGCGTGTTTTCTTATTATTTTGAGGTGGTTATTTAGGTTGGTATGTCTTGTTTGGAGTTTAGTGATTACTCTGTCGATTCTTTTGGACGGATGTAGAATTTTTGGTTTGGTTAGGGTTTTTTTTAGAACCTTTTTGATTTGGCTATTTGAGTTTTTATATAGGTTATGCCATTTTTTGGTGATTTTTTGTTTGTTGACACTTTTAATTTCTGATTTGGAGATGGGTAGGTCTTCGAGAGTAAGTGTTGTTATTATAGTGACTGTGCACAACGACGTGCGCTTTTAGCAAACATCACGTGGTTGTGACGTCATTGTAAAAACATAGTCTGTGACCACACTCCGGCACAGTGATGACTTAGCATATAGAGTATATAAACGTTATTAAAACACGCACACACTCGCATATGTTTTAGAAATTAACAGATAAAATCCCCAATATATATGATATAGTTATTTAATCAACATTAAGTCATTGTTAACCGCCACCTGGTACATGCTTGGACCAATCGCCGGAATGCCAAATAGAATGTCGCCGCCCCCATCCATTATCCTGTAAATAACTGATAAATTAATAACGTAATCATGGTTTCCAGTCGCTTCTGCAAAAAGCAGTTTCGCAAAACCAATTTATAGCCAGGGCAAACCCTGAAGCAATCCATGCTTGTCGTATTAGAGGTGGTCAGGGCTCGCTGGCTTGGTTAATGCATGTCATCGTATGCAAATTGCGTAGGTCGATGTGCATGGCGTCAATCACTGGATTGTTTGGTTCAAACTCGCCCCGTCATACAGCTGAAATTATTACTCAGTGCGGTGTTGTACAACAAACAAACAAAGCCAGCGCAAAAACAGACATTGAAACTGCCATGAGACAGTGGTAGGGATACGTACGAAAGCGTGAGAGAATTTTAAAAATCGCAAAAGTCAAACCAGCTGACTGAACACGGTTTTCAATGCCATAAAAACACAAACCGAATGGCTTCCAGTATGTTTTCGTTTTATCTTTCATCATTACATATATTATTAATTCAAACACAGTCCTCGTCAGTAAGTGGCTGTTATAAAGGCTGATATTTATGGGGAGAGTTATTTGTATCAGGTACTGTAAACGACTACAGTTATGTTATTCTTGACTTGATAATCCGTATCATGGTAGCAGCACACCCTCCAATTATAGACAACCCTAATAACTTTATAAGAGCTTGGCATAGCGTTGACGAAGGGCGTTACATTAACGTTGGACTGACGTTGGCGAATTTCCTTCCATACGTTGGGACAACGTTGCACTTTAGAGCAAATAAAACTTTCGTTGGCCAAACATTGTAAACAAAACTGACAAACCCCTTTCGGCAGTCATAAGAATTCTCTGCTCAAAGCAGAGCATATTGTACGATTCTAACTATATCATGAGCATGTGTTTATGAATGAAATAGCGATGGTACCTGCAGTTGGCGAAAAAGTCAACATATATTGCGGCACATATAAAGTAAATTGTCCACCTGAGAAAACACATGAGCAAGTCAAAATTGGGAATTGCATCAGACATAATTTTTGTAACGATGCATCAAATTGTTCTCAACATGTCTACCATAAAAAGTTTTGAAAGCTTTACTAAGGTCTTGAATGTTATAACCATGATCAAACAACTTTTGAGGATGTGAAATGTAGACACCAAAGGAGGGAGCTGCTGAAATATTGCTTGACATGAAAGACTATTGGAAAGTCATCCCTCTTGTCATACTGTCTTGTGGGATGTCACTCTGTCATTCTGAATCTTTATGCAGATGGACCAGACAATCCAGTGATTGACATCATGATCAACAATCACGCAATTGAGATACAATGACATGCATCAACCAAGTCCGCAAATCTGACTACCCAATCCTATTAGTCGCCTCCCACGAAAAGCATAGTCGCCTTTTATGTCAAGCATGGTTTGCTGAAGACCTTTTCTTCCCCGGATCTTCATGGTTAATATGCACATGTACAGAGAGCATTATCAACCATTAACACATGACAAAAGAAAAGCAGTTTTGACAAAGCACAGTTTATTTGAAACAGTTTCTAGCTACACTGTCATACAACAAAGAGGACCTGGTAACAGCCTGACCCACTTCATGATGGCCAACACTGCTGCTTTATGTACAAGTGATCCACAAGTCTGGCTCAGCGTGTCTGCAGGACACCACAGACATGGCCCATGCAGTACTACATGTGATCTCAGAGACCACACCAACACTTAAACTAGTGCGGATACGACACTAGCACTTAAACTAGTGCAGAGACCTAAGGATGTATTCAGTCTAACCCAGTCAACATGAACTGCAGACCATGGGCTTCATCTATAGCTAGCTCACAGTTCTTAGTTATCAGTTGGCTAGCTCAATGAATTAAAGATGGATATATGGCTTTTGAGATCCACAGTAGCACTTCAAACTATCTCAAACACCCAGTGTTGGGAATAAGGGTAACTAAGGTAGGCTCAAGGATGACTCAAAGACCCACTTTACACTTCTATAACACTCATGGATGGGAACAACCTAGCTCAGAGAGCTACAGTGTTAGACCAGGCTAGTTAACAGAGCAACAGGCTGCTGGAGAACAGCTGAAGGGACACACATAGTTACTGAATAAGTTATCCTGACACCACAGAGACCTGGTACTAAAGTAGACCTACATACTGTCCAATATAACCTTTCATATGTGATGGTAGCGTTATGAATGTCCTAACTTGTATACTTGAACATAAACTTATGTCAGTCATAAGGTAACGATACTTCCCTGAAGAGGGATTCCAGGGTGCCGTTTCTCAAAAGTCTCAAAAGATAAGTGAGTGAGTGAGTTGGGTTTTACACCACTTTTAGCCATATTCTAGCAATATCATGGCTGGGGAACACCAAAAATGGGCTTTTCATATTGTACCCATGTATGGGAAGCCATAACTTCAGCAGACGAGGAAAAACCACAAGGCTACCCTACCGCGCCCTCACAGAGAAGACTGACATAAGTCTACCTTAAAACAGCAGCTGTGATACTTGTGTTGCTATGATCACTTTCTGAAATGAACCACTGGTTTTAAAGTGAGGATAGAATGTTCTCAACTTAATGTTAACTTAATATCTAATGAAGCATTTTTATTGATGTGAACGTGAATCAGTCCACCATCAGCTTCCACCATCTGTGTCCATCATCACTAAACACAACTCACAGTTTAAGCAGTTGCTGACTAATGTCGGAAATAGTACATCAAGAGACATGGGATGGGGGTAAGTCTCAAATACTTAAGGTAGAAATGCCTTTGCAGACTAATGCCACAAATCTGAAAAACAAAACAAGGCCTCGAAATGAAAGAATATTGTTTTGCCTTTCTTCATATTGCACATGATGAATATTGAATTTTATAGTGCGAACATTCCACCTTAGAGGGTAACCCACATCTGACTCTCTTCATGAGTGTGGACCAAACCAGAACATCTTCAGAAACATAAATAATCCTTGGTGATTGATAATTCAACCTTGACAACCTCCACATACCATTCACAACTTCTCAATCTCCGTTATTTGATCAAATATGACAAGGATATACAATAAAATCTCCAACCAAGGGTAAAACTCAATTTGCTCAATGTTCACATGTGAAGAGAGGCCTTGACAGCGATGGCGAGGTTTGATCATATTGGCAAATCTTTCTAATGGCACGAACTTGTAAACACAATGGATGGAGCATGTAAATCATGTGGATTATGCAATATGGTGAAACACAGGATAATGATTATTTCATGGACACATGGGACAAAAGCATCAACACAAGACAGGACATATGATTCTTTGAAACGAAAGATGGAAGTGAATGTCTTTGTGTACAAATCTGGTTACGATCTAGCAGTGTCAACATCGGTCTTAAGGAAGCACTTAAGGATCAATCATTTTATCTTCGTGAAAGAAAGTTTGCCTGTCAATGATTGAGAAAACCGGTTTTGCCGACTTTGAGAACAAATGAAATACAAAACGATTTTCCAAGAGACAAACACATTTCTTGGGTTTGTCAGTCCCATTATGTTAGTCCCGTTTCGACAGGTTGATGACAAGAGTGTGTTAACTGATTGCAATTAAAGAATATTTAATATATTTGTTATCAGGTGTGCTAGCAATCCAGAATTTGTTACTTTCTAAAAAACTCTTGTGACTTTTTTTAATACCGCTTACATTCCTGATACATCATGACTGGGGGCACCATAAAAGTCTTTCACACTTTGTACCCATGTGGGTCATCAAACCCGGGACGCTAGTGTGACACGCGACCACCTTTACCACCCCTTTGAGTGAGTGAGTGAGTATGGTTTTACGCCGCTTTTAGCAATATTCCAGCAATATCACGGCGGGGGACACCAGAAATGGGCTTCACACATTGTACCCATGTCGGGATTCGAACCCGGGTCTTCGGCGTGACGAGCGAACGCTTTAACCACTAGGCTACCCGACCGCCCACCCCCCCTTTGAAAGATAACATGATTGATCTGTTGAAGCCTAATACAATTCTGACAACACAACATGGTATGTTATAGTGGAGTAGCTGAGGCCAGGATAAACAGTGTTGTAATAAGGCAAGTTTTTGTGTAGCTGTGAACTTAGTTTGTTCAAATTGTGATGAACATGGCGACAAACGACAGCTTCTGATTCTGTTACACATGATTATGCTTGCGAGGTCACGATTAATTTCCATGGAATCACAGACATCATGTTTTCAACAAACTAATATCGATATGTGGACAGAAAGTTGGAAAATATACTGGTGTACTTCATCAAGTTTTGAAAGACACAAAGCACAAGGTACAACATCTAACGGTTTACAGGTTCATTCACACAGGGCAACTAGGACTGCAAGATGACTAGCATTCCAACACAATTCACAGGAGCTTTGGTGTTAACGGTGCAAGTTCCCATACATCTCAGTTACTGCATTGTTGCCAAGCAACATACTGATACATTCTCATGGCATCTACCACAGAAACGGATGAATCTGCTGAGATTCTTGAAAGTATTAATGCATACCTCAGTGGCAGAAACTAACATTTTTTGTCCACTAGTCCTTATAATGATAACATATAGCAAAACCCTTAAAAATGGTAAATTTCTACTAGTCCTTATGATACCTTAACTATTGGGCAGTTTGGCAAGGACTACAGTGAGTGTGAGTGAGTGAGTGAGTTTGGTTTTACGCTGCTTTTAGCAATATTCCAGCAATATCACGGCGGGGGACACCAGGAATGGGCTTCACACATTGTACCCATGTCGGGAATCGAACCCGGGTCTTCGGCGTGACGAGCGAACGCTTTAACCACTTGGCTACCCGACGGCCCCGCAAGGACTACAGGACTAGTGCCAATTTCTAACAGTGTTAACCTGTAGTCATGTGTGAATGTAAGACCGTGTCATTGTTGGGGTGTCATGAATCGATGGATAAAATATTTTTTTATTGGACTTACAATACACCTGCTCAAACTAAAAAAATTATCTTTCAATTTCTTTAACATAATCAAACAGTTTTGTGTGTTTTGATGTTTACACATGGAAGTGTGTTGAAAGCAACAACATGTATTCACTATTTGCACCGTGTGAATGGCCTCGAATGGGGTACTGTACAGTGGTAACAGTAACAAGCATAACTAACACCTTTTCCAATCACAACATCCTTCAAAGGAAAATCCTTCATCGAACAGATATAACTTGGCAGCTATGTAAAAAGCCATGAATTATCCACCAGAAAATCTCAACATCCAAAATTCTGAGACAGTGCTATGATATTATAACACTGTGTTCTTTTTTGTAGAAACTATTGATCATTTAAAGTTTTGACACATTTTACCACATCAATACATTGTTACAAATGTCAATGATATTTAAAATTACAAATAATGTCCCTTCAAAACAGAACAATAAAAAATTGCAAGTTTGTCAATGTTACTTTTTGAAGTTATCAAATGGTAGCAGTCAAAACAGCATTTTCACCAGGTTAATCAGTAATTACTTAATTAAGGATATGATTTTTAGGTGCACATTCACTGGTGGCCATGTATACATTTGTCCACTTTGTGAAAGCAAGTGGACAACACTTGACGGAGTGATCTCCCCTGAGCACTAATCACATAAACAATAAGACAAACATCAGCAAGGAGGCTGCAGCTGTCAGTAAAACAGAACCACTACATTGAGAACATCATGGAGATGCTGCAGGGACGACATTCAAGGTCAACTTATAAACTACAGCACAGCCAATCAGGGACGCATCACAATTACAGGGACGAACCATCAGCCGACAATGGCTACCGGCAACAGATTAACACATGAGGAATATTTTTGTTTTAATGCAATCATTTTCTTAGCAGTGTCCAATACTAATTTTCTTTAACATTTTAAATTCTGACTTTACATTTTTTTATACTACCAACCTGTTCAATGACTCATTTATGTAATAGGTACACTGTGCACAAGAGGCCTTGTATTAGGGTGTGGGACTTTTCCTGCTGCTCTTACCAAACAGAAGCCACCCCACATATCACCAATATTTGTCCTGACACTTGGTTCGGAACTCAGAATGTCAGATGTCCCAAACATACCCAATAACTATTACCATTATTTGTTGAAAAGAAAAGCCCCCCCCCCCCATTTTCAATAAGAAATCATCCCCACTCTAATAAGATGGGTGAGTAGATACAGTAATCATTTTCTGGGCCCCGTTCCACAAAGCAATTGTAGTGCTACGACTGTCGTAAGTCTATGTTAAATTATGGGAGTTACGATCATCTTAGCGCTACTATCGCTATGTGGAACACAGGCCCTGGTGATTCAATTTATTGCCAATAGCTGAAAAATTCCAAAGCTAAGTTATCATGACTGCTGTTCCCTCAACCTTCCATAAACTTGATCCGTACATCCATCCTCGTACCCTATTTGAATATCGTCACCTCAGCCATCCCATGATGCATCCCCACAAAAAACTCCCCCATCACAAACACTAACTGCAATGGCTGCATAAGGAATGATCACACATCGACACAAACACAGGGTAAATGAAGCACCAAACATCATGACTCCGTGACGTACATGCATGCACACAGTGGAGATATATGGAGTCTCTTAGTACAGCAAAGAGCACAAGACATGTACCTGATGTGGGTATTATGTACGATATATACAATGAAATGATATCCAGTCAAGCTGGTTTCAGAGACAGATGGTACATTGCCATGGATATTAGATGTTCCCACGGCGGCGAAATGTGATTTTGGTTTGAATATCATCAAATGATCAATATAAGAATTTGATTTCAACAGTTCCTTCTTCGTCCTAGCTCCTTGGTGCTTTAGATGTTACTTTTGGGGTTGAATTTTGCAGCAACATTTCTATTTTGTGTTAAACATATTAACCCATATACAACAGTTTACACTATACACAAACCTAGTGTTCTGATACATAGTCAACAATAACATTGTACATATCACCGTTCCATCACAATGTTGTATTTTGACAACTGTCTGATTTGATTGGATCACTTACTAATTTTCTAATTAATAATTTCATTTCATACCTGTTTGATTTACATACTCAGACAAATCTTCAAGGAGAAAGTAACATCAATATCTAACAGTAACACCATCTTTCCTAGGATTCATGTCCGATTTTTAGACTCCTTCTCCATCAGCCAAGTCGTAAAGAAACAGATGGAATGCTTAGATCAGATAAAATATACTCTAACATTAGAATTCAAAGATTCATCACAGAAGAACTAAAGTCACTAATATGCAATTTGATGCTATACTCCATCTTTCAATATTTACAGATCAGAGAAACAACTGTGAATTGAAAATCACAACAAGTATGTGTTATATCTACATTACTGCAAATCAGTGTTGCTTTTGAAGAAAGCATTTTGATATTACACGATGCTGCCAGATAGAGTTAGTTGCTATGACTACACTATCAGATCAAATAAAAACACTGCTATAGGGAACAGATTAGGGTAACTATCTACGTAAACACCTAGGATTTCGCACCAAATCATATTAAACTCTTATACTTTAGTATTTAATGCAAAAAGAAATCTAAACATATATGTTGATAGATAGACACTGCCCATAAAACATGGTTTAATTCTTAGGAAATTGCTAAAACCAGATTCCTATGTCACTGGCATATGAAAACTACAGTGTAACATAAATATACTACTCGAACAAAGTTAAAGAACACCCGATTGTTTCATATGACTATGGTTATCAGTCATTGCTGGTGGGCATTGCATCGCACAAGCTTCGAACAAGCTTACTTGTTTTGAGTAGTATAGAAAGCATCTACCAAGAAAATCTCCATGGTGATATCAATATTGAAAAGATATAAATATGTCACTATTTCACACTGATATGTGCATACAATCGTGCACAGTCATTGTTGTGCCTACATGGGAAATATTGCAGAAATATTCACATCTGGCACAAAAAGCTTTATAAAACAAAGCAGAAATGTACATTTTACAGTATATATTATTTGCACATGTGCCCATAGTGAGCTATGAATAGAGTGAAAATACACACTAACATGCCAGCAAAACGCTTATATATTAAACTGGACACACAAAGGGCGAATTGTAAATTCAGGCAAAATACTCCTGAAACCTTCTACTCTATATGTCCCTCTATAAACCTCTATCATCTTAATTGCCCTTCATGAGAAAACGCTGTGAACTCCAATGAAGAGTTTCATACTGTATCAATGATAAACATCATCAAGCATACCACAGAAACTCGATTACTGATTCACACAACACGCGCCAACTTTCAGAAGCTGTTAAAGCTTTGTGGAAAAAATCACTCAATTGATACTGACATGTAAGTACCATGTACATTTCATGTGTTATAACAACACCAATGTCAGTAACCATAGCTATAACATAGTCAACGGAAATGATTTGCTGAAATGTACAGTGCTGTATATGAAGTTGAAGACAGAGACACCGCTCTGACACTGATCAATACTAGCCATAGCAGAGATAACACCCACTTCAAGAACACCTTGTTTCATTTGAATTTGATAGCCGCTTTGCGTATTCTGGAAACCAAGATTTAAGTCACTGCTAAAATGTTGTTGTTTTTTCACTTCATACTGACTGTTTGCCAGAGAGAAAGTTTTTTAGAAGCTTTAGCAAACAGTTGTCAATATTAAGAAAAACTTCCCCCTGTCAAACAGCTTGAAAACTGGCCTTAAACTAAGTCTGTCAGTATTTATCTCCCTTTAACCATACCAGTTATTTCACAGTCGGCAGATATTCTCCATAATGTTTTTGTAAACATGGTAGAGACAAGCGCTGGGTGAAGTGGGTGTTAACTCTGATAATACTACAAGCTGTATTTAACGTCTGCAGTGATAGCTTGATGTTGCAATGATGGCAGCATCTTGTCGATAATTCAGCGGGATCGTGGCGGAATATTATGACCAACGCCCTCCAGTGGCAGGCTATATCTTATTATGTCGGGCAAAGGACTGCAAAGAAAGAAAACATGAGATTAAATATTGCATCTTACAACATAGTACCAAGCAATATAATCGTCTGTGACTTAGCCACTGGTCTGAAGCCCCAGTCTTGTAAAATTCTATGAGGTCCAGTCAGCTCAGTTAATAATAGTCCATATGATAACACTGAAATCTACTGAAAATGATGCCAAGAGCCCAATGTGGGTTTGTAGACTGATACACCAGCAATACTGTGCTGGAAGAGTTGCACGTAATTATTCCACTGCTGCATTGTGAGCAATCATATCAACCATGGATAAAAATGTTTTTCATTTCCAAATAACGAAGTGACTTTTCCCAAAGTCACAGTTGGTTTCAGGGATCATTTTAATATGTCAGGTCCAGGAATCATTTTAATATGTCAGGTCTAGGGATCATTTTAATATGTCAGGTCCAGGGATCATTTTAATATGTCAGGTCCAGGGATCATTTTAATATGTCAGGTCCAGGAATCATTTTAATATGTCAGGTCTAGGGATAATTTTAATATGGCAGGTCCAGGGATCATTTTAATATGGCAGGTCCAGGGATCATTTTAATATGTCAGGTCCAGGGATCATTTTAATATGTCAGGTCCAGGAATCATTTTAATATGTCAGGTCCAGGGATCATTTTAATAAGGCAGGTCCAGGGATCATTTTAATATGTCAGGTCCAGGAATCATTTTAATATGGCAGGTCCAGGGATCATTTTAATATGGCAGGTCCAGGGATCATTTTAATATGTCAGGTCCAGGGATCATTTTAATATCTCAGGTCTAGGGATCATTTTAATATGTCAGGTCCAGGGATCATTTTAATATCTCAGGTCCAGGAATCATTTTAATATGTCAGGTCCAGGGATCATTTTAATATGTCAGGTCCAGGGATCATTTTAATATGTCAGGTCCAGGGATCATTTTAATATGTCAGGTCCAGGAATCATTTTAATATGTCAGGTCTAGGGATCATTTTAATATGGCAGGTCCAGGGATCATTTTAATATGGCAGGTCCAGGGATCATTTTAATATGGCAGGTCCAGGGATCATTTTAATATGTCAGGTCCAGGAATCATTTTAATATGTCAGGTCCAGGAATCATTTTAATATGGCAGGTCCAGGGATCATTTTAATATGTCAGGTCCAGGAATCATTTTAATATGGCAGGTCCAGGGATCATTTTAATATGGCAGGTCCAGGGATCATTTTAATATGTCAGGTCCAGGGATCATTTTAATATGGCAGGTCTAGGGATCATTTTAATATGTCAGGTCCAGGGATCATTTTAATATGGCAGGTCCGGGGATCATTTTAATATGTCAGGTCTAGGGATCATTTTAATATGTCAGGTCCAGGGCTCTGGGATCCCATCTGTGATTCGAAAAAATGCAAGCTGGACATTTTAAAATTTGCCAACAGGATATTTTCAAAAAAGTACCTGCCTGAGACTGGATATCATAAGAAAGGACATAAAATAAAGAGGTGCTGCCAGACCGGTGTGTTGTTGATGATTAGTGTATATACAAGACTTGCATGGTTGAGCGATCGCTATCGGTCAACATCATATATTATACATGGTAAAAACTACATCATATCCCTTCAGGGAATTCAGGTGGTAATAAACTTGAATTTAGAGGCTTTAATTTACAGTGAGATTCTTCAGAATGATATAGATGATTCTCTGGGTGCAATACCTTTGAGGATGTAGTCAGTCAGCAGGGTTGGAACTGTCTGGCTGTCTTCATTGATGGCCTGTAAAACTGCAACAACAAACAAAATAATGCAAAATTATAATTTTTGAAAGATGTTGGACTTCTGTAGCATCATTGTAGCTTCAAGTGCAGCAACAACTTGTTAACCCTGAACTCATTGGCTTGAGATAGTTCCACATGACACATATGTTGTGTGCAGCCGACCCTTCCCCCAATTGTTTAGGCATAGTTATCATGTTGATGTATAAATAAATTCATAACTAAATCATTTAGAGAAATGCATTAAACAAAAATAACAATAACTGACTAAATGTTGGCTAACAAATGCAAATTGTCGCCTGAATTATTTCAATTCATTGTTTCTCATTCTAACTGCATCCCTTTTGCAAACAAGTTGTCTTCCAAACAACTGCTGTCATATACAGTCAAGTCTCGTTAATCCGACAACTGGCTTTATCCGACACGACTGTTGGGAATCGATTAGATCAGAGCTATTTAGACCCGTTATTCCGATAGTCTCGCACCCCGACACAACTAATTTGCAACTATTAACGAAATCACTCATTACAGTCTTGATAATCTGACACAGTAATCAGCGTACTCCGCAGTCATATGCCTGCCAGTACACAGCGCGTGTTTTGATGCAAGACGAGTCGACAAGTAGCGTGTTTGTATCGTTATTTATCGAGGAGTTATCCGATTTTCCATCATGAAGGTTGATAGAACTTAATTTTGTTTATCCGACATACTCGTTAATCCAACATAATCATATGCAACCAACCATGTCAGATTAAACATGTCGGACTTGACTGTAGCTGGAATATTGCACAATGCGGTGTTAACAAGAAATACAGTCTCCCACCCGCCAGATGCACTGTACTTACTTTTGATATAGATCTGGAGCTGTTCTGAGGTTGGCGGCCCCTGGTGTAGGTGGTATGGGATCACTGTAGTCAGGTACTGCAACACAAGTCACCATATCACAAACACATCCTTCAGGACGTCATCTGATCACAGTGATGCCTAGCCTATATTTCCCATCAAATATTACAATATGTGTGCAAAGTCAGTTGGGCTGAAGGTTTCTCTGAACAGTATTTTTGTTATATCACAGCATGTCAGCTGAAAGTGGGAGGAAAAGGTGGGAAGATGATGGTGATACCCATGAGCATGGGAATGATGCTTACAGACCAAAAATAACAATCAGGGTCACTCTATTCTAATCTAAGATCAGGAAGACAGCAATGTTAATAGTATAACCCATGAGGTTCTTGTTACAAACTGTTCTAAGCCAGTATCCTTCCAGGGTAACAAATTCAAGCCGTATTCTATAACCGACTGATCATCGACGACAGCGGAAATCTGATCCAGTATCCTCCCAGGGTAACAAACTCAAGCCATATTCTATAACTGACCGACCTTAGACTGTTCTAAGCCAGTATCCTCTCAGGGTAACAAACTCAAGCCGTATTCTACAACTGACCGACCTTAGACTGTTCTAAGCCAGTATCCTCTCAGGGTAACAAACTCAAGCCGTATTCTATAACTGACCGACCTTAAACTGTTCTAAGCCAGTATCCTCCCAGGGTAACAAACTCAAGCCTTATTCTACAACTGACCGACCTTAGACTGTTCTAAGCCAGTATCCTCCCAGGGTAACAAACTCAAGCCTTATTCTACAACTGACCGACCTTAGACTGTTCTAAGCCAGTATCCTCCCAGGGTAACAAACTCAAGCCGTATTCTACAACTGACCGACCTTAGACTGTTCTAAGCCAGTATCCTCTCAGGGTAACAAACTCAAGCCGTATTCTATAACCGACTGATCATCGACGACAGCGGAAATCTGATCCAGTATCCTCCCAGGGTAACAAACTCAAGCCGTATTCTATAACTGACCGACCTTAAACTGTTCTAAGCCAGTATCCTCCCAGGGTAACAAACTCAAGCCTTATTCTACAACTGACCGACCTTAGACTGTTCTAAGCCAGTATCCTCCCAGGGTAACAAACTCAAGCCTTATTCTACAACTGACCGACCTTAGACTGTTCTAAGCCAGTATCCTCCCAGGGTAACAAACTCAAGCCGTATTCTACAACTGACCGACCTTAGACTGTTCTAAGCCAGTATCCTCTCAGGGTAACAAACTCAAGCCGTATTCTATAACCGACTGATCATCGACGACAGCGGAAATCTGATCCAGTATCCTCCCAGGGTAACAAACTCAAGCCATATTCTATAACTGACCGACCTTAGACTGTTCTAAGCCAGTATCCTCTCAGGGTAACAAACTCAAGCCGTATTCTATAACCGACTGATCATCGACGACCCCGGAAATCTGATCCAGTATCCTCCCAGGGTAACAAACTCAAGCCATATTCTACAACTGACCGACCTTAGACTGTTCTAAGCCAGTATCCTCTCAGGGTAACAAACTCAAGCCGTATTCTATAACCGACTGATCATCGACGACCCCGGAAATCTGATCCAGTATCCTCCCAGGGTAACAAACTCAAGCCATATTCTACAACTGACCGACCTTAGACTGTTCTAAGCCAGTATCCTCTCAGGGTAACAAACTCAAGCCGTATTCTATAACCGACTGATCATCGACGACCCCGGAAATCTGATCCAGTATCCTCCCAGGGTAACAAACTCAAGCCTTATTCTACAACTGACCGACCTTAGACTGTTCTAAGCCAGTATCCTCCCAGGGTAACAAACTCAAGCCTTATTCTACAACTGACCGACCTTAGACTGTTCTAAGCCAGTATCGTCTCAGGGTAACAAACTCAAGCCGTATTCTACAACTGACCGACCTTAGACTGTTCTAAGCCAGTATCCTCCCAGGGTAACAAACTCAAGCCGTATTCTATAACTGACCGACCTTAAACTGTTCTAAGCCAGTATCCTCCCAGGGTAACAAACTCAAGCTGTATTCTACAACTGACCGACCTTAAGACTGTTCTAAGCCAGTATCCTCCCAGGGTAACAAACTCAAGCCGTATTCTATAACCGACTGATCATCGACGACCCCGGAAATCTGATCCAGTATCCTCCCAGGGTAACAAACTCAAGCCATATTCTACAACTGACCGACCTTAGACTGTTCTAAGCCAGTATCCTCTCAGGGTAACAAACTCAAGCCGTATTCTATAACCGACTGATCATCGACGACCCCGGAAATCTGATCCAGTATCCTCCCAGGGTAACAAACTCAAGCCTTATTCTACAACTGACCGACCTTAGACTGTTCTAAGCCAGTATCCTCCCAGGGTAACAAACTCAAGCCTTATTCTACAACTGACCGACCTTAGACTGTTCTAAGCCAGTATCCTCCCAGGGTAACAAACTCAAGCCGTATTCTACAACTGACCGACCTTAGACTGTTCTAAGCCAGTATCCTCCCAGGGTAACAAACTCAAGCCGTATTCTATAACTGACCGACCTTAAACTGTTCTAAGCCAGTATCCTCCCAGGGTAACAAACTCAAGCTGTATTCTACAACTGACCGACCTTAAGACTGTTCTAAGCCAGTATCCTCCCAGGGTAACAAACTCAAGCCTTATTCTACAACTGACCGACCTTAAGACTGTTCTAAGCCAGTATCCTCCCAGGGTAACAAACTCAAGCCGTATTCTATAACCGACTGATCATCGACGACCCCGGAAATCTGATCCAGTATCCTCCCATGGTAACAAACTCAAGCCTTATTCTACAACTGATCAATCATGGAAGACCCAGGTATTCTAATCCATTAATATCCTCCCAGGGTTACAAACTCAAGCCGCATTCTATAACCGACTGATCATCAGCGACCCCGGAATTCTGATCCAGTATCCGACCCGGGTTACAAACTTAAGCCGTATTCTACAACTGATCGATCTTAGACTGTTCTAATCCAGAATCCTCCCAGGGTAACAAACTCCAGCCCTATTCTATAACTCACCGATCCTGGACTGGTAGTATTGTCATTGTTGTTTGCGCTGCACTTCTTCTTTTTCTTCTTCTCCACATTGCCTTCGCGCCGCTTCTTCTGGATAGTGAGTAGGAGAGAGATGAACTGGTTCTTCAGCTCCTTGTCGTATTCCAGCTCATCGCGCAGGGCCAGCTCATGCACCAATGTCTCGTTCAGCTCCTTGATAGTCAGCTCATACTCAGCCAGGACTTCGTGCAGCTCAGTGTTGCTCATTCCCTTCAGCTCTGTGGATAAGAGAGGAGGACACGCTCAGTATCATGGATCAAGATACATGACAAAAAATCAAGTTCTTTGACAGAACGTTTTACAAACTATATACCAACCAAAACAACCTAAGTGAGTGAGTGAGTGAGTGAAAGCTGTTTTATGCTGCAGTCAGCAACATAACAGGTGAGGTGAGGTGAGGTGAAACACAGTATATTGACTCCGAGCAGACCAGTCCTTGTTTCAGCCCCTTAATGTTGAGCGCCAGACAAGGTAACAACAAGTACCATCTTTTAACGTCTTTTGGTATGACGCGGACGGGGACCGAATCCTGGACCTTCCGCTCTCCGGGCGGACGCTCTACCTCTAGACCATGGAGGTGGTCCAGCAACATAACAGCTGCATTACAGCTGGTCTTGGCTAGGATAAACTAGTGGCTGACAGACTATCGGAAAAACTCAACAAGGTCAGACATTGTAGACAAGGCCACTAGAACAAAGCAAGTGAAAATCTGGAAGGGCTAGTTGGATTATCCAAAAAGCTAGTTATGTTACAAAAAAGACTAGTCTGAAGTGATCTGAGGATTAGTTGGAAATGACCAATGGTGTCTGGCCATGTAAAAGCCAACCAATCATGAGACAGCTCTGGTGTATTTGTGACATTTTCTGACCCGATTCATAGAATGTTTGAGCAAATTTGCTACTAAAGAAGTGAAAAGGAAAACACCCACACAACCAAAGTCTGATGTGATCTGTTTCATGTAAATGTAACAATCTTGGCCACTAGAAACAAGGAACAGACTGTAGAGTTGGTTTGAATATCTAATTCCATGGTAAGTACCTTCATGGTAATGTTCCAAATGTTCCAATCAATGAAAAACAACCTGCTGACACCAGCTATGATAGCAGCAACAGAACGACAGACACACCTTTTGTGTGTGTGTGTGTGCGAGTGTGTTAATAATACACTATACCAATGTTTGTTTGTTTGTTGTTTAACACCGCACTCAGCAATATTCCAGCTATATGACAGAGGTCTGTAAATAATCGAGTCTGGACCAGAAAATCCAGTGATTGACATCATGAGCATCGATCCATGCCATTGGGATACAATGACATGCATCAACCAAGTCAGCGAGCCTGACCACCCGATCCCGTTAGTCACCTCTTACAACAAGCATAGTCACCTTTTACGGCAAGCATGGGTTGTTAAGTCCTATTCTACCCCGGATCTTCACAGACCTTAACTGCAACTTAGCTTCAGACTAGTGGTTCAAGTCACACAGACACTTTGATGCTATGGCCATACTTTTTGTCTTTATATATGTTGTGAATTAATCCAAGGTGTAATGACGTAAGTAAATAGACTTCACATCGCCTTGAACAATATTTCAGTTGACAAGTCAAACTGCACTGCTTGTAGGTGTTTACCACCTCAGTGAAACACACGGGTGTGGGTGTGGCACCTACAGACCAAGGATCATAATCAAGGTGAATCTGGCATTTGAACACATCCAGCATTTCCTGGACAAGCATAGTCGCCTTTTATGGCAAGCATGGGCTGCTGAAGACCTATTCTACCCCGGATCTTCACGGGTTAACTATACCAATGGCAATGCCTAGCAGTGTAACATATCATCTCAACCAGTAACACTGAAACTTGCTATTAAGTAAACATTGGGAGTGTGATGTATTTCGGTCAATTCCCACTTTTCATTATAACCTTTCAGTTAAGTGGGACTGTCCAAGTTTTGGGAGAACCCAGTGTTCAGAGCACATGGGTGAATATACCTTCATAGCTGAAGAGCTCCGTGTACATGACAGGTAGTGTCACCTGTCAACTGAACATAGTCAGAAAATCCTCATGCATTGCACTAATGTGTGGAAGGTCAGAACAGGCATGAGACTGTCAGTTACCTCCCTTGACCTGTGCAAAAAATTAAGTTCTGGAAATGTTTGTCATGCAAATGATAACAAATCCTCATGTTTACTGATATGGGATGATCATATGACATATAATTATTCTGAATCTCTAGATTAGATTAGATTAGATGTTTATGCTGCTGCTGTAGAAAATGGCAACTGGTGTCAAGTACTGCCAAGGCCGTAGTTAACTTTTTTTGACTGGGGGCGGGGGGGGCAAATATTTGTACAAGTATCACTTGTCCCCAACTTGTATTTTCATTATTCAAATAAAACTGTTTTCTATAAAAAAATCCAGAGGGGGCAACTGCCCCCTCGGCTGGCTACGGCACTGACTGCTGTGAGACTTGCACACCCGTCAAACACCAGGCCACTGATGCTTACTGATGATAGCAAACCATATACAGTGCCCCAAGATGCTCTTAATATCAAATGGTGGGGAATGTTTTCATCGAACTATGAACATGCTCAGGGTGCTAAGGTTCAGCTGAGTTCATACCAAATGGTAAATCCGATATATGGGCATACTTTCCAAGGGTTTAGTATAAAATACAACCAAATCAGGAATTAATCCAGGATTGCAAACAAAGTGCACTTGACAGGCAATTTGGGAAACAATAGTTATTTGCTCTGAGCAGGCCCAGGTAAATCCCTGAAAATCATCTTGCATCAACCAAGTACAATGACTCCTCAGAACTTGAATACCTTAGATTGTTTATATTGTTTGGGACAATACTATCTTATGGTCCCAGGAGAATCCTTATCATCACTGTATGCTAATATTGGCACCCTGCTTATACCGAACTACATTATATTTGATATATACTAGGTACTCAAAAGAAGTTAAAGTACACCCAATGTTTTTACATGATTATAGTTAATGTATCATGGCTGGTGGGTATTGCAACACACATCCTTCAAAGTGTGTTCTTTAAGTTGTATTGAGAAGTATATTTGTCATAGTTGCCAACAAAGATTCATTGTATCCATAAGCAGTCTTCAAAATCTATATAAACATGAAAATCAAGGGCTTTTTGTTGTAACCCTAATGTTAAACATTTATAATTCAGGGGTTTCTAGATTCAAATACTACTGCAGCAAACCTCAAGGTCCTCAAAGTGTGTTCTTTAAGTTGTATTGAGAAGTATATTTGTCATAGTTGCCAACAAAGATTCATTGTATCCATAAGCAGTCTTCAAAATCTATATAAACATGAAAATCAAGGGCTTTTTGTTGTAACCCTAATGTTAAACATTTATAATTCAGGGGTTCCTAGATTCAAATACTACTGCAGCAAACCTCAAGGTCCTCAAAGTGTGTTCTTTAAGTTGTATTGAGAAGTATATTTGTCATAGTTGCCAACAAAGATTCATTGTATCCATAAGCAGTCTTCAAAATCTATATAAACATGAAAATCAAGGGCTTTTTGTTGTAACCCTAATGTTAAACATTTATAATTCAGGGGTTCCTAGATTCAAATACTACTGCAGCAAACCTCAAGGTCCTCAAAGTGTGTTCTTTAAGTTGTATTGAGAAGTATATTTGTCATAGTTGCCAACAAAGATTCATTGTATCCATAAGCAGTCTTCAAAATCTATATAAACATGAAAATCAAGGGCTTTTTGTTGTAACCCTAATGTTAAACATTTATAATTCAGGGGTTCCTAGATTCAAATACTACTGCAGCAAACCTCAAGGTCCTCAAAGTGTGTTCTTTAAGTTGTATTGAGAAGTATATTTGTCATAGTTGCCAACAAAGATTCATTGTATCCATAAGCAGTCTTCAAAATCTATATAAACATGAAAATCAAGGGCTTTTTGTTGTAACCCTAATGTTAAACATTTATAATTCAGGGGTTCCTAGATTCAAATACTACTGCAGCAAACCTCAAGGTCCTCAAAGTGTGTTCTTTAAGTTGTATTGAGAAGTATATTTGTCATAGTTGCCAACAAAGATTCATTGTATCCATAAGCAGTCTTCAAAATCTATATAAACATGAAAATCAAGGGCTTTTTGTTGTAACCCTAATGTTAAACATTTATAATTCAGGGGTTCCTAGATTCAAATACTACTGCAGCAAACCTCAAGGTCCTCAAAGTGTGTTCTTTAAGTTGTATTGAGAAGTATATTTGTCATAGTTGCCAACAAAGATTCATTGTATCCATAAGCAGTCTTCAAAATCTATATAAACATGAAAATCAAGGGCTTTTTGTTGTAACCCTAATGTTAAACATTTATAATTCAGGGGTTCCTAGATTCAAATACTACTGCAGCAAACCTCAAGGTCCTCAAAGTGTGTTCTTTAAGTTGTATTGAGAAGTATATTTGTCATAGTTGCCAACAAAGATTCATTGTATCCATAAGCAGTCTTCAAAATCTATATAAACATGAAAATCAAGGGCTTTTTGTTGTAACCCTAATGTTAAACATTTATAATTCAGGGGTTCCTAGATTCAAATACTACTGCAGCAAACCTCAAGGTCCTCAAAGTGTGTTCTTTAAGTTGTATTGAGAAGTATATTTGTCATAGTTGCCAACAAAGATTCATTGTATCCATAAGCAGTCTTCAAAATCTATATAAACATGAAAATCAAGGGCTTTTTGTTGTAACCCTAATGTTAAACATTTATAATTCAGGGGTTCCTAGATTCAAATACTACTGCAGCAAACCTCAAGGTCCTCAAAGTGTGTTCTTTAAGTTGTATTGAGAAGTATATTTGTCATAGTTGCCAACAAAGATTCATTGTATCCATAAGCAGTCTTCAAAATCTATATAAACATGAAAATCAAGGGCTTTTTGTTGTAACCCTAATGTTAAACATTTATAATTCAGGGGTTCCTAGATTCAAATACTACTGCAGCAAACCTCAAGGTCCACAGGACCCCCCTAAATTCCAAACTCTGACCAGCATAATAACAGTTTTGACGTTCATATTTGGATGATAATGAGTAAAAATCCTTGTTTTGTTTTGTTTGTTGTTTACTCCAGCTATGTAAATAATCAAGTCTGTAAAGATGATCTATAGATTCATGTTCTGAGCAACGATAACTCTGTCGGGGTACGAAGACAAGCTGCCATCAACCACAGCACTAAGCC